GTATAATTATTAGAGTGCTTCCAACGTTGTAGTCTAATCTATCATTTATGGAAAAACAAATAAATAAATTGCCCAGCAACAACTAAATATGTACCTGCTTGTTCGGTGTGCACCAAACCATCCCAGAAAAGACCTCATTGAACCTCATTGAACGTCATTAAACCTCATCGAACCTCATTGAACGTCATCGAACCTCATTGGACCTCATTAAACCTCATCGGACCTCATTGGACTTCATTACATCTCACCGAACCTCATTGGACCTCATTAAACCTCACCGAACCTCATTGAACGTCATCGAACGTCATCGAACCTCATTGAACGTCATTAAACCTCATTGTGCAGACTCCCTGAGGACAGTCCATGCACAGTATTTGCAGTGAATTGGCCCAAACATGCCAACTTAACAAAAAAGCCCCCAACCCCCCCCCTTTCCTGGGAGTGTTGTATCAGCTCCAGATGCTGACAACGAAAACATGCAGCGCGTATTTGGGCGGCTGTTTCCAATGCATTTTTAATGCAGGTCCGCCTCTCTTGTCCAGCAGCGGGGGATGTGGGGGTGGGGGGATGAAGTGGGGGGGGGGGGGGGGGCTGCTGGAATCAGGATGGCCCCCGTGCACCTTGATGAATAAGTAAACACATGGAAACCAAGCCGAGAGGCAGTCGCTGAGACTCCCGGGCCGGGAGGAGGCTGTTTACTCACTGATGATTCCACCGCCTGCTCGCTTCGAGCTCCATTAACATATTTCACTCTGACTTTGGGTCCGCGCATCAACTTTAATTCTGGCCAGTTAATCTCATTTCAGAGCCTCATTCAGACCGGCAGCAGCCCTTAAAGCCCTTAAAGCCCTTCTGTCCGTTAAAGGTCATGATTTTAATAACTTACCCAGGTGCCTTCTGATTTTGACATTAAATATATTACATTTGGAAAAATAATTATGCGTTTGATGAAACTGTTTTGAAGTGTGGATGAAGCTCAAAGAAGGGCAAATATTGGGCTTAAGTCTTCAACTCCAAATTAATAATATGGGCTTTTTCCATTCACCTTGGGAAGCTGCAATAGCAACTGCTAGGAACAATTAAAGGGTTAGCTTCAAAGAGTCCACGCATTTATTGCCGAAATAATCAAAACAAAAAAATAACGCTTGACTTTTATTGTGAATATTTGTTGCGTTTTTTCAGCTAAATTATACATGTGTTAAAAGGCTCATTTGAACAAAAATCTGTGAACATTTTAAGAAACATCACACAAATACACAGTCATTTGATGGCGTGAAGTCAACAGGCAAATAAACAACAGTGTTTACCAAATGGCTTTGTTGATCCACACAGCATTATTAAAATGGCCTTTCATTGGACGCTCTGAGGAGCCATTTTACTAGGAGAATTTAATTTTCTGGTAGAATTTGCTCTTGTGCGTATTCTTATGTCGTCATTAAACAATATAATTCTCGTTTGTTCTGGAAGAAAAAGCAGGTTCTCCTGCAATGAGATGGGTTCTCCTATAATGAGGATGGGTTCTGCTATGATAAGGATGAGCTCTCCTGCAATAAGGATGTGTTATCCTGCAATGAGATGGGTTCTCCTCTCAACAGTCAGCGCTTTGACCCACATTATCTCTCTGCCCGAGGCAGGATGGAGAATAATGGCTCTTAGACGCACATTGTGTATTCAATTATATTCACCGAGATCCACGCGGCTGTGTGAAGTTTATAAACTAGCAGGGATTACATTTTTTTTTTAAAGATATCAAAAGGCCTTTGGCACGGATTCCAGAGCAGGTCTCAGCGCCTCCATGAGCTACTCCGAAACATCGTACTGCAGAGGCATTATCGCTATTACTGTTCAGGCTGCACCGCGCACTGAACTTCTGCGGATAAATCACTCCCAATGCTCTTATTTACACAAGGTTATGCACCGAAAGACCGTTTACACAGCGTCGAAAGAGGAAAACGGAAATGTTCACAATAATAAAGTAGTTATTATAAATAGATGAGTTGATGAAAGTAAAAATAATTTAAGATATTGGTTGTACAATTAAAAGATACTTATTACGTGTTGTTGATTTCGGAGTGGTTTACAATAATTAAATATGAAAACCGTAACAAGCATCAGTCAGGTGACACCAGTGTCTTTCTGGATGATTCTTTTTGTAAAAAAAGAAGGTAATAAACTCTTGTTTACAGTCGTTACTGGTATTGGATGTGACCCTTTGACCCAAAGGCGATGGCGCTAAATGAAACCCACAGGATCAGATTGTACAGCTTTCACCAGCTGAGTTGTGCTACTTTACTAAACTGATCCTCTCATACAATCGGTGGAGGTTCTGGGACTTTAATCCGGGGTTTTGTGGGATTAGCAGCCGGGATGCAGCGAAAACAGAAACATCAGCCGAGAGCGAGCGGAAGAACCTCGGGTGAAACATGCCTTCTTCTTGGAGTGATTCTGCACATTTTACAGACTTTCCTTTTCAACATCCCCTGTGTCAGAACCCGATCCTGAAATGAAGATTAACGGGCGGAGGACAGGAAGCCTGCAGTAGTCTTCTCCCTGCGGCCCGAATGGAAGTCAAAGGAGACAAGCTCACTGCCACAGGGCTTGAGAGTCGGTACCGAGAACCGGCTGTGAAGGTCTGATGGTGAAGTACAAACGAGTGGCGCTTTAAAGTCAACAACTTGTAACAGCGAGGCGCACAATCCCCATTTGCTTCAGTAGCGGCAAACAAAGTCTGCTTTCTCAGCGAAAAAAAGAACCTTCCCTGAATATTCCTAAAAGATGGATGAGCAACTTGTGGCTGCAGCGCCACGAGACTCCACAGTGATGCATCTACACGACAGCTGGTTCACACTATTGTATATCCTCTTTCCTTGTGCAGCCCCCCTTTTCTCACTTTGGTTTCTCCCTATTTTTGTTCCTCATTGTGTTTTCACAGTTTGTTAAATGACCTCCGCCATTTCTTTGATTTAAACTGGACTTTAACATCTCTACAAACCTAACTCTGGTGCTGAAGTGAAGGAAATGCTGAAGCGCCTTAAACCTCTAATCTATAATGACCACCAGGGGGCGACTCCCCTTGACCCATAGAAGTCTATAAGAAAATTACTCTCTTGATTTATTCCCTCAGTAAACGTTGTAAACATTTATGTCTCAATAGTTTCAAGTCGTCTTGATTACAGCATGACAAATTATGGTCCACTTAGAGTCAAATAGAGGGCGGGGCTTAACTTAATTGTTAGGCCCCCTCCGAAATAAACAAGTAGGCTGCAGAACTTTGGTCGACAAACCACTGGGTGACATCGTAGTGACTCCACCCGTCTTCTTCTGCACAGTGCAGGGTGTTAAACCTGTGGCTTTAAACGCCGGGTTCAGACTGACGAGTAAAAACGTCACATTTACGTCAGCTGGGAGGAAGAAAAGACCAAATCCTTTCTGCTACGGTGAACACGTGCAGCCTCAATGTGCAATTTAAGAGAGCAGCGGCCCCCAATTTAATAAAAATGTGCTGCAGCGCTCCAAAGTCTGAGGACAAAGTCTGTTCCTTTGAGCATAATTTGTTCCCCAGCTGTTGTTGAAATGTCTAAATCACTCAGCTTTTTTTCATTTAAAGTATTTACCTGAAAGTCGGAGAGACGGGTTTGTACTAATACTACAAATGAGCTTCTTCGTTGACAAAAGGAAGTCTAAAGTGGACAAATGTCCTGTGGTCCTCTGCTCTGGAGAGACTGCCGCTAACGTGCGCCGTTGAAGATAAACCCTCTTATAGGACTCATTGGTATTCCTCTCTACTGGTTATTATTTCACTGGCTCTAATCTAAAATGACTTCACTGGTAGAAATGAGCTCACGGGGCCGAACGCGCCGATAATTTGCTGAAGAAAAACAACACAAAAAAGCAACCTGGCGGAGCAGCGTTGCTTTTAAACTAAAGCAAACAGACCCAACAAACGGGGCTTATTTATTCATAGACCGACCCTCATTTCCATATAAATGTACGTGACCTGTGGGAGGCTTGTTTGTTGTTTGGATTCACTCTGAGAAAACAAACACAAAAATGTCATTTCTTTGCAGTATTTCCCAGAATCCGGCCCCCATTTCGCCTCGTTAAATATTCTCCCGTCGTCTCCATATCTGATTTTGCAGGCTGCTTTCTCGAAGTAATGGTGTGTGTGTGTGTGTGTGTGTGTGTGTGTGTGTGTGTCTGTGTGTGTGGAGGGCTCTCATCATGTTGACTCACAGCTGTCATTGTGTTTCCCCTCCCTCTCGCCGCTGCATCTCTCAGGTGGAGCTCTTTTTTTGCTTCTTGTAGCAGAAACAGGAAATGGCTTCTTTCTCTACACAACGAATAATAAGTTGAGTTACTTGGCTCAAGTAGGCCGTTGCCGTAACGGTCCCCATCCCAGGGGGTGCGGGGGGGTTGTGTTATGTAACATCAGAATTAGGGAGGGTGTCGTGGGATCAGCGTTTTCCTCACATGAGGAGCCAAATAGGACAGAGGACGATTCTTTTGTCAACACGAAGAGTGAAAGTGCCCCGCGAGGCGACTAAAGAAGAACATCCACCCGCTGACGAGGCTTTTAATCACAGCCCACCGATCGATGTTTGTACGTGATCAAAGGAGATGTGCGTGCGAGAAACGTGACACGACTCAGCCCTTTGTTTTGGTTTTGGTTGACTCTTCAGGCTCTCACCCTCCCAGTGAGGGAACCCTCGGGTGCTGCCTCCTCGCATCCAGATGTTTTCAAGCTGAAAGAGCTCCGCTTTAATGGATTATTTGTCATTTCATCTTTTCTTTCAGATGAGGGAGATGAAACCAGTTAATTTGTTGCTTGACCAACTATATTAGACGGATAATCTTAGCTAGTGTGTTTTGTTCTGAACCTCCCAACAAATCCGTAATTTTAACATAATATCCCAAACTTCGGTTTAAAGAATATACATATTTATGAAGTGGCGTTTAGTGTCCCTCATAAATCTTTTGGTCTCATCTGTGATTTCCCGCAGTGATTTTTATTCTCATGTGGAAGTGCGTGGACAAGATGAGGTGCTTCAGGAAACGTTCCGTGTTCCCCTTCCTCGGCTTCCTCATCGTCTTCCTCCTCTTCTTCAACCTTTACATGGACGATGGATTCGTGCTGGTGAGGGTTGATGCTCTGTACTAAGGACTGTTCTCAAGTACTCCCTTTGAGGTACTTTAGGACCGTCTCCATGGTGACACTTCATGCCTCCCTGCCACCTTTCAGGGGGAGATGCTGTGCTTTCTGCTCCAGGACATTTATTTAACAGCTTAAGTCAGACACAAAAACATCAAACGTGCAAATGACAATGATTGCCTTTCATGGATATTTGTGAAGGTCTGATTTTGAACATAAAATGTATTTATTCACTTATTAGATCAATTTATGACGTTTTAGTCAGTAGTTTGAAATGAGCTGCACCTCAATCAGTTTTTTAAATGATGATCTAATGATTTAATTCAGAATTCAAAAACAGTCACAGGGAACATTTCTACCTGTAAAGTACATTTTCTTCACAATGCATACATATACTTATGCTTAAGTAATATATTTAAGGGACTTTTACTTGTTCAAGAATATTATATAATAATATATTGTGTGCTTGTTAACTATAATTAGCTTTTTGCACTATTGTTTAGTTTAAGTCATTTAATATTTTTCCATTATTTCTTTTCTTCCTGTTTCACTGTTATTTCTTTACCTGTAAATAAATGCTGCCTCAGCAAGTAAAAAAACTCTTGCAGGATTAATTAAAGTATTTATCTAATCTTAGGAGGCTGAAAAACGACAGCTGGGAGAGACGCTGATTCAACCTTCCAGCTCTGAGCGATACGTCCACACATTCACAGATCTGTCTAATTTCTCCGGGACCAGAAACGTGACATATCGCTACCTCGCGGGAATTCCTGTGCCGCATAAAAGTAGGTACCCCGCCCCCCCGGAGGCGACGGCCGCCGTGTTGCTTTTTGTTGCATAACAAAGTGACAATTTGTGTCCGCAGAGTATCTCACCATCGGTTTGTCCTCCGTCAAGAGGAAGAAGGGAAACTACCTGCTGGAGACCATCAAGTCCATCTTCGATCAGTCCAGCTACGAGGAGCTCAAAGAGATCGTGGTCGTGGTCCACCTGGCCGACTTCGACCTGGTCTGGTGTGAGAACCTGGTGCAGGAAATCAGCAGGAAGTTTGCTCACCACATCATAGCCGGACGCCTCCTGGTGATCCAGGCCCCGGAGGAGTTCTACCCGTCTCTGGACGGGCTGAAGAGGAACTACAACGACCCGGAGGACCGCGTCCGTTTCCGCTCCAAGCAGAACGCCGACTACGCCTTCCTGCTCAACTTCTGCACCAACCTCTCCGACTTCTACATGATGTTGGAGGACGACGTCCGCTGCTCCAGGAACTTCCTGACGGCGCTGAAGAAGGTGATCACCTCCAGGGAAGGCTCCTACTGGGTGATGCTGGAGTTCTCCAAGCTGGGCTACATCGGGAAGCTGTACCACTCCAGGGACCTGCCCCGCCTGGCCCACTTCCTCCTCATGTTCTACCAGGAGATGCCCTGCGACTGGCTCCTCATCCACTTCAGGGGCCTGCTGGCCCAGAAGGACGTGATCCGCTTCAAGCCCTCGCTGTTCCAGCACATGGGCTACTACTCCTCCTACAAAGGGGCCGAGAACAAGCTGAAGGACGACGACTTTGAGGAGGACGCCGTAGACATTCCCGACAACCCCCCCGCCAGCATGTACACCAACATCAACGTCTTTGAGAACTACGACGCCACCAAGGCCTACAGCACCGTGGACGAGTACTTCTGGGGGAAGCCTCCTTCCACGGGAGACTTCTTCCTTATAATCTTCAACAAGTCAACCAAAATCAGCAGAATCAAAATAGTGACGGGCACGGAGGAGCGCCAGAACGACGTCCTCCACCACGGGGCGCTGGAGGTGGGGCAGAAGGCCGCGGACACCAAGCAGGGAAGGCAGTGCGCCTCCTACATCACGCTGGGGGAGTTCAAAGGCGGGAGCATCGAGGTGGAACACGTGGACCGCAAGATCGGCTTCGACATCGAGTGCGTGCGCGTGGTGGTCACCGCCAGCCAGAGGGAGTGGCTCATCATAAGGACGGTCAGTTTATGGACTGTGCAGCCCGCCGGTCAGTTCAGGAAGTGACGGAGCAGCTTTTTAAATCACTGGCCGTACGTTCAGTGTTACTTTTGGATGCCAGTTCATTTTGGACTACTTCTGGAAAGTTAATGGGATTCAAGCGATCCATGTTTTCTTGGGTTGTTTTCATTGTGAATGTGTGTTAAAATTGACAGTATTGAGCCTTTCTACATATGTTCTTTTTCCTAATTCTCTATATAAAATAGTTCCTACATGGCTGCTTTCTTGTTTTTATCGTTTGTCATTGCATCTTTAAGAGCTGTTGCGTTAGTTTTCCTACATTTTATAACCTGCTCACAAACGTTTCGAATCACGATTCATCTATTGCTGATAAAAACAGTGGATCGAAGAAGACGTTGGTTTATTAAAGATGTCGATGTGATCCGATTATCGAGTCTTTTATATGAAGGAAGTTACGATTCCAGACTCAATCCGGCCGCTCTTTAAGTCTGAAAATGAACGTGGATGTGAAAGGACACATTAACAAAACAAGGAGGATCCTCCTACAGAATATGATGGTCAGCAAAGTTTCTCCTGGTGGAAAGTCATAATACACTAAAGAAACCTTTAATTAATGTAATGTTCTCAGTTCAACAAGAAACAGTCAAGGGGTAATATCTTGAGAATGAGTACCTTGAGTTTCCTTAAAGAATGGACACAATTGAGCCATTGATAAGGAGGTATATCATTTGTTAGTTTGCCCTTGGCTGCTCTCTGCTGGTAGAAACAAAGATGACATGCTAACAATTAATTGACTCTCAGTAACAATCACTTAAATCATGAAAATCCTAGTTTGAATCTTTAAAAAATAAACCTCATGTACACTTTTTCAAATGTTGTTAAATGTTATATTACATCATAAAATAAAATAGCAAATTTTGCTGTCAATGTAATAACATGATGTTTGCTATTACCTTATCATAAGTTATGTTGGTAGTTTGTGTTTAATGATAATAATATTTGTGATCTGATGAAAGAGACCGGTTATTACATTTTATGGGCATTTAACCAAAAGAACATAAAGGTCCTTTCTTGGCTGGGCTGGAGATGTCGCAGCAAGAGACTTGAGTGCATAAAAAAGAAGGTTAACCACCTGCAATGTGGCCTTTCATCCCTGAGAGGCTTCTACCAACTCCGGTGGCCGGTTTGAAAAAAGTGCAAGAATTGAAAGTACAGCTGGTGTCACTCACCAACTGTACTTTCTTAACAATAACTTGTATGAAGATGTATTCATAGAAAAGAGGAGACAATCATGACCAAGTTTTTATAGGACTGTAATCTACACAGCACATTTCCCGTCTTAGTGAAGCAACAGGTTTTTGTTTCGGGTACTCGTCCCATTTGCTGTCAGTGGGAAAAGGACATATGATTGATCAATTCCCTGAAAAACAGAGTAATGCTGAGGTGATAGAAAAAGGCCATGCTGGGCAATGTAGGAGACAGTTTACGCCATGAGATGGCAGTAGTGCAACATACATCCGGTCAGTTTACCTGTTAGTAAAAGAGGAGGAAGAAGAAGAAGAAGAAGAAGCTCTACGACGTCATCAAACTGCGACCGTGTTGTGTCAACTCAAGCCAAAGAGCGAAGAGTGAAGTTTGGACTACCATTCCTGCTGCCTTTAACGTTGTTAATTGTTTGGTAAGGAAATTAGCTTGTTTTTTTTCTCATTTCACGGACTAATTGAATGGTTAAATACATTCTAAATAACGCCCGACTGTGGAGAAGTATTAAACTGCCCTTGCTAAAATGAGCAAATCGTATTTAGATTGAAGTTGGTGGATCAACGTTATATCTAAAATGTCTTGTGTTGTTAACTTGTTTAAAAAATAAAGAAACAGAATGAGGCTACAATTCACTGGAGCAATGTTTAATGATCGTTAGTTACTGTCACTGCTCTGTAGGACGTCACCACAGAATGCTAACGCTACCTAGCTACAGTTAACGTTAAGATGCAGCTCCTGCAAATAGGTAATTAGGAATGTCTAAGTTTAGACTACATTTAATCGGAAATGTGTTTTGATCCTCTACTTTGCTGTATTATTATTTTAGAGGTTGACCAAGAAACAACGTCCACAACCAGTTTCCCAAGTAAGATGTCCTGCAGTTTATTGTAGTAAATTATTATAAGCTAAATATTTTTGGTATTTTGACTTTGATGAAACAAAACATGAAAATGCCATGTTTGTCATTGTGAAGTTTTGATCAAGTCGGCTCAATTCAAACCAAATAATCAGCAGATTCTTTGATAAAGAAAATAATTCAGTTTAGGGCATTCATTGAAATTGTTGATTTTACTTAATTTAATGGGAATGGACTTTGAAAAAATGGTTTAGTTCAAATGAATACACAACCCTCGTATAAATAACCAGCCACGGACAAATAGTACAAGGGGTACTTTTGGTCCGTGGCTGGTTAGGCTCAGCCCATTTGCTTCAAATGTCTAATCAAGTACATTTAAACTTTTAAGGCTTAATATCAAATCTAAGATTTGTCTCACGGCACTTTGCAATCTGTACAAAAATACCACTGTTTTCCTTGGACCCTCGTCTTTTAATCTTGATTTGATCTCGGACTCCTAATGGCTGCATGTCAAAGTCTCCTTTAGCGCGACACTGAACCCCGACATGCAGATGTATCTCATGATTGAAATAAAGTTCAAGTTTTAAGAACTTTGCTCACACAGAGAACTGATCTCAACACCTCCCAGCCACCTATCTTTAGGATGAGCTGAAACGAAGGCTTTAACATTTTATCTCATTAATGTCGCAAATTTTAATTTCCCAACAGGCTCTGAATGAGGTGCAGCTTTCTGTCGGTGCTGTTTCATAAGTGCTGCTGCTGCCAGGATGGGCCAGCAGCTCTCAGGTCAGGCGATGATGACCCGTCTGCCTGAGAAACTGGTGAAACACGCAGGACTGGTGCGTGACAGCGGCTACCTGACCTACGAGGAGTTTCTGGCGAGAGTGGCCGAACTTAACGACGTGTAAGTCCCAGTCCGTCCCATACGTTCATTTTGCAAACATACAGCGGCGTTCCGCTTGCTTTAATGTTGTGGAGGGACAGTGGAATGAAGATGTTTTGCTTCGGAGCAAAACCCTTTCAAACAAACAATGTTGACTTAAATTCTGCACAAGGAATACTTGAATGCTTTGGATTGTACAGTGTTTTCTTCTTGGTTTTATTGGTAAACTATCAATTTATAAGCAAAACTGTTTTATCAACACAGATATCCTTAGTACTATTCCACCATCTATGGTTTTCAGAGTAACTGAGAGGCATAGTTGCAGTGAGTTATTCTCAAGTCAGTTTTGAAAAGCAAAAACCTTGGGTGTAGCATTAAATTTGGATAAGTCAAAACATAATTCATGCAGTGTAGTGGTTATGCAGTGAATCATCACATCTGCCAGTTAGGGGTCGGAACCGATAAATATTTGAAATGAACAAAATTTAAATTTAGTTGAAGAAAAACTATACGATAAATGTAGCAATGTTTCTGGACAGTGGTGAACACACCTTTTTTTTCTTCTACTCTGCTGGATCTCTCAGTACGGCCAAGCTAGCGACTGGACAGCAGAAGCACCTGCTGTTTGAGGTGCAGCCAGGGTCCGATTCCACGGCCCTGTGGAAGGTGGCTGTAAGGGTCCTCTGCACCAAGGTAAAACTAAACAACCTGTTTTCTATCTGTCTGTTTGTTAGTTAGTTTGTTTGTGGGTCATATGATCACCTCTGTCTCCTCCCAGATCAACAAAGAAAGCGGCACGATGGAAGCGTCGCGCATCATGAACCTGTACCAGTTCATTCAGCTGTACCGCGACGTCACCAGCCAGGCTGCTGAGGTGCTGTCTGCAGAGGGCGCCACCGAGGGCCCGTCTGCCCGGCTGCCCTCCGCAGACTCCTGTCAGGCCAGCATGTGGATGGGCAGGTAGGTGCACGTGAAGTGGTCCCTCAGACAGTTAAATACCCCGCCGCTGTATCACAAAAGAAATCTGCGATAAACTGGCCGATAAAGTTAGAGTGGAGTACGAATACATAGTTGAGAAGCAGCCGAAGAGACAGATACTCTTAGGCGTGACAATATGTGAATCTTCTGTCTTTAACTCTAATTAATTAATTAATTAATTAATTAATTAATTAATTAATTAAGGCAGTTTAAAAAGTTTCTTTTCCACCTCACTGTAGGAGAAAAGGGTTTTTTAAATGGCCACCTGCAACTCAAATGATTGATTTCACGAGTAATTTAGCAGACAAATCCCCATCCAGAGCATATTTTTCTCCAGCTTACCTTTTTTAAAGTAAGCCATTAAGATTCATCCAAAAATGTACTGTTCGATATAAGATCATTTCTGGGAGCGGAAACCTTCCTGTTTATAAAGTAATGAAAACCTGTATGTCTTCTCTGTTGGTGTGGCCGTGCAGAGTGAAGCAGCTGACAGACGAGGAGGAGTGCTGCATCTGCATGGATGGAAAGGCCGACCTCATCCTGCCCTGTGCGCATAGCTTCTGCCAGAAGTGCATCGATAAATGGCAAGATTTTGGGGTGAAGCTCAAATGAATCTCAGTAACGATTGCATCGCTTTGCTCACACAAACTCCCTCGCTGTTTTTCTGCAGGAGTGGGCAGAGCCGAAACTGTCCCATGTGTCGCCTGCAAGTGACCGCGGCCAACGACTCATGGGTGATGTCCGATTTCCCCACAGAGGACGACATTGCTGGCTACATCCTCAACTTGGCGGATGAGGCGGGCCACCCGCACAGGCCTTAACGCACAGCACCACGGCGCTCAGTGGGTGGCGGGAGGAGTCGACTCGCACCAAGTAGACTTGACACGTGGCAACACAAAAGGTCACTTTCACAGAGGAGGAGGGTTCCTTTTTTTTTCAGAGTAGAGATTCGTTTTGTTCCCAGCGACAGGTTTTTGATAATTAAACCATTGTCTCTTTTAAGTCCTTTAAAAAAAACAGGATGCTCTTTGTAAAAAGTGTTGTACATGTGGTGCTTTATGGGAAATGGGTGTGATAATACGTTGTTTGTATGTAAAGAGATTATAATCTATTAATCCAACACACAGATTACCAGAAGTGCAGCCCTCACAGTAATGTCCGGGTTGGTTTATTCCCCACGGGTGAGGAAGACTTGTGTTAGGAGGAGGGCACTTTATAACAGGAAGACGGGACAGAAACTGAGACTAAGGAACCATCGTCAGTTTGACTCGGATGTCGTGAATATCAAAACAAACAGTTGGATGTTTGGTAATGTGCTTTTCTTCCGACTCTCCGGAAGAAAGTGTATCCGATCCCCAAAATGTTGAACTTTTGTGTTTACAGAAGCAGTTTTGTATGATTTAAAATGACTGCTTGCTGGGGTGTTGTTTTCACTGTTGAAAATAACCACTATTTGTCATCTACGCTGTTCTCATCTTTTTACTTTGTATTTATATATATTTTTTAATTTACCATAATTTTATTTCGTCATTTTAATCTCATTGCTGGTAGAAGTACTGTAGTTAGTACTGTAGCTATCGATTCCGTAAAGATAACAGATTTATTTAGATAAGCAGCGTTTCAGTTACGAATTAACATTTTTCAGATCACATAAGTCATATGCAGCACAAGAGATGGTGTCCGTGATTTGTGAACTGTGTTTCAGAAAATGTTCTAACCTCAATTTGCATTACTGTGGTGCGTTTCCCTTTTACTGAAATATAACGCTTCATTTTAAATTGTAAATATATGGAATGCTAATTCAGCATCTCACTGTAGCTTTATCTGTCTTTATGCACCACATTCTCTGTGGTGAAATATATCATCCCACACTGTAATCCGTTTACAGCAGTACGACCAAAAGTTATGCACCAGAATGAGAACTTCAGTAGTAGAATACTCTAAAACATTTGACCCGACAGACATAACTTGTATATAAATTTGTTGAATGGAAGGTGTATTGAATTTGAATTGATTTGTACTGTATTGTACTATCCTTAATAAAGAGATATTCACGTTTTGCACTTTATTACTGTTAGGTTGGATTGAAAAAAGAAAGACATCTCTTTAAATTTGTTTGCCAATTATGTTCTGCAAAAAAAGACACAAAAAGAAAACGTTTGATATTTTTTCACTGTATAATCTCCTTTTTCGGTGTTTCCATTGTAATGATATGCTCAGGAATGATTTAGTCATTTTCATTACATGGATGATATTGGAAAGAGTGAATTATCATTTTCCATTAAAAATATATATACTAAATAGAAGAAATGCTCAAATCCCAAATAAAAAAAGTCGCATTAATAGAGTGTATTCATCTTTATTTTTTAATCAGTTGGAAATCTGCTGAGCTAATGAGCTAACGTTAAATCCAAGCCGGTTACCAACCACGGTAGTTGCCACGAGGCCAGTGGCCACGTGTGCGGAGGAAGACACGCCATCTTTAGAACATTTTACCAACGCTCAAGAGTTGACCTCAACCCCTCACGTAAGTTTGCATGTTTCTTTCGTCGATGTCATTAAATGCGTGAAAAATGGGATTTTTAGTTTACTAAGCCTAAAGTTAGCAGTATCAAGGCTAAGCTAACGCTAGCTGCTGCACCAGTTAGCTCCCGTGGTAGATTGACCATATCAATTTCCATTTGGCAATTTAACCTCTGAATGAAACCTGAAGTTTGGATCCATCTGTCTTAAATGTTAACTATGGCCCAAATTCACTAAACTGGATATAAACGGCATTGGAGAATGTAGGTTTCAGTATTTGTCTCTGAACGGTCAGGGATGCATTCATCTATTATACATTACAGGTGGCCAATTGCCATGAAAAGTATTTGTAACTTATAGTCATTCATTAGCAGTTTTTAGACAAAAGTCTCAGCATTAAAAAATAACATCTAGAAGATATTCAACTATCGTGGCAGATAACTAACTTTAGCTAAATTAGTAGGTCTAGTTACCTTTTCAGTTTTCATTAAAAAAAACGTGAACAATATTTGTTTTAAGATGTAGGAATAAAGGGCTGGTAATTAAACCAATGATTTGCACTCATTAAAGTTGGAAAAGGGGAAGGATTCAAAATGTCTTAAAAGCTGTCTGATCAAAAGATCTGACTGAAAGTCTCATTTAATGTTCATCCTCATGGAAATGTGTAAAAGAAATAAGCTATGCGACAACATTTGACTGTTTTGAAGCCTTTATTTACATATCAAAAGTCCATGAAAAATGACAAAAATCATAAAAAAAGAAATGACAAGGCTGTTATTTTACAGTTGTGAGTTAAGCAGGAGTTTTACCAAAAGTAGTTTAAAGCTCCATTTATTTGGACCTATATTCCGATAGAGAAAGGCCTTTGTAACATAAATGCAAGTGTTATAGAATTAACTTACCACTGCCTCGAAAGTAGCCTCGATCAAATTTTAGTTTGTGTGGCCGATGCTATTTAACTCCTTTTCAATAGAATTCTTTTTCATTCAGCTTCTGAATAATTGTGTTACTAAATCAGCCTTCATATATCCAAAGTGCACTTCACATCCGTCAAAAGAAAACATTAAACTCTCCCAATTAAACAAAGCACGCAGTGACTGGCAAAGTCCACAGATGTAACATTCAATACAGTATGATAATAAAGTGACACCAATGATTCTGTCCACAAGCCGGTTCAGAAAATTCAATGAGTCCTTTTTTTCTAATAATTTCTAAATTCATGTTTCGTCCAACATTGTTTTGTCATATATTCAGTCGCATTCAGTCGTAAATCACTCAGGTGGGTTAGTGGCAACATCAGTCTTCACGGCGTCCACCAGGAAGCTGAGCTCGTTGCACAGCGTCTCGTGGCGGTAGGCCATACGGATCTGCGCCACGTTGGTCCGCCGAATGTCGTTGCCCTGCGGTCCGCCCTGGAGGTAGTTCGGACCAATAAAACGTTTCTTCTCCTGTGAGATGAAACGGTTAAAATTTGATAAATAATAGATTTAGACCCTGGGGAAGAGGCAGAGCACGCTGGAGTAACCTCCACATGGGATCTATGTGCTGATAGTGGAATCGTTTGATAAAAGGAGTATCTTTACACCGTGACTGAACAATATTACTATGTATTAGGACACAGTAGCAAGCAATATGAGCCAAGGGACAAGGCTTCATTTTGGACTGTTCCATAATCAGTTTCTTTTATTATAGTGATGCATCAGGATGTTTATGAACCTTTTGGATGACTGAGGCAGGGATTGTACAAAAGTGGAAGCGCTCCACAATATAATGAAAGTAGGGCTAATATAATGTAATGTTTGACCGATTATTTGCTTATTTGAGAAACATTTTGAGAGAGCCCAACTGCAAAATTTGGATGGACCAATATTGGCTTATCAAAACATGTGTGTTTATTGACAAGGGAAGAAATCGTAGTAATGACATAAATATATTTAGGGCCATTTAGGATCTGTGTCATCATTACATAGTTTGTCCAGCAGAGAGCAGTGGCAAGTTTATTTTAAATTGCATGTCTTTTTAAATGTCAGAATTACCATTAATCAATCACTCATTGGGCATATAGTTGAGAAGGTGGGTTACACTTGCTCCAGTGGTAAAAGCCATTAATGAAACAGATGGAATGGCACAAATATGGACTATACCTGATGTGAGAGTCCGCTCTGCAAGACGCTGTTTCTGGCTATCTCACACAAATCACAGGTGCTCAGCTTCCACAGCTGTGCTGCAATGGCATACTCCTCCATCAGTGCCTCCTGAAAGGGTTGAAGGGAACATTTTCAGTGAATAAAGTGATCCCGGTTTTAACTAAGCCCAAATAGTCTGTACTGGTCCTGCTGGCTCTGACCTTGGTGTAGTGGAACTGCATGGGGTCGTCAGTAGACAGCGACACACAAAGGCCTTTCTGAAGGAACTCTCGTAGCGGGTTCTTCGAGTACTGCAGAAACAGGCTGTTGTTGCTCAGCGGGGACATGGCGATCGGGACCTGGGCCAGGTAGTACAGGTACTGCAACACTGGACTCTGGGGGGGAAGAGGGTGAAAAGGCCCGTGTGAATTACTGCAGTTACTGCAGAAATTGTACGAATGCTCTCGCGCTAGATTAGAGGGTTTCTGTCGAAGGTAGCGGCAAGTTGTTTGACCTCAAGTATCAAAGCCTAGTTTGAGGTCAGGGCCGCACCTTCTTGAGGTTGAGTCCATGTGAGATGTTGTCAGCCGTGAGGAAGGCTGAGACCAGGTGGGTGACGGAGCCCGCCTCACCGCAGTGGGGTCGAAACTGGAAGGTGTTCAGTCCTCGCTCCCTGAGTAGGGAAAAGTCAGTAGGATTTAAACACAAGTAACGCAAGGCACTGATTGGATTGGCTTTGGTTGCCATTAAACCACTCGGGCATCACATACTTGCGCAGGTTGTTGAGCACCATGATGTTGGCGTACATGTAAAACAAGTAGTAGGTGTAAGGGGGGTTGTCGTCCGTGGTCCACGCCTCAGGCTTTGGGCTTTTGTAAGAGAACATGTGGTCGCTGTGTTTGGACTCGTCATCCACGCTGTCGAATCCAGTCACCTACGGGACAGCAGCATGTTGGTCAAACAAAAATAGGACACAGATCATGCTTGTTTGTTCTTCAGGACGCCTCAGAATTAGCACCAGCTAAGTGGCTAGTTGGCTTCACTCACCGGCCAAAATAACAATGGTACTCTCTAATGATTGGCTGGTAAAGTTTCCTTGGCCTGTATCCAAAGAAGTGTCACTAGAAATCAGAGAATAATTCGGGCCAAACAAACAGATAAAGGCTTCGATTTCACTTTAAAAAAGTCCTGTGTCAGATTCCACCCTTCATAGGAATACTTACGTATTTTAGGAACACATGAGTTGCTTTGTGCTTTCGGGGATTAACCGTGGCCTCAAAGAGTGGGAGGAAAATGTTCTGCAGCATCTTGGCGTAGTTTGTAAATTGTTTCTTTGACTTGAAAATGTCACTGTAAGACAAAAGGAATCCAATGAACTAACACAAAAAAACAGATTTTTCACATTTCTTTGCTGATTCAGAACAATTTAAATGTTCCTTAACTTGAGTGCATCTTGATTAAGTTTACAAGTTTAGAGCCAGAGTTTTAGCAACACATTACAATTTATCTGTTTCTGATTTCTCAATTTACAATTCCATGAATCCAAAACTTCACAAATCTTTGTCTTTATTAACAAATGCTAATTATGGATGCACCAATATCATAATTATCTTGGTACAGACTCAAATATCTGGATCTAATAGTTTTAATAACAATTCAGTAAATTAATATCTTTGTTATTGATCAAGTTTTTTTAACGATGAGTTGTCACTTGTGACAAAGAGCATTAAAAGAACCCTGCTTATTCATCTTTGATTAAAAGAGCAGAGCCTCCTTACTAGATCCTTGGAACTTGGATCATCCACCTCATGTTGGGTGAGTGGACCTTGTGCTGGATGAACCAGGTCGCCAGGCTCTCCCACTCGCCGGGGGAGCGGCCGTAGATGGACAGCCGAGGCTCGGCGTGCTGGTATTTGCTCTCCTCCAGCTCTTTGGACACTTCCTGCAACGGACACCAAACCACAAGATGTTGGTGAAACCTCTCAAAAAAGCAGAAGCGGCTGTTTTGTAAGTTTGGAACGGATGAGAAGTTAATATTGTTGCGTGTGGGGTGTTTCGAAATACTGTATTTCATTTCAGTTGTCCACCGCCGGTAGGATTTACAACCGTAGCCATTATCAAAGACAAAGTTACACAAAATACTCAAGATACTTTGAATAAAACGCAAAAAGCCAAATAAAGACAAAGGCCTAAAACACTGTCGCTGTAAGAGATGGTCCATTATTGTTTTATCATGCACCCATAAACTATTGTTTTTTCTAATATCCTCAGGAGTATCTGCTCTCATCTTGTTAAAACATTTAAACTCAAGAAAGGAAAGGTGCCATTGGCACATAAACTCATACTCCACCTTGACGAGACGTGCAAAGTAATCTCCTTTGATGTAGTTGTCTGATTTCAAGTAGATCTCTCGCAGCTCGCTGGCTCCCACCGGGTTGTATTTGGAGTTGAACTTGTCAAAGCGATGAAATGTTTGTCTTCCCTAGAAGAGTCATTCGTGAGAGAGAGGGTGAATCTTGTGATCATGTTCTCCATCCAACAGAGTGACTGTACTGATTATTGTCAGATCGCACATTAAGAGGCGCTCGCGTGGATGATAAAAATGATTGCGTAACGGCATGCGAAACGCATGAACGCCCTTAATTGCATCCTTCTGTCAGTTAGCGCAGGTCAGTGAAAACTTGTGTCATTATTTGAACGCGACAAAATTAAATCACGGCATCCACAGTTATTATGGATAGCACCGGATGCTCAAGGACGTTTTTCTTTTCAGACAAGTTGTACAAAGCGAACCGGATGTGTGACTGTGTGGCACAAATGGCGACGTAATCTGGCGGTTGTGAACTTTGTCCTTACAGCGTGCACGTCCAGGGAGTCCACGGTGAGGTCATAGGGGTCCATGTCGAGTTTGTGGAAGACTTCCTTGAGCTTGAACGTCTTACCGCCCTTCTCCAAGACCGTGCGATCCGCCTCCTCCTGGTACGTGGTCTTTATGAACTTCAGCAGATGCTTCTGGTTCATGCAGGCAGCAGCGTGAATGTGTGTGTCCACCTGTGTTGGACACAGGTTTACTTAGACCAAAAGAGTCTGCTGTAGTGGCCTTTCAGAGTAAAAGCTGATGGATTTTTATCCTCTTTTTTTTTTTTATAAAGTTCTACCAAGTTATTGAATATTTGCATGCGGAGCAATACGTAGAAAAAAAAACACCAACCCACCTTTCTGACGTTGTAAAAGTCTCTGTGTGGAACACATTTCAGCTCTTTGAGCTCGGCCATTTCATTCATCATTTCGTGGAGGTAGAATTTAGAGGCTAAGAAGTTCAAACGCCTGTGACAGTAGGTTTTCCTGTGAGGTTTGGAGGACAAGGTTAGATATGTCACAGAGCGTAATGCCCCCACAGTCGGGGACGGCCATTTTGTGAAAATGTCTCTTTTATATTCAAAAAGGTGTGTGCACTCACGTCGGGCCGTCGGCTATCATAGCAAGGACATGGCTCAGGTCTATGGCGAAGGTCTCGAGGTCGGGGTACGGGAGGTTGTGCGGGCGCTGTTGCTCCAGGGCTTCGGCGTCGTCGTAAACATTAACTATGCCGTCCTTCATCTGCAGCTCGTAGTTTAGGTCCTCGGGAATACCCTCCATGGAGTACGGGTCCTCTTCTTTGGGAGGGAAAGGCCAGATGTCTGCAGGTGACCGGGGAAATTAATCAGCCATTTAAACTACACAGGTACTGTAGCTTCACATAAGCAGCTTTATTGAGTTATCTTTCATTTTTGTATTGCGTTAGTCTGCTTCGGAATGCATTCGGCCAACATGTTTGGGTAAGAGTACGTGCCACACGCTGTGTAAACAGCTCAAGGAAGCTGTGTGACAGTGTTTTGGGCCTTTTATGTTGGCGTTTTTGCCACTGGGGGAAGATTTTAGTGGACTTCACCAATAAAATATGTTGTTTCCTGAAGTTTCTTTTGCTGGAATTAGACTCACTGACCACCCTGCTGCTTATGTTTACCATTCGGCAATCTGTGTGTTCTAAACAAACTTCACTTAAGATGTTTTTCGTGAACTGTTTATCTCAACCCTTTGAGATATAAACCTTCTATTTTCAGCTCCTTTACCCCTTATCCAAGTCTGGTGTATTACAGTCCACCTAATGGACTGGTTTCAGTACACGTTATAATCAGTAGATGTATCCATGTAGAAGAAAATCATTACAACTCAATACACAACTAGACGAGAACAGCACAGATCAGATTGTTCTTAACCTCAGACATGAAATCAATGTTGCAGTATTTGAGCCAACACTTTCTTTTTCTCTCATTCTCCCAAGGACCCTCCTGGCCTCTAATGTGGGAAACAGCGGGTATTTTATCAGTCTCTGGAGTTATCTCCTGCTTCTCTCTGCTCTCAGTCGGAATTATTTTGCTGACCTTGGCGCTGTTGTCGAAGCTTAACGTGGCTCACTGGCGGTAACAGGCAGACATGTCCCCCCCACTACATGACAGATTCACACGGTTTCACAGATGTTTACAGAGTTCTGTTGGTTGGTTGAGATGAAGAGACGGATTAACTCGGGTCTAGCTGAAGATGCAATACAGCTGCAGAGTTGAAGTGGTCGATGCTTGTTTTTTCACTCTAGATTCCCATTTAATTTATTTCTTCAAAAGTCATTTCTCATATTACGCAAATGAATGTGTAGAATACAGAGGGATTTATTGTCATGAAAGGAAGGTTGTATTAATAAAGTTGTTGTTTTTATCGACATTTTTCCCATTAACCTTATCAAAGAAGCTTGAATAAATGATTTAACCAGTAGACGTACCAATCTGTCCGAGCCATAGAAAGTGGGGCTGAACGATTTGGAGGAAATATAAGTTGACCAAATTCCTTAAAATTGATATAGCAGGTAATATTTTAGGGTACTACTATATGTAGTCTCATATCATAATATAAATATTTATATTGACATTTTGAAAACCCTAGTAGCTATGCTCTACATATTACGTATTATCTTATGAAAGCATTAACAAATCCAGGAGCTCCTCCCACGTTGCAACAAAGAGCAGGAATATGAATTCAATAAGTTTGTTCCAATGAGAAAAGGAGTTCTCTAAATGCCCCCCACCTGGCATGAGCTCGTCCTCTTCCCGCCACTTCCCATTTTCGGCGTCTCGGAGGAATCGGGCGGTGGTCCTGGGGAAGGTGTGGTAGGCCAGTCTGGAGTACTTCTCTCTGATGAACAAGGCCTTGAGGAGGCTTTTGGCTGCCTGCTCATAATCCTCGACTGTGATCTGAGAACGTCAAGAAAGTCTTTATTTTTTTTTTAACTTATTTTGAAACTCTAAAATACGTTTTGTCCAATCTCAGCAATATGGAATTGACATTCATTCCGGTCCTTATTTTATTTATCTTCCCTCTGATACGCTTTGGCTGACCAAAGTTTGCTTCCATATCAAAAGGAATCTAAATAAAATCTACAAGGCCGCTGCAACTTTCCCGGGTTCTTTCCTACTAAAGTTATAGAGTCTACTAATTATTTCTCAATCTTTCTCAACCCCCCTGGCCGCGCTTACCCCTGCACAGTAATCCCCACTGATGGTCACTCTCTGAAAGTCGGGGAAGTCCTCTCTGACCAAAGGTTCTGTTGTGTCTGAGTCGAGTACCGGGGACAGCTGGGACCCCGCGGAGCGGACCAAGTCGTCGTCGCTGGGTATCTGCGAAGACACCGTTTGCGAACGCTTCAACCTGAAACTCTTCTTCCTTGTGGGAGAGAGAGAGAGAGAGAGAGAGGTCAGGCGTTACTCGCCCGCTTTGTTTCACACCCGGAGATCCCAGATGCTAAGGATCGCTTTTCCTACTTCTTAGCGGACTCCTGGGACTGCAGTGAGGCCATCTCCTTCTGCAGCGCCCTCTCCCTGTCCTCGTGCAGGCCGATGGGACAGTCCTCCGGCACGTTGAATAGGGACAGAGCGTCCTTGTTGTTCTCTTTCAGGGCGAAGGCATACACCTTCTCCGCCTGTAGACGCACATGCTCGTCCGCCTCGTTCATCGACAGCCTGTGGAAGTGCCGTGGCATTTCTGAGGGAGTCAGGAAAGAGGAGGTTTTATTTAATTACCAGGCGAGGTCTTGCATTGCAGATGACATTTTCTTTTAGTAGGATTGTAAATCATGGAGACCATGTAAATGACGGATTTATCTTGTAACGCCTGATGACATCATCATCCGTCACATGTAATAATGTTTGGTGGGCAAGACGAAAACCCACAAACACTGGTGCTGGAGAAAGATACAATGACAATAATTACTTACTTATAGGACGACCTAGTCCAGTTTTTAAAGCGCCGGTTCGATTCCGGGCTGTCTTAACTATTTGCTTCATGTCATTCCCTGACAGTTTTTCCAAATTTATTTTCTGATTATCACTATAACAAAAACCATAAAAATCCCTACAAATATTTTTTATAAATAGAAAAAATGTTTTTGTAATATTGGGGCGTAACCGTGACTATGAAGGAATGCGTAAGTCATAGTTACTCACCTCGGGGAAGTATTGACAGTTTGTCAGATAGAAATAACATTATCTTAGTGACAGTAGAAACCCATTAGTCCTCTGAACATGAGTTGGTGGTGGGAGGGGCTCGGGGGGGGTTAAAAGAGGCATGTTTTGCAATGCCTCATAACTCTCACCAGTAAACATGTCTTCAGTGGCTCTGTGTCCTGCCAACACGTCAGACACAGTTACAGTAAACACAGTTGATCACTTCCCCGCTGCCCTTCACTGGCATTGCGAAGGGGGCAAACGGGCCGGGGGCTACGAGTCAATATCTCTGTGATGATGATCACAGCACAGGTAATAATAAGCAACACAGTGGAAACTTCTCTGGCGAGAGAAAGTCTTTGGATATTATCCTGCAGTTTAGGTCTGATGTGAACCGCCTGTTGGGACATGAGGTGATTAAGCCAGATGGATTTATGTTTTTGTTTACGTACTGAGAAGGCTGACCGATCCTGAAAAGAAAGCCCTTCCTTAATAATAATAGTTCAGAGAGTTGAAACACATTGAAACATTGTTTAACTGGTACGGCAATTCGCCATGGTAGTCTTTTGAGTCCGTCAAACTATCCTCAACATTTCAGTAGATGAGTTAGCATATTTGTAGCAACTGTCAGCCAGATCAGCGCAGGGACAGCAAACAGAGTATAAACATTCTCAGGGAATCTGCAGATAAGCACCGTGATGATTCAGCTACTGTACCTGGAAAGGAAGGTCTGACTCTTTGTTGTGAGAGGAGCCATTATTAGCAAAACAGTGCAGTTTATTTGTGTTGATCGGATTCTCTTACATACGCTGCTACGAGGAACCAGGGTCCTATTTTTAAACATGTGACCCTGTGAATTCATATTTAAGTTCCGTTATGATGCTTTTTAAACAAAGCCCAATGCAGCTAACTAGCGTAACTAAGTGAAAGGATAATTTTTGCTCGTTCTCACCGACTTCACAGTGGTTGGAATGAAGGGGATTGGTATCTGCCAATATAGATAATCTGCCAATATAGATCAGTGATTGTCAAAAGAATCGTGACCAGGGATCTTTACACTACATAGAGTGATCCTCTATTGATAATCACCATTTCCTCACTTTTACTATTAATATTGAAGTTGGAGTCCAATCCAGCATCAATTATCCCCGGGGAGGTATTCGACTCAACAAGTGCAAGACGGGGAAATGAGGCACTGTTATATCACACAGCAAATTTCTCCACATGCAACTGTATCCGTCTGTGCCGCCGCACACAACATTGGGTTTAAATTTCCCCTGCCCGCTCCTCGGCTTGCATGTTTGGGAAGCCGGCATTTCTGACGAGCCTGTCGACTTGTGCATGCAGTCCCTAATGGAGCAGCTGAGGAGCCTCTTGGATGCCCTTGACCTTCATCCTTAATTATAGAAACCCGACCGGTCTGTCTGGAGGGTCTTTTGACATTTAACAACATTTCTAAAAATATGCACATCTGTGTTTTGGCAAATGTACACCTTTTACATAGCCCAATATGTAATTAAAAAGAGTTTGTTGAAATGCTTAGAATACTGCGGTGTACTTACCTACAGAAAGTGAATGCTACACCCATTGAATGAACCTCTGTCATCACATTACTTCCCAGTGTCGTCCCACAATCAGCAGAGGAAGCTCTAAGTTTCTCTTACCTTCCGCTGTGATTTTGGCCATGTTTGGCTCTCAGTCTCTGCCTGGCGTGTCAAATATTTAAGCTCTTAGGTGCTTCGTTCTCTTTTATAACTGACTATAGCTCCCAGACGTCTTGTCTCAGAAAAACACTTTCAAAGTGAGGCCGAAACCTCTGGACGCGGTCGGCACTCTCCTCGGGTCTGCTTCCCGAGGCTCTGTGATGCTGCTCTGCCGACTCGTTACTCCGACTGCCTCAGGCGAGCTTTGCTCCGCTGTTTATGTGGTCCAGGGCAGCTGCATGTACAATGCACCTGCTAGTTGTTGTTGTCTTGAGTGTCCCGCTCTACCTCTATTTTAGGGGGACAGCGCCATGGCAACAGGGCCTGCTTATCCAGGCTGGTATGTCACACGCGCGAGCGGATATCTGTGAGGTGCCGGCGCGATGAGGAGAGTGAACCGCTCTGGCGCAAAGCCATTATAAACAAACCATGTGAAATTGTAACTTTCCCGCAGATGACACAGCTAAGTAAAGCTGTGTCAACTGCTTGTGAACTAAAGGGCTGTAAAGACTATTTATAGAATTTAAAAGGGGTTTTGTTATGTCAATTTAAAGCATCCATTATTTACCAAAAGCAAGCAGTTGGAATAATTGTGCACAGTTGACCGGACATGTCAGAGTTCGCACAAAGACTTTCCAGATACTTATCCAACTAGAAACATTATCTCTAATCTGGGAATTTTTTATAGTATTGATAGATAGTAAATGCCGTGTAAAGCAAATGCTTTACTGGGATCCCCTGGATGTTCAGGACACTTTTGAGAGATAATCTCACTGAATGAAATAAAATAAGACTTGGCTTCAGACAACGGCACACATAATAAAAGCTAAATGAAGTTATGTTGATATAAACTCTGCACGGTCGGTGTAGCTCTCTGTGTTGTCATTTGATGAAACACTAACTGAGGCGAAGGTTAAGTTACGTTGGTGAGGTACCATTGGTAATTTAATATTGTACTTGTATTTGTGTGTATGTAAACTATGTTCATACTACACTGGACCCTAGATGCTAGCTCCCGAGGTTGAGGAGTCTCAAGTTTTTTATGTCAAACTATAAAATTTACATCATTTTTGGAACCTTTTTCATCACCATGAACAGTTCCCGAAAGGCTTAAAGATAAAACTTGGATAAAACTGTAGGATCAATATTTTATTATTTATAATTATCACAGCCCAACATTTTAATTACTCTTGCCTTGTAAAAATTATGTAAATAATGGTTTTTACGCATTCATTTATATTGATTATGACATATTGTGTATGTCAACCAGTTTACTCAGAGCTTTAATATTAATATTTCATGGCCTACTTAGGGGAGGCTACAACATAGGTAAACAAACTAAAAACTAATACGGTACAGGTTTCAGAGTATATAGCAGATGCTAATTTGCCACATCGGTCCCCAGAGGGACTTTTGTGATACCAGGCGATTAGAACAGCGTTGTAATAAAAGTAGAAATGACTGACGTTACATTTAAAAGAGTAATGGCGGGTAAAACCGTGCGGGATAAATAAACACATTCTCACCTTTCCCAAAGCATGGCGTCGATTGCTGCTTGTTAAGGGGCGTGTCCCTTCTCCTCATTTTGAGCTGTAAGGAGAGAAACAGCGCTTTAATTAACAAAGTTAGGGGGTGAAGTATCTCAGATGGGACAACGGAGTGAGCGGGTGGAGTTTTGAGCTTTCAGAACCAAATGAAGCTCGTAATCAGTTGACTCCAAAGTGGTAAGATATGTTCACAAGTCTATAGTGGGGGGTCAAAAGTCCATATAGGAGCCCTTTTTAATGGATTTATCTGAAAACATATTAGATTCTACAATCTGATAGAAGATCATTATTATTATTGTCACGAACCGGGCCGCACGGCCATGACAGCAAAGAGGGGATAGCACAAGGAGGCGTTTTTATTTAACTTAACCAAACGTAAACATTACTCGGGTCGCGTAGCAGTGGCGTGTGGACTCAGATTCATTGGTGCATGCTGGTGTGCGTGCAATGTTATATAGTGTCAAGACAAACCAACCTCTCCAGCCAACCCAGCGTCTCAGGGCGGAGACCAAGAGACACAACACCTGAGACCAGAGGGCCTTTTAACAGAGACACTGGCACACAAAGCCCATGTGTTGCCAGTGTCTTTGATTGCCTCAGGTGTTTCCTCCTAATGCCCCACTGCAACACCTGCAGGGACACCAGCCAGCGGCACAGGGGGTCTCCACACAACCACTGTAGGTCCATTACGGTGTTCATTGTGTGCAAAATACCAAACTGAAGTTAGCTGTAGAGTTTTTATTGTTTAATTATTTATTTCATTGTATTTTTCTTGTTCGATAATATAAATATTTCATCATCATGCAGTAGTAGATAAACACTGAGCTCGAATGGAAAACTGGAGAACCATGTTCTGGTTTTCCCCAATAGACCCCATTAATTGAACAAAACCTGGTCTCTCTGAAGGTGGAACAGACTGGAGATCAGCCTCAGAAAGGCTCAATAATCCTCCTCTCTATATTGAGGTCAAGTTTGGCAGATGCTGATGTTGTGAGAAGATTGATACTGAGAAAACAGTGAAACAATAAAACAGGATCTGAACACAGCCAAGTGTTGTAAGAATAACACATTGATTCCGTGCAGGTACAAAGGAAAAAATGTTTGCCGTGGCCAAAATATCGACTTAACTGCCACGATTGTGAGGCTGGACGCAGCGCTTGTCCAGGCAACATGTGTTTGTAATGATAGACCTGCTGGGGGGTTAAAAGAGATTAAAGTGCAATTCAGGTCTCCGCACGACAGCCTTCTCGGTCTGATCACTCCCACAATGAAGTATTGTATTTTAAATTTCATCCAAATTATTAATTAATTCCATTTCATTAATTATTGAATTATTCCTACAGTCGTTTCTGTCTGAAGATATTTTTGCAGAATATAATTAAAAGGATAACAAACGTAATTGAAATTAAATAAAATGTTTTCACTTTTAAGTGGAGGCTGAATCTGTAAGAAAATAAAATGTTTTTAGGACACCAGGTGGACATAAAGCACCAAAGCTGCTAGCAATTATATTATCTATTGTCAATTGTATAAATTGTGTAGATTTTCAGGACTTTACACTGTACAAGACTAAAACAATAACTAGTTATAAAGTGGATTTAGAAATGCTAACTTACTTTTGTTGTGTGACTCAATCCTTTAAATGTTTACCCACTCATACTGTGATAAAGACAACCCATCCCAAAGAAAACCCAGGGGACACTCAGGTTCACAAACGTTCGAATGTCCTTAAACACTTAAACGCTTCTCCAATACTATGGGGCGCCGTTTGTAAAATGTTGCACGTTCCAAAATCCTGCGCAGTTTTTCCACATTTAGCAGAACAAAAAAGCACAATAGTCACATGTCACTTTTTCAAACATTGAGAGAAATTCATGTACATTCATGCAATAACTTTTCCAAGGATAATGTTTTGGCAGTAACAAAGCTGTTAAATAAAAAAATTATTGGAAATATGTGAATGTGAATATTGTGCTTTTTTGTTCATATGATAATGCTAAATGTGGAAAAACTGCGCGGCGCCCCATATGTAAGGCTGTAAGCCCTTTTACCATAACACCTCAAATAGAGGCACATTTCATTTTGAAATGCGGTCCGCATGACCGCAGTGGAGAGGGGGTTCACGGGCGCGGAACGTCGCGCAACCCCCCCTTGACCGGACCATCGCCGACGATTTGGTCGCGACGGTGAAGGCGGGGGGGCACGGACGCGGATGCTCGCGGTTAACGGGGGGGGGGGGGGGCGCGGTGAAATCAGCCAGTTCTTTGTTCTAAAAGTATGACGGTTAGGGTTGTTGTGCTTGTTATTCAGAACGTGAGAACCATGCAAACACTTCGTTGGTCCTGGATGTGAAATGTAAGCCCTGCATTCACTGCGAGGTGACTCTCTCGGCTCTGGAAATTCCTGTTCTTTTGTCTTAATTTCTCAGTCAGCGGGGCTTAGGTACTCCAGGACAAATATTGAGCCTCACCCTTTGCATTTGCGAAGGCTCTGCAGTGCCTGCACCCTTAGGTGCGGTGCGTGAGGTGTGTGTGTGTGAGGCAGACTTGCCCCACTAGCCACTGAACTTTCCGACGGCGTGCTGAGGCTTGTTGGGGAACTAACAAGTTCAGTCCCTGATGATGGTATTCACCATCACTATGTGCTGCTGGGGGGCATTAAGCACAACCAAAAATTTCTATTCAAACCGGAGTCATGGCTGCATGCGTTTTGTGTTCTGCGTGCTTCTATTGATCTAAGAGGAAGCTCTCAGGTGAGAGGATGTCGTGTTGAGTTCTGTCACCGAGATAAGTGACAGGGAAGTTTTCACACGTTTACTGTTTCAGTGTTAAGATTCAGGTTCATTTCCCAAATAATCAAAGACTTTCAGGCCAAAGGTTTTGATCATTTGAAAAACAAAATGGAACCTTTGAACCTGAAAAGAAATACAACATTTAAAGTTAATGAGTACTTTTGGTTCTAATACCATTTTGATTCAGTTCTTGAATAAAATATTTAGTTATATTAATTTTCTTTCAGTTGCAGATTTTTGTTTAAAATCATTTTTTTCCACTTTCAGACTATTGGCCCTGTTCTTGCTCTTGTGACGATGAACTCGTTTCAATTCATGGTTCAAAAAGGCTTGCGCGTGTTGCAAAGCAATTCACCGCCAGAACACTAGGTAGAGTAACTTTTTTTGTCGAAGACAACCTAGAGAATGACATCTTTGTGTGTGGAAGTCATTGGTTTATTTATTTATCAGAGACTTTTTTTGCCCCGTGCATCGCCACTGTTGCTTTTCATTGCCTGTTTTTCGCAGACATATTTGTTCCGTATTTTCCTTCACAACTTTGTGCATCCTTCGACCGGCAAACCAGCGTTTGCGGAGATCTCCCTCCATGAATTGAACAACTGAGAGTGGCGTGTAATCATTAGTGACAGTTTAGAAATCAGGACTCCTGATCTTAAGCACAGCAACAAAGACGTCCACATGCACACATTTGTACTTTGTACCACAAACAGGCAAACCCAGACCCATCCATCTGCCTAATGTTGGAAAATACGACCAGCCAGAGGATTAGGTCGTTTTAGATGTTCCAAGCATCCACAACAAAAGGCCACCAAGACGCATGGAGGCTACGCTGCGTTCGCTGCGTTAGTTTATTGCTTTTATTCCGTGATTCTTGGCAAATGAATTGGCTCGTTGAACGAACAATCACATGAATATGGTGTATAGGAAGTGTTGATTCATAGTTCTCACAGTGCCTACGTTTCCTGAAAGCAACGCGGTTGAGGACGATTTTCAGCTTCTTTGCTAAGCTGTCACTCATAACTACACGCCTCCCTCAAAAAGGTTCAATTTTCTTTTTCAAATGATCAAAACTTGTGGCCCGGATTTGATTCCATAGAAATGGATTCAAATTTTGTTAAAAATTTTAATTAAACTGAAAACTTCACGACTTGAACCTCTTGAATTTGAGTTAGGCTGAACTGTGGGTCAGTTTACATTTGATTATCACCTGTTAAATTAACATATCTGTGTACAGCTGTGTACTTACTGTTTGCAGACGTGTGCTCGGTGTCGCTACAGAGACCCTTCTTATGCTTTGCGGGGGCTTGCCAACACGCTCACTGCCGTTCTGGACAAGTGTAACGAGTGCCCGGCTCTGGCGCTTCTAAAAGACACAGCTCTCCGAACGAGGAAGTGATCGCATCGGGGGAGGGGGTTATCTTAGTGCTGTAGAGGAAGTTCAAACGGGAAACTATTTATAGATCACACCCTTCTCTGTTTGTTTAGAGCGTATGCCATGGGAAGGCAGACCTGTTAGATTGAAAAGAATGCGTATAAAGAAGCCGCTATTTACAGAGGAATAGGTTTTATCTCGATTTATGTTTAAGCCAACGGTCACGGTGTCACCTTACCACTTAGTGTGGGAGTCCAAAAACGCCCAATGATGCCGTGTTGCTTTTCTGATGATCAACTTGTGATTATTCTTCATTACTGTGTGTTATTGTACATTTACAGAACTATGCAGTATGTCTCACCTCAATGTCACTTACCTTTTTAACTCATCTATTTACAGAGACATGCAGTAGGGGAAAGGATTGTTAATTAAGGTGTTTATAATAGCTTTGTTTGGGAAAAGTTCCTGTCAATGGACTACCAAGGTCATCCGTGGACAACACAGGAGACGATTTCCCATGCAAATTGGGGCTGATGTTGATTTAGATTGGTGTGGTCGAGCTTACAACGGCCCCCTGTGTACAGTTAAGGACCATCTGCTGTTGTTAAGTCCCCCACATTGCGTCTGGAGGGCCGACTTGCTCCTTAGCATCATCATTGATTCCACGCAGCAGTAGTTAGGCAGGGTTAAATCTGCTGGATGCTTTGTGCTTGTTCTTAATTATGAGGATTTTCTGCAGGTGAGTTAATCAAACGTGTCACCGCTCTCTAGTGGACAAACGATTTAAAGGCAACCGTTTCTAAAACCCCTCAAACCAAGTTTATCTTTATATCTATTCATCTTGTCATGGAATATTCATCAGCCTACATCAAATTATGAGAAGTAGATATCTGGGAATTGTAATGACAAATGTCTTGGAAAAAGAGTAAAAACAATATTTGGTCAAAGAATGTCAGAAGAAGTCCAAAAATATTAGGTTGAAAAAGTCATGGAAGAAAAAGTCAAGAAATATTTGGTCAAAAAAAATATTAGGTTGAAAAATGTCTGAATATATCTTTGTCAAAAAAGGTTTGGGGGGGGGGAAGTTGAAAAATATAAGGTCAAAAGATGTCACAAAAAAGGGAAAAAGGGAAAAAATAGTTGAAAATGTGAAAAAGAATCACGTCAAAAAATGTCACGGAAGAAAAATTCAAGAGCTATTTGGTTAAAAAATGTGTAGCAGTACATGGGGCCTGTATCTAAATACCCTACTTTAAAGGAGTTATGTTATTGGGTTACTTTTTAAAGAGAAACATGTATCTTCACTTAAAACAAACAATAATTGGCAAACGCATTCTTTTTAACGAAATTAAAAATTAGTCATTACTGTTATCTCGTCAGTCCAATACCACCGTTTTAATGAAAATATCCACATTGGCAGGGTTTGTGACTTTGTGATAGTGGGGGTCAAATTCCATCGTGATTTTCATTTTTATCTTGTCCCCGTGCCGCGCTCTCTCCCTCCATCCGTCAAAACGTACGTTCCATAACTCATTTCGTAGAAATGTTTACACAGTTTGAGGAATATTTTGACCCCTAGATGAATTCAGTTTGTGCAGCTGATAAATCATGTGTTACTTTTCAGAGTGGAATGTAACATTGTCCTGCATTTTACTACTCAAAGCATCATAAATTGACTTGGCACTAAAGCATGTTGCCTCCAGACACCTCAAACACGTGCACTCGAGCAGAATAATATGATATTAGGTCACCAAATAAAACAGCTTGAAGTTCTTTTCATTGCTGCATTCATTCATTTATTTCAAAACCAGGTACGTTGCATCCAGGTGAAAACCCTTACAGTTCCTTTCACGCCCCCCCACAACAACACACATCAAGTTAGCTAACAGCATTCTAGTAGTTGCAGCGGAATTATGAGTAAATTTGTATGTATGAGCGGATACAATTCAAAGCAATGGTTATTCAAACCAAATATTGAGCGTTGCCACAGGAAGTGCTTTGTTGAAGCTGTAACATGTTTCCTACTGTAAAGCTAGATGGCAGCAAAGCACTTGAATTCGCTCTCCATCACGGAAAGACTCTCACTTTACTTCCAATATTGTGTATTCATCACAACAATGTTAAAAAAACAGGTAACTATGGTTAGTTATTAAATCAACATGAAGGATACTGGACAGGATAGTTATAAGATACGCACTTCATTGAAGTTAAAAAAAAGTTGTGTTTGATATGTATTTAGGCTGTATAAAAATATAGTTGTATCGTATGCTTAAATATAAGGTAGCTTTATATTTCCTTATTATATACAAGCTGGTCATTGTATATTTTGGTTATAGTTCATATTGTTTAAGAAATGATGCCGTTTGGGGTCCAGAAATGTCTTTTTTTTTTTATTTAAAAAAAGGAAGTTCCTCTTGGTTCCCCTCCTGTTCCTTCTCGGTTCCTCCTCGGTTCACGGGTCACTAGGTGGAGATCTGCAGGAATTGTCTGGTATCCCAGCTGCCGAGCTCCCTTTGGAAGCTAAAGAAGAGACAGACATGTTTGTCAGGTGTGACTTGAGCTCATCCATGAATCACGCTCTTAATTCAGACACACTGCGACCTGCGCCTGAGCATCTACAGATCTATATTCTCAATCTCGCTTTCATCCAGAGTGACCTGAGCTCGTTTTTTTTTTTTTTCTTCATATCTAGTTGTAAATCTGTGAAATGAAACCTCTGAGGGGACTTATCTTGATCTGCTGTGAGCAAACAACCCCAACTAGGATTCTCTGCCTCTCCGCGCCTGTCTCTAGGCCACTCTGCGTGTGCTTTTGTGTCTGCGGACTCGCTGACCATCTTCAGTGCTCCGTCGCTGTCTTCGTGTCCGGAGGGCGAGCCAAGCGTCGTCCAGGAGCGAGCGGCGGCGGCGGCGCCCGTAGCCGCCTGAGCCGATCTTTTTCACGGGAGCACATGATTTTATCTGGTGGATCTGGTGCAGTTGGTGGATCAGGTCGTGGTAGACGCACGTGACGAAGCGGCAGCCGGACGGTTTGGACGTTGACCTCCTGGATCTGAGGAGTAGCCCGCAGCTGGTGGAAAGGAAAACCAAAACGTGTGCTTCATTTTCAGCTTTCCATGGTTGTTAAATCTGAACTTATAAAATGTTGAGTTGAAACCCGAATCTATGACTGGATGCTTTTAATTCATGTGAATGTATCGAAGCTATTGAATCATCCACATTCTCTTGACAAATATCTCTTTTCTCCCTTTTTGTCTGAAGACCCCTTAAATACTTCAATCAATCAAATGAGCACGAATAAGCCACCAAAAAGCAGCTTTTCCACCTTGGTGGAGGCGAGACACTTGTTGCGTTGTCCTCCTGCCGCGGTGCGGCGTGGACGTCAGAGAGCTGCTCACTGCCCGTCAGAGAGCCGCCACAGATGTCTCTTTTCACACGGCTCTGCAGCCACACTTTAAACCTGAACACACGGCGACAATATTTGATGACAACAGTTCTGTTAAGTTCATCCGCGCTGTGGAAGAATTGCACGACTGATAAATCTGAGCATTTCACAGGTGAATGTGAATATACCTCCACTGGCCAGATGTCTGAGGCCTTTTGTAGACTAGTGTGCAACATGGTTTCTCTCTGTTCTGACCGATGACAGTGATGAAATGAAGAGCTCACCTTTCCTCCAGGATGGTGTCGAGCTCCCCGGTGGTGCCTCTCACCGGCGGCAGCAGGGCGGAGAATGCGCAGCAGCACAGGACGGTTTGCAGAGCCAGTCTCATGTTGGCTGCGAGCCGTCAGGTGAAGAGGATGGAACGTCAGCTGCAGCCTGGCGAGCGACACGCGGCTCCGTAGCTGCACAACAGGGATGGTTGGGAGTCACAGTCGGCTGGCTTGTCAATCACAGAGAAATCTGTTTGTCAAGTTTAAAAGCCCGTTTCCTACAAACATGTTTCGCAAATTTCAATTGAGTCCGTTTGCATTATTTAACACCTCAAGAACTCAAGAAACAATGATTTACTTTAATTAAAATAGTAGAAGTCACTTACCTCGTGTTTGAGCTCGTCAATCAATGTAGACAATCTATGATGCACATCCAAGTGCTTTTCTTTTACCAATTTCTTTTTTCTATGGTGGTAAAGAGCTTAGCATGAGTTGTAGTCTGAAGTTTTGCACGGCTAACATGAGAGGCTTTATAGAAAGAGGGCGGGAGCTGTACCTGAATCCCAAAGCCAGTGGGAGGGACTGTGGGACCGTTCATGTCCACCCCATCCACCCCACATGTAGACACCCAAACCAAAAACATGCAGGCATTACAGTCGTGTCAGCTAACCCCGAAACGAGGTGACTAATGGAGACGAGTTTGTGTGACAAAGGGTGAAAGAGGCTTTGTAAGATTAGCTAACATTATTTTTTCTCTCTCAAAGTGTATTTCTTGCAAATGCCATTGCATTTGCAAGAAATACACGCACTAAAGCCATTATCTCTTGTCTAACATCCGTCTTGCAACGGGTTATTTTTGGAGTGGCATGTGTGCGCTCATTGGCTTTTAGTGTTCTAAAGGAGACGTGTGTTTGTGTCAGCCATCTGTGATTTTTAAATGGTTTCAAAATGTTAAGTATGTTTAAATTAGCAGTGTTGTTGTGGCAACTGCATGCCCTGTGAAAGCTTATGAAACGAACATGTGCTTCTAACTGAACTGGTTCAATCAATCTGAACGCCACTCAGCCAGCGGCGTTTACTTCCAAGTCTTATAAACAGTGTGTTAATCACACATTAATCCCTAACGTCTTCCTCGTTATCTAAAAAAACGACTGCACATTGTGCACATCGCCTCAAAGGTCATCTCAGGGGTCAAGTTGCCACATAAGAAGCCACAGCGTCTGGTCTGTATTGAGATCATGAAACTCGGCTGTAGTGAAAGCCATGTGACCCAACTGCTCGGTCGGCCATGTTGGTGCAGTATGAGGAAAATCTTGACACAAGACTCACAGTCAAATCTTCCTACTTTAAGAAATACTTATTCACATCTCCAGTACTCGTGTTCACTTGAATTATGAGAGAAATCTGTTTTTGCGGGTCTCCCATGTGAATGGAAAAATTGAGAGTTCCGAAAAAGAATTGAAAATATAAAAGACATGAAAGCAAACCTACAGTTTGGGAAGAAATCCACAGCTCTTTTTTTTTCCTTCTAAATTCCATAAATTGGGTTTGATTTTTCATGGAATGAATGACTAACCCCCTGAAGACATTTTGTTAATAATAGAAGATTGCACAGTATTTGTTGACGGGTGTATCTAGGATGTCAGGCTGATTCACCAGTGAAGGAAGGTCACAGATAGAAACTAAAGCCTACAGATCACGGCTGTAATTGACTACATGGGGGGGGGCTGACTTTACAAAACCCAGTGGCACACACAGCTTGGATGGGTCTAAAGACGCTCATGAGTAATGCTTTTGAATGATTTGAATAGGTAAACACATTGCCGTCATGGCAACAATACGGCCAAAGAGATGATTCAGTGATAAATCTGATGTTGAGTTTCATTTCTCCAAAACACACGCTCAAAATCAATCCATAGGTGGTCACTATCCGTATCAGTAAGCCAAGATACTGTATATTATTTTCCTTCTTGACTTTTTTGCCGCAAGAATAGCTTTTGCATTAGATATTCAAGAAATGAAGACAACATGGTGTTTTCTCAGGGGACGAAGCTGCTATTGATTTCCACTGTCAGGGGTCAGTGGAACCCGATGTGAGCTAAACATTGGCACGCTCACACTGTGATAATATTAGATATTTAAGGTCTATTTATAGTCGCATATTTCCTCCAGTGTTTTTATTACTACTGAGAGAGAAACGCAGGAATTATAGGGTTTGTATTAGAAAACTCTCCCTGGAATTGAACAATATGATTTGCACCATTCTAAACATTCCTCTCCCCTCCTAGTATGTGTTGTTTTGGTCGGGTGAGATATTTACCAATTACAGGTGGAAAATATCATTTTGCCCAAGGGAAAGGCAATGTTCCACGTGTATTTATGACCCATGTGTCTGGAGAGGTATAACAGAACAAGCCAAACTAGTTTGTTTACACTCAATTAGGTTAAAAGTCTCCAATTAAATAAAAGACGAAAAATCGACTTGACTTTTACGTGGGGAGGCTGTAACAGACCTCTCCTGCAATACATGTTTCAAATTCTACAATCTTGTAACCCATTGTTTATCAGTTTGATGAGAATAAGCCACTTGTGGCGAGGGCCATTCTTTGCGGTTGTAGCCAACGTATACCGCGTTAGAGGATAACTGTGGGTTCAAAATATTTAAATAAACTGGGAAACAAATTCTTGGCTTTGGCTTGGATCTTGGCTTTTTGCAACTTGGTGACGTATTGGACGGTAGTGGATTGTGGAGGGGTGACGTAGTGATGCCGTATACGGCGCTGGCAGCAAAAATCATCCCCTGCTTTATGTTCTGTTTGACTGAAAACCGACCATAATTTACTAACTTCTACAACACTTGTCTTCACTCAGCATAACAGGAGATTTCCAACTGATTGATAATTTTACGTCCAGCACAAAGCTGCCAGAAGAAAATCTAAAATTTGTTCAGGTGCATCTTGTTCTTTGTCCATTCATTCTGTTGTGTGGTTTACAACACTCCCACAGTTTTAGTGTCTAAAACAGACGCGTAAACCCATCCGTGGCGTTTGTCTTCTTACGCTTAACAATTAAATATGAATTATTTACTACTACTCCAAATAAATATACCACAGAGTTCCTTCTTTTTGCAGCGCCAGAATCAAAAGTTAGCGCCTGACGCCTCGATTGACTCTTTGCTGTCCCAAAGGCGTCGTGTTAAACTGCGTCTGGAAGTCAAATGTGTGGTTTCTTTCTGTTGCTTCGTGTGTCCCGCGGTACCCATCTGGTGTTCTTTGGGAAGTCTTTCGTAGGTGAGTCTCCACCAAACGCCGCACTGAGAGCACAGTTTGATGCTGCGTGAGAGACGACGGTTTTGAAGATCATTCAGCGCTGCAGTGATTGGCTAGTGGCACCATTTTAGCACGATTTCCCATCATTAGGATGTAAAAATCTGTTGTGTCAGTGGCGGCGGGGGGGGGGAGTTTTTTTCCAAAACAATACCGAAACTTCTTTCAAAGGCCAGATGTTAATCTCATATTTTGAGCATTGTGTAGCAGGCTTTAATACGTCCCACTTAAATTACCCAAGAAAGTGGTGCCAATGAGTTGCGATGGTCAAACTCTTGCGTGATTCACCAATTACACAGAAATGAACACAGGCGGGAAACACTTCTGATCTCAGAGGTTTCAGACCTTTTCACCTGATCATACACCAGCTGTGTTATACTGTGCTGTGTTGTTTTTCTTAGAGTCGCTGGAGCAGATCTTATGACAATCCATCCAATAGTTGTTGAGTTATTGTGATAAAAGACTTAATGGAAGACCCCGTGGTGGTACTTCATTAAACACCACAAAGTCTCTTGCCTCTTGTTTGTACAAATTGTTCAAAGCAATTCAGCCAAATGTTGTTGAGATATTTCTTTCAAGACCAATGTGCTCTACACAAGTTGCTAGTAAAACCTAAAAAAATAAATAATAATAATAATAATTTGTATGTCTGTGATCTGCCCAATTATCCATCAATGTATCTTGTTTTGTTCTACAAACATTTCCAAACCTGAAAATAAAAGTCTAAGATTAAGAAAGACAAGCATATATTGTATGTATTTACAAGCTGTAAATAGTGTTTTTGTGACCATTTCATTGCATTGTTCATTTGAATGAAATGGTGATTAATCCACAAACCGATATTTCAATGTTGAATCAAGTTTTAAGTGAAGTATGGCGAGCGACAGTGATCCACTAACACAGGTACCGACTGACAGGTGTGTGTCTGTGTGTTCGGGTGTTAAAGTGGTCATTTCATAGACCAATTCTTCATTTATTGGGCCTTTTTTCATTTAATAAGCCATTGACACACTACTGCTACTGTCCTACTGACTACATTTTGGTTTCCCCAAATATAAATGTAATTCATTCAACTTCTTTGTTCTCTCTGCTGTGTCTGGAGAGTTTGATTTCTCACAAATCTCATTGTTGCATTGGAAGCGTAAACGTGTCCGGGGATGGACTTGGACAGACGGGAGATTCCAGCGTGTGGGGCGCCGGAGGGGAAGTTCATTTCATAAAGCCAAAGACCATCTGAACCGCAGTCCATTCACTTCCCATCTTCCCCGTTATGAGACACTTATAGAAATATCCTTCAATATGTTCTAATCTGAATGCGTGTGTGTGTGTGTGTGTGTGTGTGTGTGCGCGCCTCAACAAAAGCCACGGACACACACATTAGAGCTACAACTGTTTCTTCTCTTTAACTTTCTTGTATCGAGTCAACGAGCCGAGCGAGTCTCCATCGTATTCCCGAGATGTCCCGGGGTTCAGCTCCGCATCGTCTTCTGCACCTCCAGCAGATGGATGTCCCACAAGTGGCCCATAAACCTGTTTCCAAAAGAGCATGTTTACTATAGTTACACCCACACCACCCCCCCCCGATGACAGATGACATGTGAACTTTAGCTCTTTTGGATTAGATGACGCCACTTTGAGCCAAAGCATTACTGTCACATTGTCCTCGTTAGGACTCTTTTTTAAGGCAGGTTTCATTACTTTCAAACAAAAATGGAGCGATGACTCGAGTAACGGTTTAGCAATCTATTGTATTTCTAAGACGTGCTCTTTGAAACCTTCCAAGGGGTTTGTTAAACTCTTTTCAGACGTAAGAGCTTCATCTGTCTGTTAAGTGGAGGCTTTTTGTCAAGACGTGTTTGTAATTATGTATTATTATTGAACGTTCCTGTTGGCTTTAAGCAGGCAGAGAGTGCATTTACAGATTGAGCCTTAGGTGGAATTAATATTAGTATTACATATATAAGTATTTCATCATTGAATAATACATTTTCTAGTCACTTTTAATCATATGAAGTTCTTACATGGTGCATTCAGCTGCCTGTTTTTAACATAATCTGTATAAGGCTGCAAACAGATCTTAACATAATCTGCTGAATGCTAGTGTGGCCTAAAGGATGTTAATAAGCATAAAACACCTCTCGGATAATCTGAATCGTTTGCATGAGTTAATTATGAATGATGTAGTTTGTACAGATTGGCTTGTTGATTACTCCGACATACTCGATGACAGCAGTGAGGCTAACGAGCTGTTTAGGAGTTTTACCTAAAAGTGATTTACGGATCTTTTATCTCCTTTAAATGCACGCCGGTAACTCAGAAGGGGGCTCAGGATGGATTGTGTGACTTCAGGTGTCCTCGCTGCAGGAGGTCCATGAGCCGTGACGACCCGCTGATCCCCGAGGAAGAGAGAGTCCGAGTGTTGAGGGAATGGGATGAAGAGGATGATGAGGATGATGATGATACAGGAGCGTGCAGGTAATTCCACCCACTATCACCTCACCAAGCACTTGTTGGTGAAACAACAAAGCTCTTCCGACGAGTCCACCTGCTTCCTTTTAAGCCCGCTGTACTCTGGGTATTTTTAGCCTAGTTTTATACGCTCTGTGCAATTAGGATGCAAGTAGGCTGCTGGTAAACAATCCGCTGGTCGCAGGCCAGCTCCGAGCTTGGCTCAATGGGACGGTTTCAAGTGGAAAACAAAAAAGAGACAAAAGAAGAAGTGCATGTGCTGGCAGGAGCGCAGAGCGGTCCATGGGGGGGATTCTTGCAGGGATTCTTTTTTCTTTTTCACAGGAACACTTGTGTTTTATATTTGCGCCGACATTCTTGTGTGTTGTTGGAGGAGGAGGAGGAAGAGAAAGACGTCGACTGTTGAAGTCTCTCCATCTTGTCACGTAAGGCATTCCTCCCCGATAGAGAGGGAGACGGAGACAGCCGGTCATTGGTGTCCTCCAGTTTGCATCAGGCCGAATGAAACCAAACATGTCTCCACATCTGTGTTGGTCCAGAGCACATGTAGGTGTTTAGAAAAATGCATTGCTGCATTTTTCTGCTGTCAGGGTGCATGAATGTCATGCAGCATTGACTCATCAAGGTGTGGACACTTACGTACGCATGGACGTGTGCGTATTCACTGGCACATGACCTACAGTAGGAAAGTAGTGCATTTTTCTTTTTTACACGTATGGTAACCTCCAACCTATAAGGGCAAAGTGACCAACAGGAGGTCAAAGTGGAACCCCGCTCATCTTGTCAGAGGGTATTTATATCAGGAATGAAGAATTGGAAGATGGGTCTGATTCAGCCTTTCTGTGGCTGCAGAGTCGACCTCAGTCAGATGAGGTGATTGGACCCAGATCCTTTGTCCCAAATTTCGTCTCCTTGCATCCTTGAACCTCACAAAATATCTTAATTTATCTTTATCTAATCTTAATTTGGGTTAGGCAACACAGGTGAAATAAGGTGAAACTCCTCTGCTCCTTCCAGGTTCCAGTTCTTCTTGTTTGGTGTGAAGTGGAATGCTGCTGCTGGTCTTCTTCGGTGTTTTCCACTTCCATGAGGAGTAGGGAGGACATCTGTTTGCGTCGTTGGCCTGTCTAAGGAATTTTCCGGACACCTTTCAATCTTCTGTAGAAATGTATGACGTGAAGATGCAGTGATAAGCTATTTTTGTCCGCTGCTCTCGCCAGATGCTCGGAGCTCTGGATGCGCCCGGATCGGCCCCCTGGGCTCCATGAATTGTCATCGGCGATACTGTGAAGGAAGGTAAATGTTCTGCAGGCATTTTTATTTGATGGTCCCAAGAGCGCTACCTCTGATCCATAAAACCTCTACAGCCCCCCGGGGGCTCCGGAGAACCCCACTCGCTGTAAATACCCAGAATACCTCAAACTTTCAAACCCCTATATATTTTGAATTCCTTAGACGTCTTCAAACTCTCAGATGCTCTGGTACTCGGGGGGGCAGTGAGACCCCTTAACCCCGCCATTTTTTCTGACCTAAGTCCCCCCACTGCTCTCTCTCATACACACACACACCCCCTGCGATGGATTCCAGATCAGGGAATTTAATGCATTTCTGTTTCGCATCACCTCCCAGGAATGCAGCACGCGTGCCACAAGCCTCATAACCTCAGGCTGATGAGTGTGAGGATGTTTAAAAGAGAGAGGCATGATGGGATACAGACGCTGCTGGGGGTTGTGGGGGGGGGGTTGACAGAGCGCGGCACTTTGCCTTAATGACCATCTTGTTGCATAAAGAAATGTTAGTGCAGCTGTGGTATGTGCAGAGCGCATCTGGGCTGCAGATTTTTGGGAGCGTATTGTAACTTGTGTGTGTGTGTGTTTGGTCTGTCTCACTCAAATTAACAACTGTTGCACGATACGGAGGGCGGATGGAGCGAATTAACTTGTTAGGGATCTTTGGGCCTGATTTTACCAGGCGGTCTGTTTTGCATAACGTTTAGATGATGCTGTGTTTTCGTGTCCTGGCAGGCGGAGACGTGTGAGCACATCGAGTCGTGTCCGGATCGGCCTGAGCGTCCGGCCCGTCGGCAGATAACCTGCAGCGAAGCGTCCGGTGTCAATCTAGTGGAGCTCATCGATGGTTGACCAAGTTATTTACAGTCTCTCTTAGTACTAATTAAAATGAACACATCAATATCAAGAATGTTTCTCCAGTGCTGATGTACAACAGTCTAAATCTACACAACTTAAAAACACATTATGGTTGTACTGTAACTAGCTTTTTTATGTTATGAAGGCGAATGCTGTGTGTCTACGTTTGTAATCTTCACCTGCAGCTAACAAGTTCTAAGTTCTTTTTCATTCAGGCATAATTAAACTATTTACAAATAACATTTAATGGAGACTGCACGGTGAACCAGTGACGTCTTCACATCGCTTGTGTCCAAAACTGGAAATTAATATTTAAATTCTCCTATTTCCATTTTTGCTTGATAAATGATTCAAACAATTGATCTTTTTTGTTTTTAATAACATGTCAGTTGTACATGAACTGTGTGTCGTCTAGTTGATTATTTGACCGTTTCTGCAATTCTCCCGACAGCCGACAAAACTCATTTATTTCAGGTTTAGAATTTATTAATCTTGAATGGATGAAAGTTATTGATGAACTCAAACATTAAGACATCAAAATACATCAGAATTATCGGCTATTCTTAGTTTGAATTTGTTCAACCCAAGTTTATCTCCATATCAACACTCAAGTGTCCAAAGTGTTTCCTTTTGTCTTAATGGAACTTCTCAAGTCTCTTTTCAACCAGACGACACTTCAGTAGCACATTATTAGAATTACCGTCAGGGTGTCTCCGTCCCACACCGGAGACAGTGATCAGCTTCATTTCAGGAAGCTCTGGACTTGAGTTCCTCTGAACTACAATTAAAGCATCTACTGCATTGTGACAGAAGCCTGGAGCCATCCGACATGCTGAGCCCTGCTTGGTGTTCGTGGTACTGCGGCGCCCCGCGGTGGACGTGTGAGGTCACAGCAGCAGTGCAGCAGGCCGTTGGTTTGTGTGATGTTTTTAAAAGTTCTGCTGCAGATGTTTTGTGCTAATCATTTATACCAAATAAAAAGGAATGCCATAGGCAAGTTATTCAAGACATGTTTTACTCTTCGTTTTCATTTATATAAAACACAATAGAGAAATCAATATACACTTATAACATTATCAAAGGCACTGATGTTAGAGTACAACAACACAGGACAAATGTTCCTCAGTTAGCATCCTGTTTTATGGGGGAAATTTTGGCCGATTGCCCGATTAAGCTTCAGCTAAACTTTAGTAAGGACAACAGCAAAAACCATTGTTAATATATATGTAGAAAATCCCTTTTATTTATATTTTCACGCTGACGGCTTTGCTAACAGGAATATAGCAAAAAGAGAGTTTGTAGCAGTAACTTACAACTCATTTAGATGCTGATCAACATCTCCTAACTTTACAACATGAAAACATGCTCAAACAGAATGAACTCTGGTTAGAAGCGGTAGTGTAATAAAGGATAAAAGGTAGCGACGTGCACTCTTTTCCACTAATGACATGTAAAAACAGATTTAACGGATGCGTGAACCGTGAGCATGTTAGCGCCGAGGGTTCAAAGGTCAAACGTTATCCTCCTCCCAATTTACTGTTTGCACTTTATCCATATAAATGACTCGACTTTGCCACACTGAGCATTTCATGTCCTGCGACTGACAGAACGATAACGAAGCTTTCATTATTCCAGCATGTCTGCTCTTGGTATGTTTTGATTCTAATATCATGCCGTTTGTTTCCAAATTTCAGCTACGTCCAATATCTGGTCACCAGAGAGTTTGTCTACCTCCCGGGCAGTGTCTCCGCCTCGGAGCTGCGTGTCGGAGGCTCTACTGGGCCTCGGCTGTCTGGTTCTTGCCTTCCTGCCATTTCTTCTGCCTCAGAGTGAGCTCTGCATCAGAAAACGCTGCAGGACCCCAATTGGTGATCATCTGCTGTCCCTTGGAACCTGGAGTTGGGACGGGAGGAGGCAGGGGGATCCCCTTAGAGGTATGAATACTTCCAAGTATTTGTCAATACTATGGATTGTAAATGGCAACACAAAAGCAACAGTGATGAAGCCCCATTTGAAATTGAAGAAGTAACGAGCTCATCCTAGACTCTGTCCAGATGAACGGAGGTCCTCTGTGTCCGTTTCAACCTCGGGTCACTAGTTCCCCTCCTCCCAGTAAAACAGTAAAAGAGAAATATACTTTATCAGACAGCTGACAGCTGATTTTAACCGTAGTCATAAAATCCAGCCCTTCCCCTCAGAGTGACCCATTGCACAAACGGACGGAGGTTATTTTTCCTGTTGTTGTTGTTGTTACCTGGTTGAATGAGCCGCAGCATGCCCTCGTGTTCAGCCACCTTGTGCTTCCAGGTCTTTGTGTTGTTGGTTGCGTCTTCCAGCTTCTTCATCACGGTCTGCTCACACAAGAAAGTTATCGAGGGGTCTTTATTTAATTCATGATTTAAGAAGAGCCCTTTGAAATACTTCATTGACTGTAACACGTGTAAAGAAAACTGTAATAGTTATTAAGAACTCAGATCGGTAACATGTCCTGGATATCGTTCTTTGCTCAAGATGACATCAATCCCCCACGTCTCTACACTGCTCGCTGATATGTTTTCTCTCTCTCTCTCTCTCTCTCAGAATTTTACACATTATTATTATACCTTGTCATTGAAGGTTTTTGTTCCTTTTGACTTAAAAACCACTACATTGTCCTTATGGACCCGCTGGGCCCGCCCCTGCTGTCAGCTGACCTGGTACTGCTCCAGTGCCCCCTGCCTCTCTTGTTCCAGCTGCTCCAGTTGTGTCATGGCGGCCTGCAGGGCGCTCTCCTTGGCCACACGTTCCTTCTCCAGCTCACGTTTCTCAGCCTCCGTCTGGGAGATTGCGCGCTGCTGCCGCAGGTGGAACTCCTCCAACTCCACCCTCTTCGTGGCCTCCTCCTCCAGTAACCTGCTCCACACAGACGAGTAATTCCAATAATCCCGTAGGAGGCATTTAATAACCTGCTTACGGTCATTCCCCTCCTTTGTAGACCGAAAGAATGTTTGATTTATTGATAAAGACATCGCCAGACAAAGACAGGATTGCTGTACAATCCTGACATTTTGGCTTTATATATATATAATCTATAGATATATATATATATATATATATATATATATATATATATATATATATATCTCATATATATATATATAAACTGGTACTGTATGTACATATGTATTTATATATATTTATATGAACAATATTTATACAAGTAGTGAATGTATTAAATCTGTACTGATTTAGCTTTTTGATTATCAGTCTGGATAATAAAAGTTGATGTAGAAAATCTGTGTGTGAGGCGTCAATGTGTCAGCAGGTGGTGCTGTAGTGCAATAATGAATTGTTTTCATTTTTAGGATTATGAGTCATTAAAAGTTCACTTCTGGGTTAATTAATTTAATGAATACACACGTTGTATAGAAATCCATCCAGAGATTTAAATAACCAATATATAAGGTAACTACTGTGTAATCTTATTAATGGATGTTTGAGTTTTCCACTGCATTCATTTTGCGCCAAATTATAAAGTGACAGATAAATTGTACAAGACCTTCTATTGTAATATCAACAGACTGTCATTTTAGGGCCCTGGGCCGTGAGACGGAAAGTAAATGTCAGCAAAGAGGAAGGAAGCGTGAAGAGAGGGAAGTAGAAGTTAACGTTTCTAAAACAGAGGAGCAGGCAGACTTCTTAACAAACAGATGTTACATTTCTAACTTTTATCGGATGACAAGCAAATCTAAAAGTGTATTACATTTCATCACTTTCATCATCGCTTGTCTCCTTTGACCACACTTTTAGGATTTTAAATCTGATGTGTTGAATCTGTGATAAACATGTAATATTTCCCTCAGCGTATCACCGCATTCAGCCTGGACGAGCCGAGTGAAGCACGGCGTTCCCACGCTGTACGTTCGTACACGATTTTGTTCACTTTATTTATGTGCCACGAAGGGGCGCCGCCCTAGTCTATTGTAGGAGCACCGAGACAGCGCTATTAGCCACAATATAACAATGTTTTGTTTTTAAATCAAGTGTGAAGGCCAAACTGTAGTCCTTCCTGTGACCACATTTAAGAAAGCCACACGAGAGAAGCAGTTTGACTCTCTGGTCACATGACCTGCACCGCTCACATTGAGTGGTTGGTTTAGAATTCACATTAATATCACTTACTTTGTTGTAATAACATACTGAATCTTTTCCGTCAGCTGAATATATTCATGAATCTGTGCTCCTCCTCCACCCTTTATAGACACACCGTGTCTGCAGATGCCGCCTGCCCCCCCCCCCTCCCCTCCTCCTCCTCCTCCTCCACCCTTCACAGACCCACCGTGCCTGCAGCTTGCGGACTGCCTCCTCCTCCTGCCGGGCACGCTTCTCGTCCTCCAGGGCGTCCTCCAGCTGGCGGTACATGCCCTCCATCTCTCGCACTCGCTGCAGGTACTGCTCCAGCTCGGTGGACTTCTGAGCCACCTGCTTCTCCATCTCTTTCCGTACCTGTTGAAGAGAGAAATACTTCAGGATTGTAATTTTCCAAACTAAATATTTACCTTTTATCAAAAAAAAAACTTGCATAGATAATAAAAAGCCTTCAGTATACCAAAAACAGGAAGCTGTATTTGGGTCTGCTCTTGCTCCACCACCTGTTCCGATGACTCGGTGGAGGGTGACGTACCATTTGCTCTCTCTCCAGGTCCGTCTGGTAGCGGTCCTGGAGCTCAGTTTGGGTCTGAAGACGCCGTTGTTCTTCTTCTGCTGCGTTAGTCGCCGCCTCCTCCAGAGCCTGGTCCAAAACGAAAGATCGTATAAGTATAGAAAAGCACCGTTTCACTTTCTCTAAACAGGTTTTCACCCTTAAAGTCGAGCGATATATAGAAAAAGGATATTGAGGGTGAAGCCTCATTGCTTTAATATTTTTTTTTTTGCCGGACCTTTATTTAACTAGGTAAAATCCATCGAGAACCAATTCTCATTTACAAATAGACTGACGAGATAAATGAATAGTGCATGGCTTTAACTTCTGAAAAAAACTGTAAATTGAACTGCAAACCAAGGTGGTCTACATCATCTCAACAGTCCAGAATTGTATTGAGTTAAGTTGCCCCCAGAAAAACGGGATTTTGAATTTTGCCGAACAACACAGCACTACAAAAGTATTTCTTTGCGTTTACTGCCGTGTACAACGGAAAAGGATGTTATTGAGTGACACGTCAACATCATCAACAACATGAACATTGAATGAATGAGAACATTCACAAAAATCTGTGAGTGTGAGGACAAAAATCTTCTTTAAGCCATTGAGTTTTTGTGTCAGAGGAAGTTAATTGTCAAGTTTCACGGGCAGTTGAGCTGTAACCTCATGTGTGTGTGTCTAAGGGAGACGGTCCACTAAATATAGCAGCGCAGTGTGAGAGCCGGGCTGCCTATTGTGTGTGTGTGTTCATTGTGCATTCATGCAACCATCAGTATGCGAGATAGGACCGTCACCTCAATGGCAGATTGTTGTGCGTTCTTTAGAGAGCAGTGTGGCACAAAGGCAATCTGTACGTTACACAACCACTGTGTTTGAGTGCTGCACTGTACTACTGTACTGAATTACGGTTATGTGTGTTGTCGTAGTTACGTTGAAGGAGTATATCCTTATATATCCTTGTATATCCCGATCTTTTATTCAACTAAGAATGTAACGTGTTGATATTTGTCGAAATATGTATAAAAACTACGTAAACCAACAGTGGCCAGATGTGTATATGATGCTCTCTCACACACACACACACACACACACACACACACACATTTCCCCACTTATCAACTGATTTTCCTAAAAGCGGAACATGCAGAGCACGTGGTTAACCTCCGACCAGGACGTGAATGATGAGGACGGAGGAGAAGTAAAGACACAGAATATAAACAAGGAACCTTTTGGTGGTTTTTCAGCTTTATAGAGGATTAACCTCCTTTTCCTGTTTTACTGCTCTATGTATCCCATCATGAAGCACTAGTTGTTTTCATGTAGCATGCAGACATGATGATTGAGAGATTGTTCACAGGAACATGTGATGAATTTACAATAATAATAATAATGCTGCTGTAAATAATCCCGGCGCTTCCTCTTCGCCGCTTTTACTGAAGACAGAAGTACAGATATGAAAATGAGTCATTTGGGAATTTTTATGTTATTAGGATAACTCTTCTGTGCACAAGTACATCTAATCAAGGATTTAGATGTTTAAACGATAACTTAAAAAACAAATCCACATCAAGACTCGTCTAGTCCACGTAGTCACAAGCGGTGACATCAGAGCGCGGGAATCCGTTTCCAGCTGCACTGGAAAAACATGTTTAATGGAGACACTGTGTCCTTCAATGGGCATTCCTAGTAGCAACTTCTGGTATCAGTATCGGGTAGAAGATCTTTACAGTGAATACACATTACTCAAGAGTTTCCCGTTTTAAAACCGAACGCTGCCGCCGCCGAGAAATGTTGTTCAATCAGTTTTGAGGCTTTTGTTATGATGACATCTGCAGTACTCATTGTGACTGCAGCAACAATTATTTCTACATATAGTGCATCTCCTAGCTGACACATTTCCTTCCTCTGATGTCCAGAAGCAACATCCTCAGTGTGATTTTGTACGTGACTTAAATAAATACATTTATTCATGTAGTGAAACAAATTTTTCCATTTCGGCCCGAATAAAAAGCACCGCCGGTCAGAGTTAGGACTGAGGAGGATGCGTCACAGGCTCAGCATGAACCATGTCATGTGATCAGGGATTCCTCCTCGAGTCAACGCTTCCATTTCAAACCGGATGAGCTACAAAAAAGGAACCGATCTCGAACCGGACGGAACATTTAACGTGTGCGTTGTTTTGTTTTCTTCACCTTCCTCATGTTCTCCAGTTCCAGTTGTTTCGCCTCGTTGGCCAGCTGCAGCTCTTTCATCCTCAGCTGCAGCTCCTCCTGCTCGGCACGCAGCTTCAGTCGAAGGTCCCGCCGCCTCTGCCGGGCCTCGCGGTGTGGCGCCGGCCGGCACTGACGCAGCAGGCTCACGCAGGTCTGAATGGCTGAGGGCAAAGAAATAAATGATTAAAAAAAAAAGCAAAACTTAAATATTCTCACGTTATTTTCTGCTGCTTTTCTTTTTGGCTTTATCGTTTATGATGGTTTGAATTCGGAAAATAGAGCGAATCGACAAAAGTTTAACGTTTGATATGCAGTAGAACACATGATAAATGAATTAAAGGAGGATCCACAGGTTTGCCAATAATGAAAATAATATTTTAGGTGTAGGCCACGTAGTGTGTATAATTTAATTCCCATTTTTATCAATTTCCCTTTGATATAAGAAATAAAAAAACTGAAAAGTTTACTATTGAAAATATTCAACATAATTAATGATGCAGCTTTGGCAAAAATAAACTTTAAAAAACTAAAATGAATACATTTTAAAAGGCAAAACGTGTATAAGAGGTTGTTCATTAATGTTGGTGTAATCAATACAAATATTTAAAACGTGATGACGAGTCACCACTCACCCAGAATCCACTCGTGCTTCTTCTTCTTATCCGACACACTGATTTCAAAGGTTTTTTGGGACGACTTGATGAGAAAGAGACACTTCTTTCCATCTTTATCTGGTAGGGGCTGCAGAGAGCAATGTCAGAGAATACCGTTTTTAAGAACACAAAACTTCTCTGTTTTTTATTATCATTAAGTAAGTCAATATAAATTTGAATTGAAAAAAGGTTGTAAACAACACTTATTAATAGAGGTTATATCCCTGATATTTTGCAAACCCTGGTCTCATATCAAATGCATCCTTCTTGCCTCCACGTCGCAGTTCCGGTCCAGTAATATATCTCCTTTCTTCTCCGCCAGGTCCTCCCCGACGTAGTAAGAGATGGAGTTTGGCTTCAGCATGAACCAGCGCTCCGTCCAGTTCTTCCTCTTGTGACCTTTCTTCATCATGTAGCCCTGCAGACAGCGGTTCAAGAAGTAAGTTCCTTTGCTCTCTTCAAAGTCACGAGACTCCACAGACGGACACGTAAACCACCAAAGAGACCACAGAGGACAAATGTCCTTCAGTCTCTACGGTAACACATTCACAACAATCTTTCACACCTAAATCCACTGACCTCTCACACAAACTGAGTTCCTTGTTTCATGTTCTTAGTGTTGTGAAGCAACGTTCTACTTTGATTTGTTACGTTGCCCCCCCCCCCACCTGTTTGAGCACGTCCATGATGAGCTCCTGGTAGACCTCGTTGACCCCCATGGAGAGCGTCTGGCGCTCCATGCCCTTGCTGAAGTGACCCGAGCCCACAAGGCCGATGAGCTGCCAGGCGCTCAGGCTCTGCTGCCTCGAGTCCAGCTGCAGCTTGTAGTCCTCGAAGCGCTCCTCCACCCAGCTGCCCCCCATGCCCCCGTCAGTTTCCGCAGAAAGTACTCGTTCTGGGGGGGGGCGTTAGTGCACGGACACTCACATAAACTAAATAAAAACAAACCAAAGCTATTTGATTGTCCATTTTTTTATGAAAGCGGTTCATGTGCATTGAAGACCCCCCCCCCCCCCCCCCCCCTACACACACTGTATTTCACCTCCTTGTTATTGCTACGCAGCACACTAACGCCTAAATCTACATTTCTTCCTGTGATTCAGCGCCGATGTTTGCTGTCCCCACAATAAATCTTCCAGCGTTTGTAGGAGAACAGGAAGCTGCAGACTTCCTTTTCTACTCTTGAGCAACAGGCGTTTTTCAACGCTGAACTGAACATTGTAACCAAAGGGAAGCTCTCGCTGGGGCCTGAACGATCAAAAGCTCCTTCAGATGAGTCGTCAGTGGACTCAGAGGTAACTTCCTCAATGTTGGAGAAGGGGCTTTTCCGATATTTAATAAGTAGGTTGAATAAGAGTTAAATGTCTTAAATGTCAGCTTTCATACTGCCACCAATAAACTACTGCTGAAAGTCCTCCATTTAAAAACTTGAAGGTTCAATTAGGGAAACAGTTTTATAGTAAAAGAAGATCAGCGAACGATAAACTTTGTCACGTTCGCACCGTATTTAGTTTTACGGTCAATCGACTGATTGGTTGGTTGGTTGGCTGGTTTGTTTCAGCTGTACTCACATTACCAGTCGAATCGTTTCATTTGTTAGTAGCCAAGACACAGATTGTGTACTGCACTCATTGACACTGAATGGTGGCGGTGACGTGAGAAGGCGGCTCACCTCCTCGGTGACCACGGTCAGCGGGTAGGTGTCCTCCGACAGGAAGTTGAAGATGCACCAGATCTTGAAGGCGTCGTCATTGGAGATGAGCAGCAGGCTCTGATCCAGATTCTTCCTGAAGCTCAGCGTCCAGCACATCTTGTTGAAGTCCTGAAGGTCAAAGTTGCCCGTCACCTGAAGCAGAAGGACGACAACAACAACAACAACAACAACAACTGGGGTGAGTCCGTTTGTTTCTCCAGGGAGCACAGAAGTTTGTGCGGTTTCAAACCATTTTGGGGGTTTTTATTCTAGAAGTGGAGCAGAAAAGGTGTTCCTTGGATTCAGCAAGTTGCTTCAAGAAGACAATATCCTCAACACACAGTGTGTAGCGCTAAAGACCCCGTAAACACACTTTCATATTTATGTATTCATTCACAAATGTGAGCGGGATACTGGTCCTTTCAGTAAAACAAATTTAAAGCTACAGAGATCGAATTCCAGAGCAAAAAGGGAGCAAAGCAGCTCTTGAGAAAGAAAAAGGGGGACAATCTGTGCTTTGGAGGAGAAATGTCCTCCTCGGGTTGGTGGACCGGAGCGTCTCCATGGAGACGCCTGGCGGTTCTCCCGTCAAACGAGCCACAGAGGAAACAAGAAAACAGCTCCTCCACCCATCTTAAATCACAGCTCCTCCACCAGGTGCTTCGCCTCGCTACACGTCTTCATCTGCTTCTATGCCCGCCGTCTCCGTAGCTTCTCTTAGATGTGCGGTTCATAACTGCGCCCAGAACATAGCGGAATGTCCTGATATCAGTCTGTATTTTTCTTTTAGGAAAATCCAACTCATTCTGCATTGAGAATTTAAGAAGTTAATTTTACTGCTTGACTTTAAGAAGTTTCTAAAAAGATGTATCAACTCTTGTGGGGAAAAAAACAGTGTAGAACCCTCCTGTGGTGATTCGAGAGGGTGATGAAGAGGGTGATGAAGAAGGGTTCAGGCTTTGAGTGCAGAGACGTTTATTCGCCATCACTTTGCAGTGTCACGCTCCTCTGCTTTTCTCTTTGTCATTGAGGCTCGCCCGCTCTGTCGCTTTTCTCTCTCTCTCTCTCTCCACTAAAACAATGAGAGCCTTGTGGGTGCTGCCCCCCCACCCCCATCCCTCTCTAAGGCCACATGTTCATTAGGATTCCGGCTGCGGCTTCATCTCCTGCAACCTGCAGAAGCAACTCACATCGCCTCGCAGAAACACAACAACTGCTCATTATCAGTAGGCAGCTACGTGGAAACACAAACACAGATGTGAGTGTCAGATTAAGACCAAAGACGCCAGTTCCTCCAATTTTCAACCTATAAACCAAAAAGAGAGAAATACATCATATATATCAGAACCAAGTCCACCCCAGAGATACAACCGGAGCCCAACATCATGACGTTCGGTCTGCAGCCGCTCATGACGACGCATCACCAGTGTTTCAGGGTCACAGAGTTCCACTTGTTCAGCAAACCACAGAGTGCTGAGTCCTCAGCTTTCGACCGATCAGCCGTCTGCCAGAGCTCCGCGATCACGCCACACTGACGCGGTCAAATGAACAAGTAGAAATACCAACCTGCAAGAAAAAGATGTGCAGCAGTTTGCTGCCGTCTTTGTTCTGATGCATTTTCCAGCCGATTCCTTTTCAAATCGCATATTTCTTCTACTCAACGCTAAACTAATCCAAAACTTCACAATTTGCAGATCTGTGGTTTTCCCTTGAAAGGAAGGGGATGAAAATCTGATAAGTAACCAAAGCTGCCAGATAAATTAAAAAAGTTCTACTTTTTAAATTTCTACTTTTACAACAGTGACCACCACTTCTCACTTTTCCATCTGAATCAGGTTTTCAACACACACACACACACACACACACACACACACACACAGTTTCCTTGTCTGACCGGGTGGAGTTTCCTGAGGTGAGGGCAGTTGAATAAATTTAGCGACGGCCTCCTCCCTCGCCGGTCACCTACACTTCAATGTGTGTGTGTGTGTGGGGGGTGTACACAAGAGTGTAATGACGGACCGAAATGCAGGATTTACATTTTCTCAAAAGAAGTTTTTAAATGAAGACTCTCAGGAAAAAAACAACAAAAAGCAGAAGGGTTCAGGTAGAAAGGAGGACCCGGCGTGTTAAAGTATGATGACTCTACAGAGACTGAAGTGAGTTGTTGCCGGTTAAACCGGTCAAACAACTTTCTTTAAATCTGTCGGAGCCAGCAACTAATGAGGCAACTATATGGATGAAAAAATAAATAACCCCGAGGTCAGTGAATCTTAAAAACATTTACAGAGAAAACATTCAAATTCAACAATTTGATGTTAACAACAATGACCACACACCGGCAGGCCGCCGTCGTTGTTATGGCAACAGCCATTCAGCCAGATCTATCTGCAACGTTATGACATCACACATCAACAAGTCCAAATAGCCAGAAGGGATTACGTTAAAGTTCCATTGCTGACAACACAACATCCCTTTACCCCCCCCCCCCCCTCGTCCCTCCCCCACAGGGGATAAAGGCCTTCCATTGGTGCGGTGGGTCGCTATGATGTCATCACAGTGGGACGAGTGCCTACCTTATCCAGGATGAACCGGTTGAGGTAGGGCATGTAGCCCTGGTTGGAGACGGGGCCCTCGTCGTCGTCTTTGAAGTGCTCCTCCAGGGCCACGGGGTCGTGTGGGATCTTCATCACCGTGCACAAGTTGTGGGACAGAACCTGGTAGATGAAGATGTATAATGTCATTTTGAAGACTTTAAATATCAGCATGTGTCCACATTCACAAAAGAGTAATTCAGTTGTTATTGCTATGATTTAGTCTCTGTCTTTTAACAGAGAGCTTGTCTCTGTGAGATAAATCACAATATCTCTGCTTCAAGAACTGTTCCTTTAAAAAGCAGGTGTTTGTTTGAGGTCTATTTTATATGATGTTATATTAAAAAAGGCCTTTGGTTGCTTTGTTTAGAGTTCAGCCTGACACGTCGATCATCGTTTTGATGAACACACTTAACATCAGACAGATGACGTGTTGCACTCAGAGAGGAATTAAATAATTAAGTTAAAACTGCTGAACAATGTCTGTGTGACACACAGCTGGAAATATGTGGGTGTGTCAGGTTGTCGGTTGTTCTCGGAAACATTACTTACCGGTACTTGTTTGGCTCCGTTCACGATCGTTGCAATTTGCTCCTTTTGCGTCAACAGAACATTTAACCTAATCTTCCCATAAAAGGTTCAGGTATCTGCTTTGAATGCGATCAACGCTCCAAATAGCCCGTTTACACAAGAACACTTTGATACGGATTGTGTTTGTATCACAGTTAGTAGTACAGGAGTACTCTCGTGTGCTTGACTACAGATTGAGGGACAGACTTCTATTTTCAGTGGGAAATATTGTATGAAAATTACAGCTGAAACGATTGGCTGGTCATTCACCGATCATTCATAACGTTATTCATGCAAAACTATTTTGTGGAACCTTTTTCACAAATGTACTTTTTATTTTAATTTATTTACACTGATTTATAATACTGTTGATCTTTATGAGCACTTTGTGCTCTCAGAACTTTGAGCATCTCTCACGGTTTTCTAAAAAAAAACAATCGGACACACAATAGTTTACAAACTCAAGCGGTCAAATCCGGCTCTTGGGTTTACACGAATGTGTCATCTGAAGATTTAATAAACAATAGCAGAAGTTTAGAACTTTAAATTGCACGCGTCGTCACTTCAAGCCTTCTGTCACATCGCGTTAGCTCCGCCGCCGGGTCTCACGTTGAGAGGACGGAGAAAGAGACGCGACGACGTTCTCGCGCCTCGGAGTCCACGCGCAAACTCTCCCTCCGACCTCCGGCGGTCTCACATCGACGTGTGTTCACTTTATTGGGCCCATTGAGCACCAATTAGTTGCTTTAATCGACCAAGAAACAGGTGCGTCTCCGTTGCTGTGTGCGTGTGTGTGTGCGTGTGTGCGTTTGTGTGTGCGTATCTCCGCGCGTGTGCGTGTGCCCAGTTTTACCTTTAGCTGAGACTTTGAGACTTTCCCGCTTTTGTCCACATCCAGAGACGTGAAGGCGTGCCAGATGGACTTCAAGAGCTCGTCCCGCAGCGCCATGATGAGGAGGTCTCTTCTCCTCTCTTCTTCTCTTCTCCTCTCTTCTTCTCTTCTCCTCTCTTCTCCTCTCCTCCTCTCTTCTTCTCCTCTCCTCCTCTCTTCTTCTCCTCTCCTCCTCTCTTATTTTCCTCTCCTCCTCTCTTATTTTCCTCTCCTCCTCCTGTTCTCTTCTTATCCTCGAGTGAGGAACTTTCTGTCGGACGCGACGATGAGGGGAAAAGTCACATGATGTGCGCGCGCGCTGTGATTGAAGAGCTGCAGCACCGCTCAGCGAGAGAACTACACCCACACACGCACGCACACCAAAAACTCATCAGATGATGTTTTGTGCGCGTGCGTGTTCCAGAGTTCATGCTGAGAATTTAGATTTGTGTTCGCTGGAACTCTTTGTGGGAGTAAAAGGTTCAACGGTTGTTAAATGCAATTGAATTAAATGCATTTTAATGTGAATAAATTAAACTAATAACTTATCTCAAATTTTGCTGCTTATCTTCAAACTTAAGGCGGTACATATCTGCTATATTTGCATATACTTTGACTGGACATTTGTTATGACATTTAAGATACTACCACTTTTTAAAATAAAGTACAATATATTTTAATTTAAAACATACTATAGGCCGTGCACTTTTTTATACATTTTCAATGTCATATTACATCATATTGTCATATTTCTTTATGCCCTACTGTACAATATCTTTTGTGACATATGAATTTAACATACTATGACATTTTATTACTAATTATTTTTGGTGTCATGCTATATGAATATTACATTTGATAATACACAATTACTTTATTTACGTTTTTTGAAATACTTTACTGTGACATTCTATGACATTTATACATTATACTTTAAGACACTATACCCTTTTTTTTTTTAGATATAGCATCCGCTGCAATCTATGTCTAAATAAAAATGACATTTGCCATTATACCACACTATGATTTTTTGTGTGTGATTTTTTTTTTATATATATAGATAAATAAATGTGTATGTGTGTATAGATAGATCTCAATTGATCTGTGACATTTGCTTGATACTTTCCTTCCCTCAGACCAAAGGTACCCGGGCCAGATGTTCTTCACACAGACGTCAGTGGATCACTGGAGCCGTGTGAAGGCCCATCCAGTTTTAGATAAATCATACATCTCCAATAAGGAAAACCGCTGGTTGCATCCTGCAGACCACTTTCCCCCGAACCATTTGAATGTTATGCTTTACTATGACAGTGCTGTGCTAGTTCCAGGATCTTTATGCTGAACCAGACCCAGACAGTCATAATACATTTTTTTAAATATATTTGTTTGACATACATACATATGTACATACATACATAACAAACTATACATTTTGCACTATTTTTTTTTTTAATTAAGGCATATAATAGAAATTTCTTTGCGGCGTACTATAATGTTTTTGTATGACAGAATACGCTCATTTATATTTCTGACATTTAATTCATTTCAAAAGACCGCAATCGGACCAATTTAAAAAATGTTAACCTCCTACACACGATCACAGTGAAAAGTACTCAAAACGTAGATGTTAAGAATTTATTGAAAGAACATATATACAAGGTCAACAACTGAAAAGTTGTTGTGTTAGAGCTTAGGAGAATTTTGAAAAAAAAAAAAAAAGACACTGAATACTTGTATAACCAGTAATAGACGATGCGTGTTGAAAATAAATCAATAAAAATAACAGAACACATGAGAACCTAAAGAACAGGACGATGATTGTTCTAATGCTACAAGGGGGTTGGCAGCACCTATCGAACGGGGGAATTACCAGACGTAACCGCACAGATGTGTCGCTTGCTGGTTTGGGTACTTCAAACAAAACAGAGGATTTTGGCTCGAGTGGGATGATCCATTCTCCATGCAACCAGAAGAATAAACGTTAAATGGGGGATGGGGGGAAGCCTCCTGCTACATCAAAATAAGAGCCAAAGACCTCTAGAACGATCCAACCTGAAATGGGCCAAACCCCGATACACATAAAACATCAATAGCAGCAGGTTTTTCTTTTTTTTTCTCTTTAAAAAAAAAAAGAAAATGTGGCAAGTTCCAGGTGTTGCCTCCAAAGTGCTCCATACAAACACGGACATGTCAGTTCTCAGACCTTCTGGTACCCAGCATCAGGCATTTGACAGGCAGTAAGGTGCACACGGCAAGTACATTCACACTGAGAGCTTCACTGCGGCTTCGGTCCGCGGCCAACAGGCTTTGTCGAAGGGAAGTGCAAGGACAGAAACGGTGATGGAGCCTGACGTTCATGCAAACTTATGGAATGACAGTGTAAAAATAAAAAAGTAAGGTAAAGTATCTACCTTTCAGGAATGACAGTTTATCTTCCAAAAGTAAAAGTTAATTTGAAAGGGAAAAAAAGGGCTGAACCATGTTGGCAATGAGAGTCTGGAGTTTAGTTCAACACCACGAGTGACACGGCTCACTTGGAAAATAAAAACTTGATTGATTCCATCTGAACGTGTTTAATTTAAATAGGTCCATGAGCCTTTTGGGTTTCCCTTCCTGTCAGGGGGGGCCGGTGAAGTTTTAGTAGATGGTGAGGCTGACCGACCGGTTCATCTTCTTGCCGATGAGTCTGGAGGATCTGGGATTGGACTGCACCGTGGAGCGGGTCAGGACCCGGTCGGTGGACAAAACCTTCTCCTCTGCGGCAGCTCGAGCCTGCTGGGCCTTCTTCAGCTCCCTGAGGAGAATTTAAAAAAGGGACACAGTTTAGGATTGAGACTTGAAGGACGGCTTATCTACTTGAGGAAAGACGAATCTCAAACAGTAGGATGCATTAGTCTAAACTTGATTACTTACTTCTGGAGCAGTGCGTTCTTGAACTTCTCCGCATTGAGCTCCACTCTGAGCTGATCGGCGCTCATCCGGGCAGCCGTGAGGAGCACCGGGTGTTTGATGAGTTCGGACGTTGACGGCCGTCTACTTGGATCAGGATGGATCATCAGCTACAAGGAAAAGGGATTACGTTAAAAAAAAAAAATAAGGAAGCGCTGCAAAATTGTGATAAGAGATGCTAGAAAGTCATGTCCCAATAGAAATTATTCAGTTAAAAGTTGAATTAGCTTTAATGAGCTGAATTGTTAAAATTAACTTTTACAACAGATATAAGCTACAGATAAATAGTTGGTCTCTGCCAAAACAGCATTAAGTTGCCTCAAAATCAGTTTATCAAGGACCTTCATTCAGAACAAATTTAGAAAGGAATTAATCATCCGACAGGGGACATGTGTAGTCTTCACAAAGACATGTGTAGTCTTCACAAAGATATAAACTGATAAAAGTGGAACAGACGGTTGTCCTTTACCTTGAGAAGACTTAGAAACTCTGGAGAAAGCACTTGGGGGATGGCGGGCAGTTTTCCCTCTCGGATCTCGTGCCATTTGTCTCCGTTGGTGGGAAGAGGCTCCGCCCCCGAGGCGTTGACAACAGTCAGGGCCAGGGCAAAGATGTCCGCCTTCGTCAACTTACTGTAGTCCTACGAAAGAAAATCGGACCAACAGGGAGAAATGTTAACACCTTTGTGAAGCCCTATTCAAAGTCAAAAGGCACTTCTTAAGAGTAGGATGACCAACCTCTTGTAAAATTTCATTGGCCAAGTATCTGCTGTCACCTTCCTCCACTTGTGGATTGTTCACTCGTGTCACATGACCCAGATCCCCTGCAGAGGGAAAACGAACACGATCAGAACAGATCAAAGCGGGGACCCGACTCCACGACAAGTAACGGAAGAAAATATCAGTCAAAAGGGCAACAAAACAAACCAGGGAGGCCGTGTGAAAGCAGCCTACCTATTTTGTAGACCACGCTGGTGGTCACTCCTTCGTCATCATCACATTCATCACAGCTTGATACAGATTTTCGTGAAATGAAGATGTTACCTATGAAAAAAGACATTTCCATTAGTTTATACTTTGACTCCTGCTATATGAAATGACACAAATACAGGGTTATTTCTTCTGCCGTATCTTAAAGTCCATCATTCTATACGAGATGTTATCAGGACCACAGTTGGTACAACGTTTGCGTGCCCAGGTACTCACTGGGCTTGATGTCCATGTGCACCAGAGATGTGGAGTGGATGTACTTGAGGCCCCGTGTGACTTGCAGCAGCAGGTCCTTCAGCTCCAGCTCGCTCAGGTAACTGAGCCGCCTGTAATTCTCGGAGATGGCGTCAGAGAGCGTGCCGCCGTTGCAGTACTCGTTCTGGATGAGCATGTGGTCGTCCTCGGCCCAGGCGGAGTAGTAGCGCACCACGTGGGGATGCTGGCCCAGCACGGCATGGGCGTACACCTCCCGCAGGGCGTTCTGTCTGCAGAGGAGGGGAACAGGCGGTATTAATTAAGACATGTCTGGGGCAAGTTGTGGACTTAAAAAAAAAACGCAATGGCGGGAAAAGGGGATGTTTTCCAGGCAACAACTTTAGATCATGTAATATTGATTGTTGAGGCTTTCATTAAAAAAAACTTTTCTTTAAAAAAAAAAAAAAAAACGTACTCGTCTACGGAGCCGGCCAGAGGTTTCTTCGACCTCTTGATGGCGTAGATGCAGCCATCGAGTCTTTTCACACACTTGAACACAGCACCAAACTCTCCGCAGCCGATCTTCTCCAGCTCGAGGAACTCCGAGGCGTACCTGGACATCATGTTGCTCTCCATCATGGTGATCCTCTGAGAACAGAAGGACACATTCATGATTAGCATTTACATTTCAGCGACTTCACAACCGACATTTTACACAACCATTTAAATTAAAGCGATTTCCTCTCAAAAATGTGTTCTAAAATCAATCTGCATGGTATACGGCATTTGGGAAAGTGATTATAAGAAATTGTTGTCAAAACTATTTATTTGTAATATATCTACTGACTATTTTTGTTTTTAATAAGCATGTTTGGGCCTAAAACTAAGTTTTTTTTGTGATAATTCAATGCGTCCACTGTTCTATTGTGCAATTAAATCTTCACAGGAATACTTATTTTGAGTAGCAAAGAAAGGTTATTTGCAATTGCCCCCCAAATTACAGAATATGTTCTATGTCAGCATTTATCTAACTGAAATAAACACATAACAGGTTGATCAATGAAGTAAGTCATTAGTTACAACTCTGGAGGAAGTGTGTGCTGGACAAACGTGGGTTTGTGCAGCAGCTGATCTGCACAAAATGCAACAAGTGTCCCACCAAGAAAAATAAATCAACTAACATTATATACCCAACAGTAAACTGCAAATCAAGAGAACATTTAATTACCTTCGATGGAGGTAAGACTTCATCCTCTCCTTCGCCGTCACTTGCCTCCATGTCTTCTCCACAAGAGCTGAAAGACAATAGGCCGTGTTGGTTAGCATTCTCCCCAGCAGGGGGAAGCACTGGGGGGGGGGGGAGGTTTCACAAGCACGTGGCAAAATCCTCCGGTGACCATGAGGTCTCGGTTCCCAGCCAAACCCCCTGCACTTATTCAACGGCTTTAACGTATCTGGTCATTATAACAATGGCTTCCATCTGCGCTCAAGACAAACGGTTAACCTGTCCAGCTTGGCGGTTAATAGGTTTTGCATTGCTTCACTAACATAAGGACAAGTTCTAACACACCAACTGACCGGTAAATGTAGAACCAATATATTAACTACAGCTACATGCTATTTTTGACCAGCACTACAGGTTAAGACAAGAGGGATTTCTAACAAAACCGATAAACTCACTCATTCCAGTGTGCTCGCTTCCTGTTCCTCTGCTGTGTAGCGGACTGGATGAGGAGGGAGTCGGGTGTGAAGGGGTTAAAGTTGACATGGGGGGTCTGCTGTCTCCTGCCCGTGTCTGTGATCGACTTCCCCGAAGCCTCCGCATTCTTGAACAGGGCAACTCTCCTGCTGGAGGATCCCGGGCCGGAGGCCCTGGCTCTGGACAGCAAGCTCTGCAGGACGGGAAAAGGACACAAGACAGATTTAGTGCTTTGTTAATTAAATAATCAAAAGCTAGTTGATTAAACCGGGTAAATAAACACACTGGGTTGGAGTGTTGGAATCTGCAGGTTTTAAATAGGTTGCTTGACGTGAATGCTGTATAATCTAGGATTAAAAAAAAAAAAAACATGCCCAAACATACAGCCTCACGTGTCGTATCAGTTACAGTGGGGACATTGCGCAAAAGATCCTTCTGCATTAAGTAGGTCATCGCTGTTCACTGGATGCTAAAAATGGCCCCGGTGTTTGTTTAGGGTTAGTGTTACTTGTTTCTTCCCCACATTGAAACTTATGACAAAAGTCCCAAAGCAGACTAAAGAAATGTGCAAATGGCCCAAATATGCGCTCTTGAAGGTCGCTGCCAAACGTTGTCTCTGATAAACACACATACGACATGTGTGCACAGCGCATATGAACCAACACGAACCTTTGGTGTGTGCGGTGTGTCAAAAAGTCTGAGTTTTCTGAACGTTTTGTGCGGCGGTGTGTCGGGGCAGTCCGGGATCGGGGAGCTGGATCCTTCCCCGTCGTCCTGCACGTAGGACCGCTCCGGTGACCCTCCGTACAACCGGGAAGCCTTGCGCGGCGACGGCGAGCAGTTGGCGAAGATAACGCTTCTCGGCGATCGCAGGTGAGTCGGAGACCCGAAACTCTCCTCGTCCCACAGCTCCACGTCGTCGTCTCCGCCGGACCGGTTCAGCGGGCTACTGTCGCCCTCCAGCCGCTTGTCTTCGGCGACCCGTCGCACCGGCATCGGGGAGTCCATCTCCGTGAAGCCGGACTCTCCGCCCGTGCTGTTGTTGACGTCCTCGATGGGCTCGTCCTCCCCGTCGCTGCACGTGAACTGCAGTTTCTGCCGAATCGGTGGAACTCTAGGAGACGGAGATCCGTGCCGATGGCGACTGAAGCTCGACATGTTCAGGATTTAAACCCCGGGGTCGTCGACGGTAAAAAAAAAAAAAACAAAAAAAAAAACGGCTGGACCCCCACTAACGTTCGTAGAGAGGACTCAATACGACCACCAACTACCTTCAAATAAAGGTATCGACTTCAAAGTGTCAAAAAAGTACCGCGAGTCGCTTAAAGGTCCGCTAGCATCCAGTGAAACGTTAACTTGTGAGCCAACTCCTACACGCCCATCCAGCGCGGAGAAATGGCCCCGGAGTGAGTTGCGGAACAACGTCCCGAAGTGAAATTAAACCACCACCACGGGATACACGGGGGTCCAGTCGAGTATCGGTATCCGTCGATACGTTAGCGATGACTCACCAATTCAGAAACACGTCTTTCCACAGTAAAAAAACAAACCAATGTTTACGGAAAAGGAAAAAAAAGTTTGAACCGGTGGAGAAGGCTTCTTCCTATCACGCGCGTGGCAGAGGACTTCCCGCGACCGTTCGTCACGCGGTCCTCGGGAAGCCAATCGAAACGCGTCTTGATTTTTTGAAAGAAGGGCGTTCCAGAGTTGTGGGTGGTGTGTGGGGGTCGGGGGGTGGGGTCCGAGGAGGCGTTACGTCATCTGCGGCGCAGTGAGGGATCCAGCGCCAATGCCGCGTGCCCTTCTCAAGTTACCGGAGTGACACATTTACGTTGAGCGCGTCCATTGATTAGTCGGCTAGATCATTGAAGTCATGATAATTATAAATAATTAAAATTATAAATATAATCACCCTTCGGCCATAATGTGATTAACCTCCAATAGTTTTACAGGATTTAATATTCCAATAATATAATAAAAACTATTTGAGTTCTTCACCTGTAAGGTCATACTCAGGATTTATTTTATTCACGGTAAGTTTGTTTATTCACAATATTCATTTGCTAAACAGGCCATAATAGTCTGTGTGTCAGTAATTGTGGTGCATTAATACTTTTGTTTTATATCTTTTCTTATTTAGTTGGCGTTTATAAATAATTAGTACCAGTCAAAAGTTTGGATACATTTTTTCATTCAATGAGAAAATGTGTCCAAAACTTTTGACTGGTACTTTATATTATAGTGTATATTGTAATAAACAATTCAATTTTATATATAGACAACACTTCCAATTCAAGTGTTAAAAATCAATTACAACCAACAAATGACACTTCTTTTTTTCTTTATTAGAAATAGCATTAGCTGTACACTCAACTGTGCACTCTGCACCATAAACATAAGAAGGCATTTTCCCCTCTCCCAACGGGAACAAAGAAGCAGAGTAGAAGTCCAGTTATCAAAATCCTATGTACACATAAAAGCTAAGTTCTTTAGAGGGAAAAAAAGGAAAAAACACATGGAGGAAGACGTGTGATTTCTCTCGTATAGTCCAAGTGAGATGTGTTTTTCTTTAAAATCCTAATTCATTCATCAATCATCCAGGCCCAGCGACTCCCCTTGCTGTATTCTTGATGCTATTCTGATGGCTTCCTCCAGCGAAGGCTGATCGCTGAGCTACAGAGAAGGAAAACAATGGAAATGACACACACATCTATCGACACACTGATAGCAGTCGTTAATCGCTAACTACCACCTCAAAAGACGAACACCCCGGCTTGACTGACCAATGCGTTAAAAGGCGGTCACATGTTTGTAAGAGGTGGAATAAGCGGTTTGCTGTGTAATTAGCATGACTGAAAGACCCTAAAGGGACAAATGAAAACAGGGTTTTCCTGTTAAGGTAAAGTCATGAGACCTGTAAACTTTGATGAGATAATAATCTGTGGTTTCAGGCTTGATAAGCTAATTTAGTCCTTTGAATTGATTACAATAATATGTAGTTAAACCACATCTATTTTTGTATGGATTAAAGATTATGATAATTTTAGGAAGTAATTCCCCTGAGCTGAACCCCACCCCCTACCAATGACTTTTAATTACGTATTAAAGCTGGGGTGGGATCCGGGTAGGCATTCATTTAAATACCGTAATGACTGAAACTCCTGTTGTTTATCGTATGGATGACAGCACACTGAGTGTAGTGGACATTAAAATAAATCAATCACAAATGCAGTGCACTGCAGTGTCAGATCCATACCAAGTGTATAACTAATACCTCTGAATTCAATGGGCCTCTACTGCCAAACTTTTGTTCCCAAATGTTCCATTTCACAGATAGTCTGCATTTACACTACATGGCAGACGTTTCCGGTTGTTTTCCTTCTTCTTCTTATCCTTCTGAATAACTAAACAAATCCGCAGATGTGAAACTCAACCCACCGGCGTATTCACTCCTACGGTGTCGTTCTACCAACCTGCACAGCAATGTGAGTGCCGTTGGAGGTGGCGAGTAATGTGACAGGATGAATGTCATCCTGCTCTTGGCTGTAGCCGGCCTCCTCCACGGTTTGGAACGCGGCCATGTCCGGCGTCATGATGGCCACCTGAGGCAGACGAGAGACCCGGGCGTAACCCCAATCAATCACACGTCAGTTAGTGGAAATACTAAATAAATATAGATATAGAAGGGGATCAATTTCGCTCTCTCTTAATAAATCACCTCTGGACTGCATAAATAATCAGGATGAACGATATCGCAGGATTAACAAAGTAACTATCCATCTGTACAACCATCTATTAAATCGTTTATAGACAGCTGAAAACACAACCAGAGTTGTCTTTTGTTTACGGTCCATTTCCCCCTCGTTGTTCCTGATTTGGTCCACAGATAATGAGTCGGGTACGCAAAATACCCCAAAGTCAATCATTCCCACAACATATTTGCACAATGAACACGGCGGCCGGACAGCTGGTTACCTGTTCCTCTGAGCCATCTGTTGTTACCATGGTGACTGAGTGACCGCCGTGCGTCGTCAGTTCGTGGGCCGGGATGGTTATGGTTGTGCCTTCCTGAGTTACCATGGTGATTGTTCCACCCATAGCTTGCAAGTCCGCTTCGGAGATGCTGACCTGATCCCAAAACACAGAAGAACGTTGAAAACGTGAAATTAACAACGCGGTCACAAGTGTTGTGTTAGGAAATGGGATAGAAGGCTTTCAGCCTGGAATAAGGAAAGAAAATGTCCTTCTAGAGTCAAGAATGGTTAAAGAAATATATATCATCAATATTTGGATTGGAAAATACTTCCTTTTGATAATGTGACATTTGGGGACAAACAAACAGTGTATTCGGAGGATATATATTTATATGGTGATGATCTTACTATGAGTTGTTATTTATTTTAGCGTGTAAAGCATTTTGTTTAATTGTCGTTGTATCGTTATTACTTTAATTAAACGCAAAGTGCCACTGACGGTCTCTCAGTCCAACAATAACAAAGGGGAACGTTGATGAGGTCTTGAAGTAGCGTGGGAGTTTTTGATTTAAGATTTGAAACGACCACCAACGCTCATGGAAACTAAAGTTTTAACCACGTTGGGTCATTTTATTTGATGAAATAGCTGCAAAGTAACATTAGCTAATGTAGCGTTAGATGAATTAACCACACATGCGGCTACTGCAGCGGACTCTCTATTACATATTGAGCTTATGTGTTCAAGCGCAATAATTTCTCAGTTCGAACATTCTTGGGAATATAAGTAATAATTAATAGTGTCATTACCTGCTGTTGGGTCCCGTCCTCCTGCGTTACCAAGGCGACGTGCTGCTGACAAATCATGTCCGAGCCCTCCACGGGAACCTGCTCTGAGCCAGAGTCGTCTGCCTCAACAACCGACGTGGTGTAGCTGGCGTTGGGGTCATCGATGGCGTCTGAAGGGAGGGTAAACATTTGGTTGTTTTATCCTCGTTTGATACATTTCTTCCATGTTGTTCAGTGATTTATTTTTATTCTGTGAATATTTCCTGTACAGTTTCATACTGTGCAGATTTTCTTTTCTGCAAACCGTAGTGTCTAGTTTTAACTATTTATTTCATATATACTTATTCCTTTAGGCATTAGGAATGGACATCATACAAAATGTGTATTCACACAACATTCACAGTTAAAATGAAAAGTAAAAATGACGTCTCATTTTCCACAGCCCAATAAACCGCTCTAGAAGGGTTGCTGATTTAATTTTTGGGCCGTCGACTAATCGTTGCATCTCTATATATATCCACACACACACAAATACTGACCTGTTGGGGGTTCAAAGTAGGCCTCCTGCTCCTCCTCGATGGGCTCCGTGTCGTTGTGCGCTGTGCGTTTGTGCATGGCGAGAGTGGAGATCTGCTTGTAGGTCTTCCCACAGTGGTTGCAGTTGTACGGTTTGCAGGGCGTGTGAACCACGTGGTGTTTGTAAAGGCTCGAGTATTCCGTGAAGCGCTTTTCACAGCCCGGCACGGTGCAGACATAAGGTTTCTCTCCTGGAGAAGAAGAAAAGTAGGTTTTAATATTAAAAACTGGGTGTTATACTCTGGAGGGACACCAAACCAGGACTTTAAGACTCGCGACGAGTCGGTGGGGACAGACTGTGTCGCACAAAGGACTCACCAGTGTGTATCCTCATGTGGTTCTTGTAGTTGGTGGCACTGGCAAACGAACGGCCACAGCTCGGCTCGGCACAGTAGTACGGCCGCTCCCCGGTGTGCGTTCGGATGTGGACTTTGCGGATGTTGGAGGTGGTGAAGGATCTGCCGCAGCCGTCCACCGGACATTTGAAAGGCTTCTCTCCTGAAGACAATTTTATATTTTCATACTTTATATGTTACGGTTAGGGGGTTTACAGATATGTCAGTTCTTTAATAACCCTGTGTTTTAACGTGTAAACAACTATGAAAATGAATCATTTGAACTCAGCTGTATTTGTTTGTTTTTAAAAATTACGGAGGAAGATGAAAAAGTTTGTTGTTCCACGTGGTATTCTATCCGTCTCCCTCTCCCAATGAGATTTAAAACCCTAAAAAAACCAAAACGTTTTATTCAAAAATAAAAACAGAATCATCTTGTGATGAGACCCCGTGGCTGAAAAGTCCTCAAGCACTTTGTGGGGAAAAATCGACTCCACACATTCAGATACAAAACCATGTAGTGTGTTCAGCCTGGACAGAGGCACAGCACCCTGAGGCGTGGTTTTACAAACCACAGGTGCCTGTCTCTGGTAGTTCCGAACAAAATACTATATCTCTTCCGTATCAAACAGCAGCAATCATTTCAGAGGATAAAATCTGTGCCAGACCCATGTGTGATTGCATAAAGACGCAACTTTACAGGAATATTGTTCCTTGGGGTTTCACCTGTATGAGTCCTTGTGTGCTTTTGAAGGTCTCCAGATGTTTTGAAGGACTTGCAGCAGTTCAGTTCTTGACATCGATATGGCTTCTCCCCCGTGTGTGTGCGTGAGTGACTCTTGAGTCCGTACCCTGAAAAGAAAAGAACAATCACACACCATAAAAACAGTGTCACTTGTGCCTATGGGTATGTATATATATGTACGTGTGTGTGTGTGTATGTATATATATATACATACAATATATATTATATATATATGTGTGTACTTTTTGATCTCAAAGTGTTAGTTGCGGACGTCACGACAGTAATAACAGCATTTTTGTCGATGCCTTCAATAAAAGCATTACAACAAACAATAAAGAATCCCTGAGTATTCCAGCAAAATTATCTGATGAAGGCTGAATCTTTTTCCACTCCAAATTATGCAATATGGCAAAAATGACCTAAATATGACACGTTCCAATACGTAAATTGTTTAAAAATATATATTTATAACAAATGGCTTACAAATTGTACTGCTTGTTAAAACTGCTATTTTCACTTTAATATCTTTTGTATTCTAATTCATGTTGTCTGTTATTATTTTTGCATTTGCATTATTAGAAGTAATTGATAAAGATATTGGTTGCCTTTGAAATGACAAAGGTAGCTCAGACCGAGAGAAATGGTTTCCACGGCTACCTGTTGCAAACTTCTTCCCACAGCTTGGATATTCACAGATGTACGGCTTGTCTCCAGTGTGCGAGCGCTCGTGTACCTGCAGGGATGAGACAAAGCAGGCTGGAGATGTAAAGTAAAAACATCAACGGGAAGATGCTGCCAGGGAAATGTTGTCTTTAAACAGTCCTACACTTACCTTGAGATGGTGGGCGGTGGTGTAGAGCTTTCCACAGCCATCGTAGTCACAGCGGAAAGACTTCTCTCCTACGTTTGAGCTCCTCACCGACCTGTTGTCTTGACCTTGTAACACGATCTGAAAGACACACGTGAATGTAACCCCTGGTGAAGGATTTTTAATGAAGTAATGAATGAGTTATTATAGAAAAGATACCCGCATGTGGACGCCGTTGTCTGCTTCCACTCTGCCGAAGGACCCCAAAGGGTTTTCAATGTTCTCCACCTGACGGCAGCAGGACAGTTGAGTATTACAGCAAATCACTCACGATTATGAACATTCACAACGCAAACGCACACAGCTGTGCTATCCACATATGCAAAAATGTTGCACAAGATAAACCATAACGATGAATCTACAGCATCCTTTCTCCCCACTTCTCCAGTTTAAAAAAAATCAATTTAACCAAAGTACATTTTTACTTTACTTTACTCGACTGGATCAATCTTTACACGAATAAGCAGAATCAAAAAAATCCATTATTTTTCATAGTGCAGTAGAGCATCAATATAAGATTCCAAAACAAAAAGGGAAAACCCAACGCGTCGTTGCGTCGACTGGCCGCACACCTGTCTGATCAGGGTTACCTTGGTGGTGTACTGTTCTAGCACGCTGATGGTCTCGGGGTCGATGGCCGTGGCCTCGGCCTGCAGGTCCGCGATGGTGCCGTCAGCCTGGATGGCCAGGATGGTGTTGGACTGGGGCATGTGCAGCGTGTGCTGGATGTAGGCGGTGCTGCCATCCTCCAATTGCACCTCCTGCAGGCCGCTCTGGTCATATGCATCTGCACGGAGACACGGAGGGGGACGTTCAGGTTTTATTGAATAAAATGTGCGAAATGAGACACTTGACGAAAGACGGAAAATCCTTTTACCTTTGGGTGTGTGGATGTAGGCGGTTGTTCCATCTTCCAGCTGAACTGCTTGTCCATCTTCAAGTTGTAAACTGTCCCCTAAAACAAAAGAAAGCAGTTGACTGTAACCTATGCTCAGCTGGAATTTCTGGACATTTCAACAGCAGTCACACAGTAGTAAGATGGTGTTACACCCTGCGGGTAAAATACAAAATAACAACTGGTTTTAGATGTATATTTTACCTCCTTTGGGCATCGACACATGCTGAACGTAGGCCGCTGAGCCGTCCTCCAGCTGGATCACCTGTCCGTCCATGACCTGTCCATCCGAAAAGGACGATTTGGAGTCGTGCTGGATGTATGCAGTGGATCCGTCCGCCAGAGTGACAGCCTGCAGGCTCACGGTGTCCATGCTCTCCATCTGATCGCCATCTGGGAAAATCATGTGAAAAGGACAATACTTGAGAACAAGGAGATAGTGAAAGTTGCGAGGTCATCTTGTTTTGGTTGAACGTGGAACTGAGGTTGTATCCCTTAAAATGGAGCCGGCACGCTCATGTTGACAGACTCGATCCACTCATGGCTTATTACAAATGCACAAAGAGATGGCAAAGAAACGTTATTGACATCCTTGGACACATTAAGCAAACAAAGCAGATGTAGAAATAACTTAAGATAAGAATGAACGGATTGTATGACCTATTTAGCTTTAAATACTATACTTGACCATGACCATTAACGTCCTTTCAATTTCTTGGTTACTGCTATTATAAAGTCTGAAAGAAGACATTTGATGAATATTGATTCATTCATGAACCAAACACATTGCACAACTGTTAACTCTTTGTACTACTGTATGTACTACTGTACTATCACATTGAAATACAATTTACTGCAACATGCTTCTATATTTGAGGTAATTTGCAACTCAATAAACTAGCAACTAACTGTTTATATATAACGTATATAGCGACATAAACAATGCTTTTTTGGAGAAAATGACAACTAATTTCCACATATTTGTCATGCATCATATTGTTCACAGTATATGCTTATAACGTGTTATCTATTGAATGCATCTTTACCTTTTGCATGGTGTACCTTAAAATGTCTTGCATTGGATTTCCACGTCTTATGAAATAAGAATAATTTGGCTGGTTGTGCGTCGCGATCTGTATTCTAGTCTCGTGCTGCGACGGCGAGCGAGTGAAGTTCAGTGGAGCTCACCTGACACGCTCACAGCCTCCGTCAGACAGAGGGTGACCGGCTGCCCGTCTGCATCGTGAAACTCCATTCCCTGGGAGTCCCGGTTTATCTGGGCCAAGAGCATGCTTCAGCTGCTGGAGAAGACACACAAACATACGGGGAGCCCCGTATGAAACTTTATGGTGTTGTCCACATGACGGCGAACACACAGGGCGACACGTGTGTTGATGTGCAAACGGAATATAAAACATACATAATGAAGGCCTTGCAGCTTGATTTTAACACTGGTAGCCACAAGTCAGAGCCTTGAAGCCTTTTATGGGAACAAAGCACAACCCACACTAATGCCCCTTTTGTCAGTGACTGTGGTTTATAGGGTGGATGGTCCTCTTCACATTTCCTCTTAAAATCGGACTAATTACTGTAAATATTGCACTATATACTAGTGACCCTTATAATCCTTAATCTTAGTTATTTTTTAAATCCTGACCTGCCATTAAACTGTTTTTTTTTTTGTTTATTTTACCTTTGTTTTGTTAGGTCATATTAATTTGTCATGTTTAACCGCCTGTGCCAATTGCCTGTTTAACATTGTTTGTATGTTAAATTAAATGTCTGCAGTAAACCTTTTGTGCTCCATGTTAAAATCTTACGTGTTGAGTCTGTTTTTAATGGCTTCATATCAGGCTAAGGGAACGACATTTATAAAACGCACAACGAACCCGTGCTGTTACATTGATGTGGATCGATGTGCCTTTGAACTGAAAAATAAATAGCATTGCACACATCAATGGTTTTGCATCTTGGCAATAAAGGAGTAATAATGTGTTTATTGTGGGTAAAGAAACAATATACATTACAACCAAACTCATATTTTCAATATGTATTATTGAAGTACGTATAACTTGTACTACTTACTATATAACGGTATACACCACTAAGACATAATAATATGGAAAAACAAGTTACTGTGTTGTCTATGCTGATGACAGCCCCCGATCTGAGGGGCTCTTACTGCATCTCAGCTGTTTTTTGGCGCTTGATATTTTGAACACAGCATCTGGAGGTGGTTAGCTAGCTGCGATGTTAGCACCACTATGACTTGCTACTTGTGTCCCTCTGTAATAAAACATGATTACATGTTACACACAGTGGAGCGGTTCTGTCGTTATCAGGCTGCCCGGTTTAGCACACTCGACTGACGGCATGGTTGAATGCGCAGCCGAAACGTAATAATGTCATGTAACGTTAACGTAGCGGGGTTAGCCACCATGCTAACTGCGTTGCTAACTACGCTAACCGACTGTCCGCCTGTCACGACTTTCTTTTTTTTAGCGGCGTACAAGCAAACTGTTTCTTGCGGATAATCACGTTAGTAAGATTACAGCAATTGGGACTCAATATCTGTAGACTTGGTCCGATATGTGGCAGCCGGAGTTGCTAGCTAGCTTTATCCGTTCAGCTCACAGCCAAGCTACTGTAACTAGGAAACAACGTCGAGCTAATTAATGATAACTTAAGCATTTTGACTCGCTGGGTGTCATTTTGTAATTCATGTTTAAACAGTATTTCCTATCCGTCTTTTGAATCCCGGTCGCAGCCTGTCACTCCGTCTCTGTCTCAGAGATGGCTGTGGGAATAATGCATACTGGGTAAAAACCAATTTATACACTAACCTCCGAAAAATTTCCAACAATTCCTCCTGTTCGACCACCATGCACCAGTGCAGGAAACGCTTCACACAGCCGGGAACATGTATGGCAACAGAATCCTTCGCGCGCCTGCGCCCGCCTCCTCGCAGTTCAGACACGCTGATCTGTCGATCTGTTCGCAGCGCCCACTCCGATTCGTCTTTTGGAGGCCGCATTGCTTTTATTCAGCTTCCCGGGCCCCAGGCAGACGCCATTCCGCGTCGGTTTTCGTATTGTCTCGGGGTTTTTCACCTAAAATTACGCAGTGTCGTCTTTGGGAAATAAATGTGTAGGCTTCAACTCAAGACGGCATTCAAACGAGACTGTGGATTACAAGCCACGGTGTGCAACACCAGCTGTATAGACGGGTTCTCCTGCAATATAAACAGCGATGTGTGTGGAGGTTTTTCGGCATCCATGTTGAAAACAAGGTCGTGTGGGTAAAAAAAAAGGGGGAATGTGGGCAATGCAGTGAAGAAGGGAGGCTAGAGGGACGAAACGGACTCACAACAACCCACACGGCATCACATCTGCAGAGGGATTTTAAATAACGTTAACCTAAACTGGAGTGCAACGCATATATAAGATAGTGGTGGCAAAGTGACTCATTTAACTTTTTCTCTAAGTATAAACACTTATTTTTTTAAGTAAAGGTTATAAATATGAGAACTACAAAATACGACCTCCATTCAATATGACTATTACTTTTGGTGCTTGTACATTAGTCACTCCCTAACTCTTAAGAGATGGCAGGCTCGAACAGTGTGTGTGTGTGTGTGTGTGTGCTCCACCAGTGAGTTTGTGATACAAGCTGTAGCTGTGTCTCAAAGTCGCTAGAATGCATCCTTGAAGCCTCCAGCCTTCCGCAGTCTTCGTGGTAGACCTGGGCTGGTCCTCCAACAACCGCATAGGCTGAACCGAGTGGTCTCTGAAATGGGACTGTCTGGCCTACGGGGGTCCCTCCACTGCTCCCGTTGCCTAGCAATCTGCTGAGCTTAACAATAAAAGCCTTTAAACCAGACACACTTAGTAAAGAACAGATAAAGAAGATAAACTTCTTATTTCCTTTAATTTAGGAAGATGCGCTTCTCCTACGGATCATGATATATTTCAGGCTGAGAGAAGAACACTTTCCGGTTATTTTAAATTTAAATTAAATCGGTCAATGTATAATAATAATATGTATAATGCATGCGTATAATGCAATTTAACTTTTTTTTATTATCATTTATAATTACCTTTAGCTAAAAGTAATATTGCAACCTTAAAGCAGAGGAGATTAACGGAGTTTGTTCTAAAGTCTTATTAAATTTAAAAAAACATCTGTTATCAACGTCACGTAATTAAGCGATTTCATAAACTAAGATGTGATTTTATATATTATATTACAAAATGTCTATTGGTAGATATTCGAGTGAATTTGTGTCCTCCAAATCGGCTCCTGGAGGGCTGCGTCCCTCGACCGCGTTCGGAGGAGCCGCTGCCCTGTTAACGGCAGATCGTCTAGTTATTAGTGAAAAGTCAATTTAATAAAAAAGTCAATACAGTTAATAAATGTGTTTGCTGATTTAATTTGAATTTATAATAACCAAAACAATTTATTCTCTAAGCCTGAAATATATCACGCACCTGAGGAGAAGCATATCTTCCTAAATTAAATGAAATAAGAAGTTATCTTCCTATTTCCTTATATCTGTAACTTTGTAATTTTGGGGCTTTTAAGGCTTTTACTGTGAAGCAGAGCAGGTTGCTAGGCAACGGCGGCAGTGGAAGTAAAGCTGATGACGCAAGCAGAAAGTCTCCCCGTAGGATAGACAGTCCCATTTCAGACCGCTCGGTTCAGTCTATGCAGTTGTTGGAGGATCAGCTCAGGTCTACAGCGAAGGCCACTGAGGGCTGGAGGCTACAAGGATGCAGCCTAGCGGCTTTGAGACACAGCTACAGCTAGAGACACACACATACACCTCCATTATGACCAGTGCAGGTGTGGGAGGAAGCCAGGTGCGACATGTGTTCTGACCTTTCAAATTAAACTAACTTAAAATTAAATTCCAATCCTCTAACATTTTGAAATGTGATAAAAGAGCTACATCTGAATTTCCCTGTTTTAACAACAAGAAAGCCAGTACGGACGTTTTGCGTGAACAACAGATAAAAACTATTAACAACATCAATTATGAACTGTTACATAAAATGTAAATATTATTGATCCATAAATAATTGACGATTTAACTTTTCACTATATATATATATATACATACTTTTAGCATTGTTTTATTTAACTTAAGCTGCCGAGGGTTCTTGGGTTTGTCAACCACACGCCTGAGGGATGCAGGAGTGACCGGAGGGAGGCTAAGGAGGACAACAAAGGACCTGGCAGAGAAAGGGAGCTTTTGGCTCTGGCTGAGGAGGAAGGATAGGTGTTGGGGAAAGAACACCTAACCGCTGACAACAGCTGCAGGGGAGAACAACTTTCAGCTGCAGGGGGTGACAGGGAGACGTCCCTATCACTGCTCCGCCACCAGGAGACGTTCCAGAATTAAAGGAGCGAAGCGTTGGTGAATGGTTGTTTCTGGCTGATGACCCTGCAGCTGACCCATTGCCACCGGAGGAGGTGCGACAGGCAGCAATGCCCAGCAGGTGGTAACATCTTCCTGTACATTCACAGGATTTAAAAGGACAAATGTTGATCTTTATTTAACCAGCTAGTTCAAATATTTTTGATAAAGGCAATTCAAAGTTTTTCTCACCCTCTACTTTGACTTTGTTGCAAGTAAAAAGAAACCATGAATGTTAAATCCTGTTAAATTGCACTAGAACATGTTCCATCAAATTGAACTTATTTGACAGGGATGGGTTTAGTATGTTTCCCCCGTTTTTGAAACCATATTTACCAGCTTGTGTTAATGAGCTGTGTGGTTTATTTCTCATTTTAGGAAAAGTGTCTTGCTAAGCCCTCCTGAGCTTAATGATATGAATTGACATCAAAATGTATTTTGTTCTTAACATTTAATCAATCCAGTCATGTAAATTCCCCCACGCTACCTTGGGTTTTGTAGAGAGGCGTTACCTAAGCACGATTCCAGTATTGTCCCTTGTATACAAAATTTCCGTTTAAGTCTTTGCCAAGCAAAAGAGAGAAGCCTTATTTGTGGTTTAAGCTCCCTGAAACCATTAAACACTGGGTGAGAGTGCATCATACCATTACATACCTCTGATGGTTATTATCCACCATGACCCAGATGAAAATAGACCCTCCGAAGGATGACCTCTGACCGCCTGCTTTACGCACCTTTTGCTAAATGCTCTTAAGCCTGCCCCACAGAGACACGGGATAAAGTATACCTAACTAGGGCTACCTGCTGGGAAGTGTTAGCATTGGGAGTGTGCTGTGGCTTTAGGGATCAATTGCAAAGTGAGTGAAACGGCTCCGGACTCAAATGTATTTTTGTTGCAGTAGAGTCCGCGTTATCTCAACAACCATTCCAGTGGGATAAGACCAGTGGGTGGGACGGCTACGTGAAGTGGGTGGGTATATTGCCACGGAAATGCGGGGAAGAAAACCCCACTTTACGAGCTTTACGCGCGGGGCGGGCCTTTCATTCATGCGCGTCGGGGGGTGTTTGCCACTCAGTCAAAGACAATCAAGAGATGTTTGAGTTTCCGTGCGCAGGGACCACGGAGCCAAAGCGCACAGCGGTTTCACCCCTCCTCCAGTTCCACCTCCGATCCGCCCGGACTGCGACCTGCGCCGGCTTCTAACGCACACGGAGCCACGGTCCACCCGAGGAATCTCTTTTCGGGTTTGAAAAGGGAAACGGATCATGCGATTTATTCCTGCCGGAAGGAAGAAGGAACAACTAGGACAGACCTGTTGACGATGATGGATTACTCAAAGGCGCAAATGGTGAGTGTCGACGGGTCTTCGGAAACGCTCCCACTCGCGTTTGTTACTCTTAACCAAGCAAATAGCGATTAATCGGCAGTTTTTTACGACCATTTGACCTTCATCGAATTTATTTTTGAACTAGTATAAGCGTCTTTCACGATTATTAGTGTAGGCCTTGTTTTGCATTTGTTCTGTGGAAGCATTTTCTTTTTTAAAAACTATTAGTGTAATAAGATGACACTAATCCCTTCATATTTGGGTAGCCTTCAACATAGTTAGGATACAGAACTTTTTTATTTATTCTGCAACGAATATATTTTCACCAAAAATAAATGTAATTAGCGTCAATCATACAGCTTAATCTCACTTTAATCCACCATTACCTCGTTCTGTGGTTCAGACTGCTTCTCTTTCCTTTTACATTACTTTTATATTGTTTACTATTCCAAAAGAAATATGTATACGTTTATTCAGACAATGTACTAAATAGGTAAACAACACATTAGGTTAATTTGTCTAAATGAGCCTTCTTATGCTTTATTATATAAGACTTTACATGTCCTGCACCATGTATATGCAAATACACCAATATTTCTCAATAGGTTGGTGGTATAAAAAGATAAATGTTTTCATCCACAGTCGAGCTTATCCGAGGCGGGCAGTTCAGTCGGGTGTCCACAGGCCAGTAATGCTGGGGTTAAGCTGGAGGCGGTGATGGAGCAGCTGCAGAGACAACATGGGGCCAAACTGGAGATGAACCTTCAAGAGAAGCATCTTCTTCACGCCCAGCTCCTGCTTGCTCAACACGCTGCTGCAGCGAGGGCCTCTGACTCCTCAGTGGATCAGACCTATCAAGCAGACCACCAGTCTTTGAACGGCCGTATCACCAGAATGGATCCAGATGAGGAAGATGAAGACTCTGATGAGGAGGAGCCGGAAATGGTAGAGACCGAGGAGAACGACGAGGTGGAAGAGGGGGTAGGGGAGGTAGGGGACGGGCCTCCTCAGCAAGTGAAGAAGCCTGGGTTCCAGCAGGTCGTAGGCTTCCCTTTGACTCCCTACTCCACAGCTCACTCGTCTGCTGTGAAGGAAATGTCAGAATCTCCGCCTTCAGCCATAAAACAGGAGCAGGAGGAGAAGGCGCTTCTGTCTCCTGCAGGAAAACCCAACTTCACCTCCCCCAACGGCTCGGCTGATTGGGGCTATGATGAGCCACTGAGACAAGTAAGATGCCCAATTAAATTAATTATTGTTTTTCTTTGCTGGACTGTTTGGCAATCATTCATAGTGATCACTTCCTGTCATCGATTACAGATCCCGTTGTCTCTTCTTTATCGATTTGTGAACATCATGCTGGTGCGTGTTCTAACTTGTCGATTCTTGATTTCTTCCTGCTGGGAGGTCAACTGCTGCCCGCTCTTCCTCCCGTCCGCTCACATGTGTGGTTAGGGAGCATTTCCCATTGGCAAGATGCCCAAACCTGATAGTGTTTAATTACTGACCGGGCCACGGATGTCTCCTTCTGCCGTGCTGCACCTCATTTCTCACACTCTTGCAAACAGAGCGACCTGACCACTGGTTGAGCTAATTGGTCTTGGCTGTTGTCCAATCCCAACCGTTCAAAGCGGGCGGCTCAGGCCCGTCCAAATGAGAGCAGGGGATTAATGAAATGGCCTCAAGTGTATATTTACGGACGCGGTTTACTTCAAGGGTTAACTGCTGTAAGGAATTGTCCCCTTAACCTGCAATTTTTCAGTTCAACCCCTTTCTCATTGGATCAGACAGATCTACTTTAAAATGAGATGAAGTTATTCATGAGTGCTTTCGAGCCGATACGTTTGACTACTGATTGGAAACTGATTGGAAACAGAGGGTCAATTCAGACCCTGAGACAGATTTATTTTATATAGAGTTCAGAGAGTGTGTGTGTGGTTACCTTTTTAAAAGGCCCCACTTCAATACAAAACATTCTGATTAATGGGGCTTGTGGCCAGAAGGACAGCTGGGTTCGTGCCTCACAGCAAATGGCTACTCGTAAGGTTTACTTACTGTGTACTTTCACTGGAGCAGAAAGGCCTGTTATGTTGTCAGTTTTGCAAATCTCCTGTTGATTATTTAGTGAGTGTTTTGGGGAGAAGTGACCCATTGAGACTTTTGAGCTCTTTCAAAACGACTCACTCGCTCAGAAACCTCATTGCTGATACATCTCAGGCGATTGCGTTACATAATTTAGCAGTTGCTTGGCAACACTTAATGGATGCTTAATTTAACTGCAAGTGATCAATACATTATACAGCGAGAATTACATTTTCTTTTGTCAAACCGGCACACAACAGCCAGAGTAGTGAACGTTTGTTGTTTCATCTGTGTTCAGTTTACCTAAAAAGTTTTTTTTTTTACCATTGCTTACTTGTATTTTCTTCACTTTAGCAGTGTTCGGTTTGAATTTCAAAACGGGACTCTTGCAGTTTTTTGTAACATGCATGTAAGATAAATGAGCTTTGTTAGTTTAAAAAAAGGTCTTGCAAGTTAACGATGGCTGGTTGAAATGATTGCATGGAGAGCATAATATCGTCCCCCTCTTACTAATTTAGCGTTTCCTTTCAGTAATTTAATTAAACAAACATCTTTAGAACATGTGGCCTCACCCTGATGGCAGACATTGTTCAGTCACTGTCCACCCTTAATTGTCTCATGGCCCCTGTTTGCTCTGAGTCCCAGTCCCCCGCACAGCGAGCGTTTTCGGTTGATTAGAGGCCTGATAATTTGATTTGGATTATTTATTTGATATGTTTACACTGCAGCTGTGCTGTATCAGCTGAATATTATAATACATCTCATTAAAAGAGGCACTTTGCGTTCACTAAAACTGATTTTTAAATGTCCTGAAAGTAAATACATTTGTTTTTGTTTCTTATCTAGACTGCCTGGATAGACGACTTTGTATTTTTATATGTATTAACCAGATTTTTATAAATGGTTTTATATTATTCAATCAAATCCAACCTTTTTTAACAAAACAAAGGAAACCTTTTCCTGACCTACATACTGAATACTATCAGGATTCCCAGGGCAGAATGAAAAATGTGTGAGCAATTAACTGAAAGCTCTTTGTTAATAGAGCCGCAGTAGGTCCCACTCGCTCATCAATAAGAGGGGGGGGGGGGGGGGAAGGGTTTTATTTCCATTTCATGGTGAAAAGACTGGGATGTTTATCTACCTTCACATCAATAAGCTCTCTGCTGGGGGAGTAGAAGTCCTTTATCAGATGTTTCTAAGCTGAGGCCATTAGATGTGTCAACAGCGGTGCCACCACAGAGGCAGCGGTGTGTGTGTGTGTGTGTAAAATGGATACAAACAGTTATATATTAAGTAGTTTCACAACTAAACAAAACCGTGGTTCCCACCTACAGGAGCAACTTGGCTTCTGTATTTATCGGTATGAATCTAGAAAACAGAGTTTTTGAAGTTGCTGTATAACCTGTGTTGTGATTTTAGACACAAACATTTGGCTGAAAGGGAAAGCTGGTTAAAATGGTTCGCTCAAACTATTAGATGTACATTATCATTGGCTATTACGGATAAAAGATTGACTTGTAACGGTTTTAAATACCTTTTAAATGATCCCTGATGCTTCTTAGCAGAACCTCTGGGTTATTATTTTATGTCGCTTTGTGTGCTTGAATGGTGTTTTGACTGTAAGCAAGAGGAGAGTCACAGCCGGACTCGAATCAACAAGTCGTTAGTTCTCATGCGTTTTGTAGCTCAAAGTGTGAAATGTGATTGGCGTTATTAGTATAAACCCCATGTGAGATCAGTTGCCACAACAAGCGTTTAGGGAAGGTGATTAATGGACAAAGTGATGCACTCAAATGCCTTTAACAAGTAATGTTGTTATAAGGGCAGACAAAAACAGTCTTGTGTTTATACAACCCAAGGTTGACAACCGACTCATTTGATTCTGTCGCATACAAAAACACATTTTGTTTTGGATAATACACGTGCTTGTTTTAATATGAAACATGTTCACGTAAAGTTTTTAGCCCTCATAAGTGCTCTGCAGGCAAACGCTGGTCGATACCTACGCAGAAAACATGCAATCAGCATAGTCCTTCATTTTAATGATTTGTAACGCCTGTTTGGAACAAGGATAGAAAAGACAATGATTGAATTTTAATGAAGGACCATTCTTAAGAATGTTCTATCAAGCATGTGTTATTTTCCCACTTGCATCAGTCTCTGGGACAATAACTTCTCAGCAGGCTTTAGCATGCAGGCTGCTCTCCACTCCCCTTTAGTGACGGGGGAGGGGAGGAATGTCCGTTAAACTATCTAACGAGCGTCGTTGGCATTAATTCTTATTTCTATTTGTTTAAATTAACAGCTCCCCTGTTGACACTATGAAAAAAGTTAAATACACAGAGAAAAGAAAAGTCATGAAGTATACAAAAGAAGTCCAGACATAAAAACGAAAGAACAAACTGAAAATCACCATGCATACGGTAAACATAGACTATTTACTGTAAACCGCTAGTTCATTATATGGGAAGTGACACAGAGGGGTTATTAGTAGCTACAAAGTCAGCGACGTGAACCACCTTTTTACCATTAGACAAAAACTCACTTAACATGTTTGGTTTTTTTTATTGGGAAAGGTTACAATTGGTATTAGTTCCCGGGATCAATGTCGTCACAGGGACTTATCGTCTCCAGCAGTGATGGAAACATGAGATCCAGTTGGACAAGCTAGTTTTTCTCTATTTGTGGCACAATGCTATGTGACATACATACATGAAGTTTAAAATGCTCTCCTCAGAGCTGTGTGTGTGTGTGTGTGTGCGTGTGTGTGTGTGTGTGTGTGTGTGGACTATGGTACCATTTTGCATCATATAATGAACATGCAGGACAATCTGGTGGACAAACGGTTGACTAATGTTTCTTACGATGCGTATGTTTTCAGAGAGGGAATGGCATGTGGGCTGAGGAAAATGAAGGCGGAAAAATAAGAGGAGAACCATCCAGGGACTTTGCCAAGGTAAGGAGGTTTAGAAGATGCATGCAAATGAGAAAATGACTGAAATTCCCTCCGAGTAAAGGGATTAGCTCGTTCCTCATGTGTTTTTTGTTGTTGTTTACAGCTATATGAACTGGATAATGACCCACAACGGAAGGAGTTCCTTGATGACCTCTTTGTCTTCATGCAGATACGAGGTAAAATTCAGAGTTGGAGTCTTTGTTTATGTTTTTGTGAGTAGCTGTAAGACAGTTGAGTATTTTGAGAATTTTCAGCAATTGAATGAAACCACATGCTGGTTTTAAGCAGTTTTCTTTTTAAATACCATATAGAACTGACTGATTTAATTATTAATTCGTCAACACATCTCGAACGGAAGTAGATGCAGCACGATGCTGTCTGCAATCTTTGTTCATGTGCGCGACGGTCGTGGTAATGGAACATGTTTGTCTGTGACACAGGTTCATCTTGAGCACAAATGAATCTCTGTTCTACAATTGCTTTTAGCCCCCTTGCTTAATTGGCTTTGCGTCAGGTCAGGATTGCACGGGTTAGTTGTTAACCCCTGTGATTGGCAGGCCCTGCTGTCTCTAAGATTGCCCCTCCCCCCTGCGCCCGAATCAATGCAGCAACAGAGCTGCTGTGGAATGGTCCCCACCCCCATCTATCTGAAATGAGCTCCATTAGAGAAGTCTATCCACACAGATTATACATGCTAAGCCATATTATATAACTTGACCTTAGACCCCAAGGTGTGTAAATCAGAGTATGTTGTTTTCCTTTGTCCTTTCGTATTTTAAGACAATTTCTCAGTAGAATTCAAAGACTATAAACTCATCTCATTGGATTTAAAGGACGACTGTGTCCTTCTTATTCATTCAGGAACTCCTGTGAACCGCATCCCCATCATGGCAAAGCAGGTGCTGGACCTGTACAAGCTTTATAAACTTGTGACAGAGAAGGGAGGCCTGGTGGAGGTGATCAACAAGAAGATTTGGAGGGAGATCACCAAAGGTCTCAACCTCCCCACATCCATCACCAGCGCGGCCTTCACCCTCCGCACCCAGTACGTGTCTTTCCCATTCATATCAGAATCTGTTGCATTGATAAATGTGGTCTGCAGGAACAATTAAGAGAATATAATGTGCTCCAATATAAAGACAGAGACAAATACCTTGAAATGTAGTTTCAAAAAGTTTGAAATTATTTAAAATGTAATATACTGAAATGATTGATATATATCTAGTAGTTGTCTCTCATCTAAAGTGTCTTTGAAGTTTTACACCCAGGTTATTTTTATTTTATATAATATAGTGCTTGTTTGCACCAGATTGACCAATTTGGGAACCTTTTTGCAGGTACATGAAGTATCTTTACCCATTTGAGTGCGAGAAGAAGGGTCTGAGTTCTCCAGGAGAGCTGCAGGCCGCCATCGACAGCAACCGCAGAGAAGGTCGACGTCCCAGCTACACCAACAGTCTATACCGCTACTCGCCCTCCCCCAGCTCCACTTCACTGGCCCTCCTCTCTTCCCCCACCATGCAAACCCCCCCGACCGGACACAACGGCCTGAGTACGTGCGCCACCTCAAATCTCAAGAGAAACACCGGTACGGTATGACACAATTGTGCTGCGTTTCCCCTCTTATTTTGTGCACCAATCTCGTCTCAAAGAAGGCCCGTCGGTACTTGACCGTTTCTTTCACCGTCAAAACAGTCCGCGTTGTTGTATCTTACCTGTTTTAAAACAATCTCCACTGTTTTTCTATTAATCAGATGAGCTGTCCACCCCTGTGTTGCCAAGCCGACCCCATGGCCGGCAGCAGCAGCATGCACAAGCTGTGTCGTTGGAGCAGTTCAGAGAGAGGCTGGAGAGAGGAGCTGGAGGAAGTGGAGGAGCTGGAGGAGCTCCTGGAGGTGCAGGAGCTGCTGCAGCCAACGGTCCAGAGAAGAAAAGGATGCGGATGGCGGAGGAGCAGCAGCGCCTCATGCAGCAAGCCCTCCAACAAAACTTCCTGGCCTTGGCATCTCAATTCAACCCTATGAACCACAAACTGAACAATGGACACGGTAAGTGGTCTTCGCTGTAATGACAAATGGCCTGTCATCACTTAACATGATTTTGGGACAGTCCACAAAGTCCATTTTCTTTTTGCCCCACAGAGAGCAAACAGGATTTGTCTCTGAGTCTCTCCACTAATGGAGCAGCAAGTATCAGTGTGTCTGTGGAGGTCAATGGCACCGTTTACTCAGGTGAGGAATTACATTTTAACAAGTCAACCTTTTTTGGTGTTTTTTTTTTTTTTATGAAAAGAACCAATTATATAATTTATCAAATAATGGATTTCTTTAATGATATCTTCATAGTTAATTTTAAATCTACATTTAAAATTCAACCAAACCCAAGTCTGTGGGGATGTGACTGCACATGTACACACTGCAGTTCATTTCATAATAGAAACTTGGTTTACTCTGATAGTTCTCAGTTTACAAGAAAAGTTTAGCAAAGCGGAAGTATAAAAGCTGAAAACAGCCCGTTCTTCAGCCCATCCAACTCAAATCCAGAGGTAAATTTGGGTATTTTTCAAAAGGCTGAAGCGTTCCGTTTAATAACCCTGTCTTTTTATTTGTTTTCAATCAGTTTCACCATTGTGCAACTGCAGCACTAAATGTTTTATTCCTTAGGATATAACGTAGTTAATGCATTCAAATTCCACCTAGCACTAGACATGCAATGTGTTCCAATAAAGTCATGCTCATTTGTTTTAACTTTATTCTTCTGTCTGATTTCTGTATTGCAGGAATGCTGTTTGCTCAAAAGTCAGCTGCTCCTATAGGGTCACAGAACGTAACTATGGCAGGAACGAATGGTTTCAGTGCCATGTCCTCCTCGCACAGTCCCTCCTCTTCATCTTCGTCTTCCTCCTCAAAGGGACCACATTAAGCCTCGCTGGTCTTTAAATCTTTCTAAATAACAAATAATACATTTGCAATATGCATACTTCTCTGGTCAGGCATGAACTATACTGCTTTTTACTTGTACACCTCTAGTTGTACTAGTTGACCTCCTGTTTCTTCACTCAAGCAGTGCAGTCTTTTTTCCATTTTTACAATTTAATGTGCTTCATATTTGTCAAGGGGACATGGCTGTTTGACCTGAAAGGCGTGCACATTAAACATAATTTAAATTCAGATCATAGTGACCTGTTAGAAGCTTTTCTGTATTATAATGTGGCATTCGTGTCTAAAGGGCGTTACAAGGTTTGTTCAGAAGTGTCTTTAAAGCCTTGTTGTCCAATGCATTTATAGCTTATTATAATAGTTGTAGCTGCCTTTTCCCATGTAGAAAAGTGTGGTCACCAAAAGTGCAGCTTAAGAAGACCAAAAAAGCCTTCGCTCAATGTCATAGCTCCCTTCTGTAACAACGTTTCTGAAGCTGTTTTGTACCTTTTGTAACCTCATAGTTTATTTTTTTTCATAGCAGCTTTCAGGGATTATCTAAAACATTGATTTTTTGCAGTTTGGTTGAAATTGTGTATGTACTGTATTGTGTTTTCATTTAACACTTATTTAATCATTTGGCTTCGCCTCAAAATTTCCAGAACCTTTTTTTTTTCATGTCAGTTTTGAATTAAAAAAGGCCAGAAAGTTGCTGGGAATTTTATGTAAGATGAAGTAATTCAACATTTACCTGAATTGACTTCTTATGTTCCTAAGTATCTGGATTTATTCTGGACCCAGGAATGTACTCTGGACTTGTCCATGTTAAACTATATCTCACTATATATTTGCATAAACAAAGAGAATGTATCCCTATCGACCTCAAGATTTTGACAAGTGAACACTGAAACAGTTCTACCTCATTCCTCTAGAGAAATATGCAATACTTAAAGCAGTGTGTGGTGGATCAGCCATCTGCTGGAATATACCCTATGTGGACAATCAAGTAGACCTATCAATCATGCAGACACATGTCACTGTGAACTTAAAATCAGGATTATGTTAAACTCTGTTTTGGTCTTTGGTTAGAAATTGTATTTCTTGGACATGTGCTCATGAAGAATAAAATAATATTGTGTGCTGTAGAAAGACTTCTTTTTTAGCCTCAATGGTACCCTTGTGATTCCCTTAGAAATATAATAATGTTAATAACCTTTTATACAATGTGTGAATAACTGAAACACACATACACTTCATGAGACATACTTCTACTTTCAATCCATATTGCATGTTTCACTCCACTGCATTTATTTGGCAGCCGCAGTGTCTACACATTATCTTTACATAGAAACACGTTTCATTTTATAAATATCATGCATTGTTAATTTGCTCCATCTTAACCAACTATAACACATAACACATTAATAGTATAGCGCTCACTTTTACTTTGGACATTTTAAGTTATTTTCACCAATGCACTCTTGCGTAATTTTCATGACTGTTTTGTAATGCGGTATTTTTCTATGTCATAGCCATTAAGCATCTAAAAATCGTAGAGTAGATAACAAAAAACATATATTCTCTAAAAGAGTGGCCAGACGGGGGTAGTATTGCCTCTATAAAATTAAGTTTTAACAATGGAACCGTCTTCTTGTATATTAACGCTTGTTGGCGGTACCGCTTGGTCAAATCCCTTCTGCTCAGTTTGCAGCGGATACAGATGGATACAGATCAACAAATATGAAAGCTCCTCACAGTAGTTGTAACGTTTTCAATGAAGAAACGGAACTATTGAAGAATTAAGAGATTAATTTCTTTAAAAATCTCTGCTGAATTTTTATTGTCATTTAAACAGTGTACCTAATTGTGACCGTGCTGACACCGCAAATTAGTAATTGTGGTTTTGATGTGAACTGTGACACTTGACATTAGATGAGGTTTAAAAAGTGAAAGAGAAACACATTGTGTCTGTGGAAGAGGAAGCACAGAAAGAGTCCATATCCAGAGTTAATTCTTGAACTTTGCAGCAGACCGACGTGACAGGTAATACTAATGGAGATAAGAGATTATAGGTCAGAGGAAGAGGGCGGGCCATGTGTTTGACGGATTTACCGTTAGGACAGTTAATCTATAGTGAGACTGCTGCATTGACATCTGGAACACTGTAGAAAAAAAGATGATTCAGGAACAATTTAGCGGTATTATAGGAGATAATATCTCCGCCCACAGTCCCCGCCCGCCAGGGAGAAAATAACACCGGTCAAATCACTCTGCAGATGAGATCACTGTAACGGGTTGAAAACGGGAATATACTCTATGCAAGCAGGGACATCAGGAGGTTTTCTTTTCAATTTTGAGCCAGGAAAGACATACGTGTCTGCTGAACATTGCTTGACTGTAGCTAAGTGAGAAATCCTTTTTTTAAACATATAGTTTGCAGGTTTTGATACTCACTTTGTTACTCAAAGCTGAAACTTAGGATTCTAAATATTCAAGATGTTTTTGCTCCTCTGTGACTTTTGCACTCAAAACGATGCCCTGGATTGACTCACGCAGACTCACGAGAGGAGATATCTCCAACACTGAAAGCCAGATAATGTTTTCATAAGTCAAACTAATTATCTTCTCCACCGGGACCAAACCTTCAGCACACTGTTGGAACGATGCCGTACCACGATGAGGAGTACCCGGGTCAGCCTCTGTGGCAGTCTGTGCTGCTGTTCTGCTGTAAGGGTATGATTGAGGGCATCATGATCATACTCTTCTTCTGGCTTCTGGTGCAGGTCCTTTTCACCAAACAACTGGAAGGTATGCTCTTAGGGGATAAGTTCCCTTAAAATATATTTTTTAAATGTGGTGCAATGTGTCAACTCACAAATGGGGACGTGATTTATGAAAGATTTGAAAAAAACCCTCCATTGACAGAACTTTGATTTGAAAAATTGTGTCACTGCTTTCAGAAACATGAGGTAAAATGATATATAGTCTGTTTTATGTAATCAAGATAAGCAGATTCTAAATTGCTGTTATTATTCTCGTTTGTGTCTACAGTTCACCTCCAAATTCTTCTTCTGGTTGGCCTGATAGTATTTTGTCTGTGTTTGGTCCTGGGATGTATTCTGTGCTGCAGGACGAGTAGGATTTGTGCAGTGCGAGACAAAGACCCTGTGTCATCAGACCCTGTGACATCAGCACCAGCTCACGCTGAACCTGTGACCTTTGCCCAGATCCCGCCTCCCTCGGCATCGATGACAGCGTCCGCGCACAAATACGGGGAACAGGATGGCGACATAGTGGAGTACCCCTCCACTTTCCCCAGCCCTACCCCTTCGGAGAGGGAATTTGCCTCTCTGTCGTTTTCAAAACGAGCTAGAGCTGGTTCTGAACAGAAGGAGCAGCCAAAGTCTTATTTCTCCCCGCGCCGCCTCAGCACACCACCGCTAATATCACCCCTTTATAAACCCATTCATCACAGTCACACTTCCCTGCCTTCATTTCCCAAACTGGGTCTGATGTCCAAAACATACAAGGCTCTGCAGAGGCGCTGCATGGTGACGGGAGGTAAACTATCTTACAATGAACACAGCAGGCTCACCAGTCCCAGTTCTGTCTTTGCTTCTTCGCCTGAGGAACCAATCCCGCTGGCTCCGTTGAGCTATGGCTCCGGTGCCAGCTGCCAAATGCCAGTATCGTCAAAACCCTGCCTCCATTTTACGATGGCCTTCTCCCCAGAGCAGCAGACGCTGGCAGTGACTGTCCTGGACCTCACTGGGACGACCCACAGGCTGCAGGATGCGTCTGTGCTGGGCAGTCTTCCGCCTCTGTACCCCTGTCCCGTACAGGCCTCCACCCAAAGTCCTGAGAGCCGCAGCCTGGTGCTGCTACTGAGGGTGAGCTCCGTGATGGAGCTCCAGAAGTGTGATCTGAGAATAGAAGTATACACCCGGGAAGCTCCAACCGCGCTGGGAGAACTGGAGGTGGAATGCGGAGGAAGAGACTGGAGAGCCGAGCATCCATTTCATCTGGCGAAAGAGCTAAACATAAACAAGTGGAAGCTAAAAAAGGGATCGGGGTATTAAATAACATAGGTTAGCAAGTGTTGACCTTCATTTTAAGATTGGTGGTATGGAAATGAATGTTGCAAGGCCTACTTTGATATTGTTTGCCTGTATTTCTGTTTCTGAGTGTTGGACATGTGATCTCTGTGGTCAGTGCAATTAAACTTTTCGGTTTTCCCCCTTTGTTGATTTATGTGATTTTTGTACACTGCAAGCCACATGCTTCATTTGCTGCTCATTGGGTTTTTCCTCTCTGCTCTTTAACTGCAGAGTCTGATCTTAGAGGACACACTGATGTTTAAGGGGCTTAGCTGCTAATCTTTATTTTGCGTCAGTATCAGCCACTGGTCCGTCACATCAAAGTCAAGGTCTTCAGAGCATATTACTTAGTCCACCTCGTCCACTCGTTGGCAGCAACAGGTAAAAACAACGTTTGATGTCACTTGAATTTGAAAAAATGCTTATTTGATTTGGAGATCCCGTAAGGACATCGTGCTATGGCGACATTACGCAAGCATGCATGTGCAAAGGCAAGTTTCGCCTTTGGAGCAGAGGTAAAGTAATTCCCTATGTTTGCTTTTATTGTTTGGGGGATTAAATGACGTCTTAGAGAACTTGAATGCAGCAGGAGATCATCCCTTTTTTAATGACATTTTCATTTAATCCCTTACTATTCACAATCCTCTGGAAAATGTTCCAATCTCCTCTTGATCTCTGTTCGGACAGATCTAATCTTTGTTTGCATTAGCCTGTCAAGGCATTACTTTCATCGCAGACAACATGTCCATTAGATTTTACGACATGGATAATCTCTTTTTATTTTGTATCATGTTTATGGCAAAGTGCATTTCTATGCCCAAAGGACAACATTTGGATTTAATACTTATGTTACTGTGTGGAATACTTCTGTCCTTTTTGACCCTCCTCCGGGAGACATCAATCAGCTTCCCCTCATGCTTGAGTTTATAATTGTGCAGCTCAAGATTGCAATCACATCATAGATTGATAACTGTATTTATTTGCAATCCTGCTTGCAAATGTCCCATTCCTACTTAATGTAAATGTAGGTGCCTCCAGTAGATAAAGTTCTTTGTCAAGTCTTAATCTGAGCTGCGGGTGCGATGCAGGACGTGCTGACTGGAGGGCCATGCAGGGGGAGCAGGCCCGCTGGTACCAAAACACAAGCGTGTTGTAAAAGCTTCATGACCAGTGGACATGACGTACTGTATTAACAAAATAAGATACCAAAGGTCCCCTTTTGCCACAATATGTACACATTAAATAATGCTAAAACACATTTTGGATTTCTAAAGGTAACCATATATTTGTTAAACAGACTAAATTCCATGAGCGTTTAGACATGACGACAATTGAACTGATCTTTATTTCTTTAAGAAATAGAAATGTTCTTATTGTGATGTGAAATGTTAGTGTTGACTTTTAAATCTGGAATGTGCAACCTTTTCACTTTTTTTCATGTTCATTGGATTTTGGGGTTAAGCACTCCACCTTGTACTACTTTAACCAAAACATACACATACTCTCAGGTGCATCTGTAATGATTTCATATAGAAACGTATCACATCATATAAATAAACATAAACTTTGGCCTAACAAAGCTTGGTGGCTTTTATTAAAACGTGTATCATAAGTATAAGCCAACCCACCAAGTTGAAATTGTTGAAGTGAAGTTCTTAAAATACGTTTAAGTAAAAGGTTGGCATAGTGTTGGCAGCAAGCGCCCTGTAGATGCTGGTCTATCATTTCATTGCACTTCATAGTATAAAGCAATGTTTAACCCATGCAGGAGTCTTAACAAAACACATTATTTTCCCTTTCCCTCCACTTCATCTTCATCAGGGCTAGATATATCCACAAGCTCAGCCAGGAATATTCCATCAGGAAGGAAGGTGGGCGGTCTTTCCTGATGCATGTCAATCTTATCTGAACAGCTACACGACTTGTCTGACTGTTTCTTTGCAGCAGGAGGGAAGTCTTCAATGGGTTGCTTGCACGTTAGTGTGGCTAAATCAGGGAGAATGGAGGAAAATAAAATACAAACATTTGAATTTCAAGATGTCATACGAATTCTGTATTTTGAGACATGCAGAAGTTGGAAGGTCGTGGATAGAAGAAGAGAAATGACATAAGATCAGGGACCTGTCCACCAGTAAAGTAGCTAGTTCATTTGACAACGCGCTCCATATTATTTAGTCAATTCAGGTATTGGTGGATAGCTCCCTGTCTGAGATAGAGAAATGACTCCCATGGTTTCCCTAAAGGCTCCATACCATAAACATGGCACAGATTACAGCACAAATAATTATTACACTGATTTGTGTTTAACATCACCTTGCAGAAGATTCACATTTTTTGCCTTCAGATTGCAGATTTTTGCACTCAAAGATGATATCTGGCAGAGGAGAGAACGGTTTCAGTGTGATAAGACCCCTTGTATACTCCATTTTCTTTATTAATTCTTCTTTTTGTAGATTTTTGTCGATGGAAGATGATTTAATGGTAAAGTTCAACTTGCTCTTTCACATTCAGACCTTGATTGTTTGAAATAGTTGAATTTATATTCTGTTGGCACCAAATGACATTCAGACTTTTAAATGGCTTGGATACGGAGTTCATCATATTGAATCTGGATGTGACTGACTTGTTCTCACGTATGAGCTCATATACGAGACTGTGTGACACGTGACTCTTTCCTATCCTCTTTTTCTCTTTGAGTCGGATGTAACCGGTTCACTCCTCACCTTTAAATCTGATTATTTAGAGCAGGAAGAGTCATATGTGAGATTATGGCTGAACTACATTTTCACATAAGTGGTTTTGCAGCCGGGCTGACAGCTCTCTGCTGTTTGCTCTTTGATCGAAGCAGAAGCCGGCGTTAGCAAACACTCTGTTTGTGTGTAATGAAGGAATTTGCAGGTACGTCTGATAATTTCATCACTTGCTACTACGTTTATGAAACATGCAGTTAGGCAAATTCAGATCTCTTGAGCGATGTGGTGGCTGTTTTTCTTTAGGTGATTTAGTTCTGGCATATATAAAGCATGTTTAGACTGAATGTTACCATTCATCATTCACCTGATTGTGGAGGTCATCCTCAGCATGAGCCTCTTCTTCCTGCTTTCCCTCCTCCCCTGTCGGCCAGTCACTGCCCTCCTCGTCCTCCTCGAACACTGGCATTAAACCGGAGCTCTGCTGCCAGATCCTCCTGTCCATTGGATTCTGAATACAAAAAAGAAAAACAAGATCTTTCTGCATATATATTCAGATTAGTCCAATCTTTTTTTTAAATCTCTGTCAGTGGTGCAGAGAGGTTGCTTACCCTTACAACTTTAGACGTGTGGGACCAGTCTTGAGGAGAGGAGGCTCCAGTCTGACTTACTGGTGATCTGTTGCTGTTGTGAACGGGTCCCACCTCCTTTCCTTCCTTTCCTTCTTGCTCCCTAAATAGACTCTTTAACTACAAATATGATAAGATAAAGGACATTGCTTTTGAGAGGGATTTACAACAGGTATAAATCAACTTCGGAAGCCCCACAGGACTTTACTGAGGCAGAATTGTGCCTTGAGCTAAATACTCATGCCAGCTATGAACGTGCTCACAGAGACAGTGCCAATATGGGGATGTTTACTTTTCTCACCCTCTTAGTTTAGACATAATAAAATGTCAAGTAGCAGTAGCAAAAACTTGAAATATTAGCATGAAAATATTTTTATGAAAAGTAAAAGTTGGCATTATGCGGGAAGGAAGATATCAGAAAATTATATATTATAGTATTTCTAAGCAGTAATTTGATCAGCTGGTAAAAGTGGGGATTTTATTTACTTATGGGTTGCAGCAAAGTCATCAATTTATACTAAAACAATAGTTTCCATGATATCTTAGATTAATTTAGATTACAAAATTGCATTAGCAATCAATCCATAGTTATTTCAATATTTCAATTCAAACCAAAGTTGTTCCATTACCCTCCATGGAGCTGCTGTGTTCAAATAAAACGTGTTATCTTAGCATCAAGTAGTAAATACCTGTTCAGTGACCATCCTCCGCTGCTGGTCCGTCTCTATATTAATTTGGTTCTTCCTGCCTTCAGCAGACGGCTCCTCGCCTTTAACCTGTGGACCAGTAGTCATCGATCATGTTGATCAGCAGTAGCGGAGGCCCTCTTTAGAGCAGTTGATCTCACAAAACGTTTACCGGGTAAAGCTGCTCCAGTGTTTGAGGCTTCTGGACTGCCGGAGTTTCCTGCCGCTGCAGCTGGTTCGTCCTCCCCCTGCTCTCTGAAAACATGAGGAGGAAAACGTTTTCGGAGCTGAGCCTGTGAGGAAAATCAACCCACTATCTTCAGTTTTTTTTTTTTTAAAGCTGGGTCAAACCTTCCAGCTGGGCCCTCGATGAGTCAGTGGTTGAGACATTTGCTTGGCCTCCATCTTCTTCAGAGTGCTGTTTTTATGAGTGTTCATGGGGAAAATACATGAAGAAGAGTTATCTTCTGCTTGTTTTGGGTGGATAGCGACCAAAACGAGAGCAGAAATTTTGAGTTTAGCCATTTTTTCCCCCATCTCCCTCTTTCTTTCTAGATGCTTGAAAGCTTCTTCCCTAATATAGTAACAATGAAAACCCGTCCACTTTCACCGCTTTGTCTTTAAAACAACTACTAATTGGTCAGATTTTCAAAGAGGCCTCTCTTTCTCGTCGGTCGCTTCTCTCTTTCTTTTTGCTTCAGCCTTTGCGCCTCACTACTTTGTATACATACTCATTAATCATTTAAATTTACTGTCAGTACTCCATACACAAACTATTACACCCAACCGCTTCCCACTCAGCCCCCCACCACGACCACCCACACACACCTTAACAGTGGGTTCAAATTGAGGTCAGCGAGAAAGGAACATTGCGTTACCTGAGGGGCTTTGTTTTGGCTGCTGTGGGAGTCCGATGGCGGCTCCCATAACAAAAGGGATTGTGATAAGCTGATGAAGTGTACACGATAAAGAGAAAGACCAATTTCATTTGGAGCATTTTTCTGATGGTACATTTTAAAAATTAAAGTCCCTGGAAAATCCACTCACACTGTCTGCGTCTCTGTGTCCTTAGTTTGCAACGAGGCTTCACGGCCTGCAAAGACAACAGCACAGCACTTTAACACCTCCTTGTGGTTAAGAGTAAAAAGACACATGAATATTTGCAGGTGCCACAGATCAATACGTTGATTTACCTTTATCTTCATAACTGTGAAGCAGAGCCTGACTCCTGCTCCTCTCCAGCTCTCGTTTGCATGCTTCAAGCTCAAACTTCAGAAGTGAGTCTGAATCCTTTTGTTAAAAAAAAATATTGTTAAAAAAAAAACTATTTGGCAGATGTGAAGCTTCCGCTTGTAGCTGTGAGTAGATTTGTTTCATTTTTTAACCTAGATTGGTCTGAATGAACTGATGTAGAGTAAAGTCATTTTCAAAAGATGTCTTACTTTACTCCTGGAGTTGTTCCTTTTGTGTTCCTCCAGCTCTTCCTGTGTGGACTTCAGTGTCAAAGCCACATTTTGCCATTTCTCTGCCCAGTGTGAGGCCGTTGCTTTTAACTCCTCGCTGCTCTGGACTCTCACTGCATCTTGTTTCCGATGTTCTTCCTCTTGCAGGTGTAGCTTCTCCCTCTTCTCGAGGACCTCAACCTCCAAACGCTGGCACCGATCCTGCAGTTTCTCTTTCTCTAACTCCAAAGCTCCCACAGATTTCCTGGATTATTTTTAAATTTCATAAAAGACAAGGTCATTTCACTACATTAAAATGAGTTCTTCTTCAAATATTGAAGATGTTGGTGCTTGTTCAACATCTCACCTAAGCCGGCGGCACTTTTCTTTCATCTTCTCTAACTCATCAGGTCCGGGTTGATTCATTTTAATCAACAGTTCTTCTTTTTCCCTGATCAGCTGAGCTTGTTCTGCCTCCACGGCTGTGATCTGTCTGGAGCTGGTAACCCTCTCTGCCATTGCCTCCCGTAGCTGAGACTGAGATGTTTTCAGTTCCTGTTTAATCATTTCTAGCTCACGTGTCAGCTTTTCATTTGCCTGGCGTGAAGACACAACAAGGATCATTTAACAAAGCATTCTGAAAAGGGGGAATTTTACAAAAAGATGTCCACTTCAAGCTTTCAACCTCTTTAAGAGCCTTGTTTTCAACTTTGACTAGTACGGCTTCCTGATGCCGCTCGTTACTGTTGGGCAAAGGGTTACAACCCTCTGAACTCGGTTGGTTCATCTGCAGCTGCAACTCCAGGACCCTCTGCTGCAGATCTGCTTTCTCCTAGACATGCAACAAGCCAGTGATGTTGCCAACACATACTATTTTTAAATTTAGATATATAAGTGGCTGTAATGGAAGATTATTTAACATACCTTGATAAAGTAATCTTTGTCAGACAGTGCCTCTGTCAGCTTGGCCTTTAGTTCTTTTATGTTATCCTCCAGTTTAAGCACATGAGTCGACAGGATGGCTTTATCCTGAGTGAGAAGATTTAAATACCATTTCCAATTCCTATTACAACATTTTAAATGTATCTGTAGGATAAAGAAAGTACTGATTGAGAGACAGGAGACCGACCAGGCACGCTTGACCGATCTTGTTGTTAGCTTCACTCAGTTGTTCTTCCATGTCACAGTGATTCTGTAGTCGTTGATTCATCTCCTCTATTTGATTCAACAGCAGTTTCTGTGTCTAAAAACACAGAAAAAAAGACCCACAGTGCAATAACGTGTAAGATTGAAACAAAAGGACGGCTGCACAACAGACAACTGCAGTGTGACTTTTGGATTTTGTCTGGAGTTTTTGGAGAACCTGGTTTTGTTCTTCTTCTTGTGTCTTTGACCTGGCCTCCGCATCTCTCAGAGCCTCTCTCATCCTGCAGAGCTCCGCGTCGACCTTCTGCTTCTCCTGAATTTAGGTGTAAATGCAGTGTTTGTCAGAGAAAAGAAAGAAAAGGAAATCATTTAGAACACACAGTTATTCTCTTAAACAAGAATGAAGCTTACACACCTGTCTGTGAAAGACGTCATGCATCATTGGTAATGTTTCATTTGGTGGATCACTGCTCCCTCTCTTCAAAGTACACCTCATTTGTATGAGGTCCTTCTCCAGCTGCAGGACCCTGGTGAATACATTTTGCATGAGAACTCAATATTTTTTCAGTCTTCCAAATTCTCCAGTCCGTGTGTTTTGCTGCACTTACTTTTCGTGAAGCTCTTCACGTTGCCAACCCTTCTCACACTTGGATAATTTAGCCGCCTCCTTCTCCTGCTCAAGAGCACCCATTGTTTCTGATAGCTGAGGCGAAGTACATGAGTGCAGTCATAAAACAATGCAGAGATTAAACACTTTTCAGCATAGAATTTGTTTACATAGACATTAAAAATTAATTTTCTGTTTGAACTTACCTTATGTTTCATGTCAAGTAGTTGTGCAGTAGTTATGTTTTTGTTCAGCTGTGAATTTCTGGTCCTCAGTTGGTCCAGCTGAGTGTCTAAATGCTTGTGAGCATCCTGAAGCCACTGCACCCCTTCTGCTTGTCTAACGCTACCTTCACATCGGGCGGCCCTTAATTCAGCCCCCGGAGATGGAGGAAAGGTACGCGTAGCACCCCCAGACACCAGATGGGACAATGACTGCCACTTCCTCAGACTCGGGTCAGTCTGTCTGAAGCCACCAGTGCTCCCAGATGTGCTAGAATACATTCAGTTTATCAGCCAGAACTTCTTTCATCCTCGCTTGTAAATTAAAATGACTATGTGTCTGTTACTTAAAAACAAAAAATCTCCCCCTTACCTGGTGCTGGTGCTAGACAGGAACTCTGTCCCAGAAACAGTTGCCATGCCACACCATGCTGAGGTCTAGGACGGAAAACACAATAAAAACTTTACACTTTGATCAACATGTCTTACCAGAAAAAAAGATACCCCATCTGGATTTTACCTGAGCTCTAAAGCGTGATTTGGTGTCCCACATATCAAGGTCCGAGGTGAGGGTAAACGGACTCGAACTTCTGTATGAGGGTCTAAACATATTGTGTCTTCCTGGATCTGAGATGTCTCTTCCCTTTGTACGGTGGAGGTTAGAATCCTCGTCTGCCCACGTGTCCGCCCAGGCTTCAGGGATAGGTTTTCACACAAGGCCGATAGCTTGAGGCGTTTGGCTATTCTTGGATGATGAGCCTTAATATTTCCACTGTTTGCTTGATGATAAACAACTACTTTTAACATTACATGATTATTATAATGTGCTTGTGACAGATTTATTTTCTCTAAACATAAATTGTTTGACTACACCTTTTATACATATGTAAATACACGTAGGTTTGCATACTAAAGTGTATTCCTGTACGGTACCGTGGTGCAGAAATCCTCTCCCCGCTCCGCTTTCAAGACTCACACTGCGTTGATTGCAAGCTTTTCCATGGTTACCTGTGTACACAAGAGGCAGTGATGTGGGTGTGCCATGCGCTAACACTTCTGGGAAGGTCTTCACATGATCTCACTCAGTCTGCTGACTGGCTATTGGTACACTTGGGTTGTTAAGAACAACTCATAAACAGTGATCATAACACTCATAGGTTCTGATCATTATGTATTACAGTGAGTTCATTCAAATTAAGTATTTACTTTGGGAATACTGAGAGTAATATTTTTTTTAATAAATGTTCTTAGTTGGGGCAACAAAGGTTTTTAAAGGGAAAAATAAGCATATGTTGAGTTGTCAAATAGTACCATGGCTCTAGACGCCTGCTAATTCTTACGGGTCTGTGAGAAATATTGCATGCAACTGACTAATTCCACAGTTGTTTAGATCCATGGGATTAACGCTTGAATAGGCACCTGCGTTACATTGTATTTTAACTACAACAGAAGCGTATGCGTTGATAATTTTGATGATAGAAACCGCAGTATATTTCCAATTTTATTCATTATCATGATTTGTTGCGCTCTTAATGTGAAAAACGTATTTTAGAGGAAAACGGAAGCTGTCATCTTGACGCTGTTAGCCGCATCTTTTGACCATTCAATAAGCTAAAAGCTAGCACTTTGAAGGAGCTACGACTGTCCTTTTAGCATTTCATTTGACATTTAATTAATTACTGTTCTTGATAATTCTGTTTCGTGTCAACTTCAAAAAGGTAGAACGTAATAAGCTCTCGTCTTTAATCAAATACACCGTTAGTTTCTCGGAATTAACGATGAATAACAGGCCGGCGCTAATGCTAGTCAGTTAGCATTACTTCGATAGCACCACGCAAATTTGATTTCTGACGTCCAGCTGCCATAAAGTTACCTTTATATTTAAACCGAGAGTCCGTGCTTGTTTGCTAAGCTTCCCTGGGGAGAAACGTGTAATCAAAACGTCTCTTTTTTTTAACGTGGCGCAGACATGGCAGCGGACTGGTTGGGTAGTTTGGTGTCAATTAACTGTGGGCCAACACTGGGAGTCTACCAAGGAGAAGTGGTGTCCGTGGACCAGTCCAGCCAAACCATCTCCTTAAGGCAACCTTTCAATAATGGAGTCAAGTGCCCTGTTCCTGAGGTCACATTCAGGTAAAACTGCCACAAAATGTTTATTATGAATGATTAGTTATTAAATACAATATTCTACCCCCCCCCCTGCAGTGCCATGGACATAAAAGAACTCAAGATTTTAGATATAAAATGTGGCAATGCTAGAAATGGCTCTTTCGCAACCACCAAGGCAGGGAGTGCCCCAGTTGCAGTCCCAATGGGTGATCCCAGGTCCGTGGAGAAAGTCAACTCTCCTCAGCACAGCTCCAAAAGCTACGGAGAACGTCACCTAGACATACCTGGCCAGCCAAAAGCATTTCGTAGAAGACACAACTCCTGTAAGTGCAATGTAGTACGGCTCAATCCGAAAATATTATTGCTAATGGTTGGTGTGTTGAGAATTGCAGTGTATTCTTCCCATCAGGGTCATCTTGTAGTCGAGGGGTGAACCAAGTGACGCCGAAGAAGAACGGCGCGAAGAATGGTCAGATGAAGCCCCGAGATGACGAGTGTTTTGGGGATGCCGTGGATGACGGGCTAGATACGGATTTTGATTTTGAAGGAAACCTGGCTCTTTTTGACAAAGCAGCGGTTTTCTCAGAAATCGATATATCCGAGCGCCGTAATGGGGCGAGGTCACGTGGGACTCCTCAAGATCAGACACCAACTCGGTACCGTCACGATGAAAACATCCTGGAAGCCAAACCCATTGTGTACAGACAGATTACCGTACCGCAGCCTGGGGCCAAAGAGTACTGCACCGGTAAGTTGTTTCTCGTTAATCAGCGACCGGGAAGGAAAATTGTCTAAAGAGCGCTGAATATAGTAAAGATTACACATTGTTTCTTCCAATCTGCTGTGGGGTTCATCAATAACCCCCCCCCCGACTTGGACACTTTCTTAGCTAAAACAATTTCTTACTATTACTCACCCTTGTAATTAATTTATCTATGTGAAATGCTCTTCCCACTTGAGTAGTAAACTTAAAGCACTATTATGTGTGTTAGTTAACCATATTTTCGTTGTGAATTTCAAATAATTCAATTTTTAAACCACGTCACATATTATTGCAATGTGTTTATTCATTGTTATGCACCATTCACCTGGTGAAATTCCTTGTATGTACTTTGCAGTAACCAGTTCTGATTCTAAAATATTCATATTTGTGTTGTCTTTCTCCGTACAGATTCTGGGCTGGTTGTTCCCAGTATATCCTATGAACTACACCAGCGACTGTTGTCAGTCGCTGAGCGCCATGGCCTCTCGCTGGAGCGAAGACTTGAGATGACTGGAGTGTGTGCAAGTCAGATGGCACTCACATTGCTGGGTGGGCCCAACAGGTAAGCAATCAGCAATGGTTTGTAAGTTCACAACATCCTTGGCTAAATGAAGAGCAGCTTAGTTATGTCTCTGTTTCTTCCAGATTCACTCCCAAAAATCTGCACCAGCGTCCCACAGTTGCTCTCCTGTGTGGGCCTCATGTTCAGGGGGCTCAGGGCATCAGCTGTGGCCGTCACCTGGCCAATCACGAAGTGGAGGTCATCTTGTTTCTGCCCAATTTTGTTAAGATGCTCGACTCAGTCACCAGCGAGCTCACCCTCTTCAACAAAACTGGTGGCCAACAGGTGTCCAGTATCAAAGGTGGGCATATTTTTCTAATTCTCTTATTTTGCTCAATTGTTGTTGTTGTTTTTAATTTCTTCCCTCCAACTCCACAGACCTCCCAGACAGTCCAGTAGATCTAATCATAAACTGTCTGGACTGCCACGAGAACACATTCCTGATGGATCAGCCGTGGCACCGAGCAGCTGCAGACTGGGCTAACCAGAACCGAGCACCAGTGCTCAGCTTGGACCCTCCTGTTAGTGGAAAGGCACAGGCAGTCGAGGCCAAGTGGTCCCTCTCTCTCTGCCTCCCCCTGCCCCTGGCTGAAGGGGCTGGCAGGGTTTACCTGTGTGACATAGGCATTCCCCGACAGGTGTTCCACGAAGTGGGAATCAAGTACATTTCTCCCTTTGGCTGCAAATTTGTCATCCCCTTGCACGCTGCATAATGGGACTAGTTGGTAAACAACACTCTTCTGTGGCCACACACAAGGTTACGGGGCCTTAAATTCACCAGTAAGGGCTTAAAGTTGTGACCTATTCAACATGTGAATGGGACCACTGTTGTCAGCATTAGTTCTACAAGGAATATGTTCTATGGGTGGGGGAGTGGAGAGCTTTATTGAAAAAGTAAATGTGTCAACCGTCATGTATTTACATGATACTAAATGATATTTGTAAGATTTCTTTGAAACTACAGCTTAAGTGGCAAAAATAATAACAAAAGTAGTTTTAGACAGGCATGAAAATCCCTCACCTTTCAGCGAAATTCGCCGTTTTGAAACCAAAATAAGTGACTCGTGTAGATTCGGTGAGGTTTTTTTTGGGGGGGGGGGGGGGTATGGCGGCAAATCACTGTAAAAATTTGAGCGCGCATAAATCAAACATCCGCGAGCAAAAGTCCGGTTTCGCGCGAGCAAAACTTTGTCTTGCGCGAGATATTTGCTCGCTCGCGGAGCGTGAACTTCGTTGCTCGCGAGGAGAATCTCTGCTCGCGCTCGACGGTGTTTTCTACGCGCTCGCTGTTTTTCTTTTTGACAGTAAGGGGGCGGAGCCAGTCACCATGGTCTCTACACCTGATTGGTTACAAACCCCGTCTTTGGATTGGCCCGAGTGATGCATTCACACAACTATAGAAGCCCATTTCCGCACTGAAGAAAGGGGATAGAAAGTCGAAATCATGAGATAAAACGTTGTCAAAACACAAACGGCACCTCTCTGTAACGGTAGTGGACCGTAGATGACAACCAGCTACAACCATAAGGGAAGGGAGCGCGAGATTCAGTGAACTGCGAACAGGTGCGCGTGTCAGAAGGGAGCGCGAGATCCAGTCACTGAATCTCTTCAGTGAATCTCTTCAGTGGCTACTCTTGAATATCGTGAAAAGTATCGAAGAACTTACACTGACTAGTGCTACAAACGGAATATGTGCGCGGGGGGCGTGGCGACAGCGGTTACAAATACGCACGCGCGTGCAGGCACGTCAGTGGGCCGCAAATTACTTTCTATTCAGAATGGTGGTCCCTGGGACAAAACCAGTTAAACTCCCTGCCCTAGAAGGGTAATATCCTTCTCACCTTTTTCACCCTTGACCCGTTTTCATGCCTGTTTAGATCATGTGAAGGCATTTGACATCAAAACATTTCTGAATGGCACTTAAATCTAACGTCATTCCAATACCATCTGGTGAATGAATGGAGATGGATGTAAAGGGGATGTTCCATAAATCTGGATGAGAGAATAGAAATCCACTTTATATTGGATGTACCTTTGCCATTGGTTTGTTTTAAATCCTGTCCGGTTGGACAGCAATTTAACTGTCACCTGATATTTTGGGATAGAAAATCCATTGGACAAAATGTGGAATGTTTGTCACGCGAGTGATTTTGTATTTTCAATCTAAGTCAGTGTTTAAAGGAGCTGCTTTTGCAGAGGATCCACATATCAGCAGTTTCATTATTTCATAAATTAGTTCATGTTGATTTAGATGGCGCAGCAGGCAGAACCTCCCAATACGCATTTTAGGCTTTTAAGCGGGGGGAAACGTTTGTGTGCTAAATGTGATAATATAGAGCTTAAGTTATGATGTGAGCATCTGTCCCAGTAGCTTCTGCGCCAATGCAATCCGTCATTAGTTGCATCAACACCTTCAGAATCAGTCTACAGCAGTTATGAGGGTACATCTTAGTATTTTAAAAGACTTGTTTTGTGAACGCAAGAAAAACTACAGATCCTGTGTGCAAAAAAACAAACAAAACGAGTACGGATGTCTACATTTGGTTTAGTCCATATCCATAAAGAATACAGGGCGCACTGGAAATGCTGTTTGGTGCTAAAAAATGTATACTGAACAGATATTACATTGTTGTTTTTTTGTTTTGTTTTTAAACTGACTTGTTGGAACCTGCGAGGCGAGCCAAACGACTCACTGACTGTTCTGGAACTAGTTGTTCGATTAGTAATGAATGTCAACAAAGGTTTTCGTTGTGCTTCTGTTTCCCTTTTGCTTTTTATTGCTTTGAAGGACCATACCTGTGTTCAGTTCCTGAATTACAAATCATTGGTTTGTATTTTACATTTATTCATATTTTTCTATTACTGTGTGGAATACAAAAACGAAACAACACAGTAGCTACATCATTTGCAGATTTTGAAAGTGCCGCCTCACACTAACACATGTGTATGTGGCATTTTCTATAATGGACTATTTTAGATGAATTACAGTTGTGATGTTTAAAGATGATTTGTAAAAACAAGGGGGTATGGTCCTTTCTGAGTTTCAATCTTACAGGTGTATCCCCTTAATGTTAGCATCTGTTTGCTATTATCGAGTGGTTTTCTCACATTGAAATGCTCTATTTGGAATGTGAACGTGTGAATGGGCGAAGCATCTTGACCTCACGTTGATCAAGATTCAACTAACTGCACCGAGTGCTCCCTATGAACCAAATATATTGGGTTTTTTGTGATGAGGCCTAAACAGTTATTTCCTGTATTCCCCGTCATGATATAAGAGGAAGGCTGTTTGTGTACTTAACCACTGGTGGTATTTCTAAAGTATAGACTGAAATCTAATCAGAGCTGCTCGACGTGTGCTGCCTCAGGTCCTCGACTGAGGTGATGTTTGTACTTCTACTGCCAGACCTTCTTGACAATGAAGGTCAAAACTTTTGCTTTGTACTTTGACACAATCACATTTATTTGAAAATGTGTCTGGGATATCGATGGTTTTAAAAAGTCCAGCCGATTGTTTACATCAACATGTTGATCTCATTGTTTTCTGTCTCAACTCACTTGCAGAGGGCTTTGATCCACTAGTTCAGGGAAAATGACACCCGTGCACAAAGGGTTTGCCCTTTCTCAAACATTCCTGTCTCCTCTGTTGAGACAAGTCTACTCTGGAGACATCAGCCAGGGGACTGAACAGGGGGGGGGGGTGCCTTTGGCCGCCAGGGGGCGTTTAACTCACAGGTCTATTGGCGTTTCCTTATGCTGCTATAACGGCAGCTTTATGCTCTATTTCCTCATTCAGGAGTTTGCATTTCTCCACAAAATGTCATCAGAGGAGAATCTGGTTTGTAAAGTATCTTCTGTCACGCTTCTTGAGATTTAGTTTAGACGTTTCAAATGGACCGATTCTGGTTGTTTAGGTCATACCAGAACAGTCTGCAGAGAGGGAGGTTTCGTCTAGACAGGAGAACGGTTTCCTTTTCGGGTGCAAAGTCCGCTGTCAGGCGTCATGTGCATGAAATTCCTGTGCAGTCCTCCGTGACAATAATAAAACATACAAAAAAACTGTTCACCGTTGCTTCGTCTCAGTGGTCGTTTTGTAAGTATGGGATTCCCACCACTAAATAAATTCACTGATCTATCTTTAACTCGACTTGCTTCATATCGACGCGCATGTGCACTGCGCAAACAAGGTGGGGCGAAAACTTAAATTTTTCTGAAGGGGAAAAGGAGTGGACCAGTGAGAGGAAGAACCCAACTGTTCCGAATCGCATGTACTTCACCGCTGGGACTTTTGTTCTCGTGCTGTTTCCTCTTGACTTCTGGCACCGCCGAGGCTGCAGCGACACGTCCCCGTTTCATCACCTGTAGAGACATTTCCCAGAATAATGTTGACAGGAGACGCATCGGGATCAGTCCGCTGGTTTCGTTGAGGTACTTTTGGACTTCTGAGGTCAAAGGCGCAGTTCACTTCCTCGACGGGACTCTGTGTGCGTTTTGCGCTTCGACAACAACTTGACAGTTATTTGGTGAATGGGAAATACGCTGTCTCTCCGAGGACAGACACCGGATCACCTGTTGTTGGTTGTTACTAATCGGGGTTTTGCCTGCAAACCGGTAAGAGTTTCTTTTGAAATTGTCTGAGTTGCGTTGTGCGCAAAAAGTAGCACTCGTTTCTAAAGTAAGTAAGCTGCCAGCGCGTGCGCTTCCGTTGTCTTGTTGCACAACAATTGGCGCCTCTGATCAAGTGCATCTTTTTGCAAACCAGTGACACGTAGGCCAAGAAAATAATACAATTTGATTTCTCTGGGTGTTCCTACAGTAATTCCAAAGAATGCTTTCTAAATATGCGATTTCCTTTTCTGACCGCCCCTCCCCTCTTTCGAACTTCTTCAACTTCCTCTGCTTTTTGGGGTGCAGAAGCTGCATCATGCTGCTCTCTAAAGTCATGGTCTCAAAAGCGACCATTGTATTCTGCTGACTCAACATGATGCATTTGGACATTCAGATTTGCATTCAGAGTTGCCATTTTTTTTTATTTGCAAAACTGGTTGCACTTGCTGGAATGCTTCACCTCCATTTGGGTTGTTATGCAATTATTTGCTGCTATTATTATTCCTTGAGGTGTGATGCTCCTCTCCTGGCTTTTTGAAGACAGAAAAAAGTCCTGACGCATAGCAGACTTTGCAGCTGCTCCCAGAGGATTCCTCTTTCAGAGTTGAACCAAGCTGTAAAGACGGATGAAGCTTATGAAACCAACACAGACTGCTACCCTGTCATGTGGCATATGCAGCGTTGCGCTGCATGCTGTGCACAGCACCTCAGCAAGGAAGTGTCCATTCACCGCTCAGGCATGGCCACTTCGCCTTACATGGTGTTTTTTTTGACGTGTTTACTTAGTAAAAGTGTTAATTACCTCAAAGAGGCCTCCATTGTGTTCTCTGAACTTAAGAAGGGAATAAAAGGCAAAGTGTACTGTAAAGCCCGGATGCTAAATTAAGGTTTTTTTTCCCCTGACTATCATTGATTTTCTCTTCCTGTTAGTCTGAAGACGGCCTTGTTTTTTGGGTTAAGTTTAATGTGTATCTATGTCGAACAGGATACTATTTGTGTGCGTATACCCTATCAGTATGCTCTCATGCCTCGTATCACTCAGCCTCATAGGCAAAACTGAACGCCGTGAAAGTGATACAATGACGGCTTGTGCCGCGCAGCCTACCGCTGGACTCGTACTTCCTGTCGTATATCCTGCAGAGAGATCTGGCTTTTACAGACCAGCCGTGTTGCTGCACCACAGTCCAGCTGTTGTCCTGGAGCCGGAGGGGATTTCCTCCACTGAGGTTCCTCAAGAACATCTGCAGGCTTTCAGAGCCAGCTGAGTGAACTGTTGGCACGCAACGCACTCCTTCTCTTTCTGTACATTTCTCACCGCTCGGTGAGCTAGTTTGTAAATCTGCCAGTTGATAGCTGAAGCGACGCGGACAACAATCGTTGATTCCTTCTTTCTGCCGCCCTGCTGCTGCAATGGTGAGGATTACTGGGCAGCTGCATTAAAGCAGTCGTAGAGCATCCTGAGACTGTGGGGGGTCAGGATAAGGGGCGGATTGCACTCCTGCTGTAAACAGAGGAGGGATGCAGGACCACCGTTAAAGTCCTGCTTGAGTAAAAGCACGTGAAGTGTTTTTTACACAAAGAAATGGCCCTGGTGACTTGATTTATTAGATGACATTATGTTGTTAATAATGGTGGACTAATGTGTGAAAATGAGAAGTGGAAAATTTCCCTCTGTAATGTCATAGAGTGGGAGTCGAAGAAGTAGTAGAAGTAGCCTAAAATGGAATAACTAATACCGGGACCTCAAAGTTCCAAATCCAGTCCAGTTCTCAAATGAATGCTCTTTGTTTGCTTTCACAATGCAGACATGCTCTCCACGATCGAAACTGAGCTTGACTCAAACATGGTCCCGTTACTCTTTAGATTCCGATCTCAATGACCAGCGCCTTGAGTGACACATTTTGCCGATCTGTCCCCAGGACCCCCAGCTGTCCTCACAGCTTTTGCAAGACCTTTTCACCCCCTAGATAGAGCAGCAAGTGGCTTATTTAAACGAGAACAAAGGAGACATTTCTACATTCCTGCCATGTCTTGCTTTGGGTGCTCAAGCTACCACTGATTTGTACAGTTTATGACTAACTTGCTTAAGACAATCTAGACAAGACATAATGTTGATCAACTGGTTTATTTATGATTTGCCAATTTGGACTGTAGTTCGATTGACTTTGTGATAACTTCTATTTACTAGTGATTGTTGGATTTGGTGTGAATTTGTTCTCCTTGTGCTCTTTCCTGACTCCATGTTTAGTCTGTCACTGCGTCTGCTGGTTTCCTGTTGCTTTCAGTAGCTCGGGTCATGCCTAGCTTTTCCTAACACCGATAATATGTTAATATTCCACTTTATTTTATTACCTGTGCACTGTTGTCTTGTCTGTCTACTGTCGCGCACTAACCGCCAAGACAAATTCCTTGTATGTTTGACATATTTTGGCCAATAAATGTTTCCTGATTCCTGATTCCTGAATAGGATGTAATAAGTCACTAAAGCAATGGCCGTGCCATGGTATTGAGATCATTTTGTAAGGCCATTGATAATAATTAATCAAATCTGAAGTATAATTCATATCACCAGACCTGCGGAACTGAATCATATCCCCCCTGCTCTCTGGACAGACTGACAGGCCGATGATGATGATGATGATGACTTCTCAATGAGACAGGGGTCAGTAGAAACTCGACAGACTCACAATGACGGCTTTGTCCGCTTCCTGAAAAGAGCAAGCTGTGGTTGCATGTGGAGCTCTCTGGAAATGGCGATGTGACTCCATGACCGACTGAGTTCTGTCCCCTTCGATCGGTTTGTGGTGGCCTGCCGCTGAGACGCATTCACTGCCCCCAGAAAAATAGGGAGTAAAAGGTCCTGTTGTGCGTCGGCCTTGGCCCCTATCGATCTGCACTCTGATGAGATCACGTTGCTCTTCCACTAGCTTCTACTGGAGGTTGACATTTGGGGTGGTTTGACAATTTGGTGCATCTACGGTCTCTTTTGTGATCCCTCCACTTTTAATGGTTGTGTTTACATATGTAAAAAGAAACATAATGGCAATGCAACTAAAAAAAGGTTCTGTCTTAACATTGTATATTCTTAGATGATTAATATTGATGTGTTTCTGCAGGCCACGGTACACTTGATTCTACTTGTTATGTTTATGTGTGTTAATTACAATCAAAAATACAGATAATCACCAAAATATCTTAAACATACAAGGTACTAGTAAGTACTTTTCATGTTGCACATTGATTTCCAGCCCGGGTTGGGTAGGACACGAGATGAGTAACGGGATACTGGATGATACAAAATTGATGTAACCTTTTTGACTTTGTTTCTATGAATCACTGGATATCTTTATCCTGTCAGGCATCTAAATAATATGGCTGAAATGTCCTTGGTGGAACCGCTTGTGACTTACAGGCATTTCAGACTTTCAGGCCGAGGGGTCACATGGCACGTTTAGTTTGGCTTCCTTCACAAAGAGCATAACCGCCTCAAAGCACCGCCGCCGTCTTTTCCTGTTATGACTCTCTGTGCAGTGTGAAATGTCAAAGTGTAACGTAGAAAAGACTGGGAGGGACCAACGGATGCAAGGTGGGGGTGTCCTTTTATAGGTTGGTGGGTGTGGGACACTGATATGATATCGTGGACGTGAACTGCTCCAACACATACAGGAAGTTGACTTTTTAGTAAACAACCTGTGGAGCGAATGTGACTTTATGCAAAGTAGCAGATGTTTCAATGCCAAGATTTTCCCTGAGCGCCGTCCATTGAGCCCCACCTCTTCTCCATGGGAACTAGGGCAAGACGGGAGGAAGTGGGGTTTTGGGGGAGGATTGAGTGGGGGTGGATGTTGAGTGTGACTTAACCCACAGGTCATTATTCCGTTATACGTTTTTTGTGCATTCTTCATGGAAACTGTGCGTCTGGGTGACTCAGGGCCGGAGTTGCAGTCAGTTGCTGCTTTATTGACGTAAAGAACCGCTGGGCTGGATGAGTCCCTCGGGCCTGGTCAGGCCTCACCACACGTTGGCATTCCAGCGCTGAAGAGAGCTCTCTTGATTCCTACAAGGGCCAGTCACCGCGGCTTTTGGGAGGAAAAAGGAACTGGTTTAATTAATATAATATAAAGTAGATCCAGTACAGTACAACACGCATAAGCCTCGTCTTTCTGTATTAATGTGTCATGGAAACTTTCGGCCCTAGTTGTGAAAGTGCGATTTAAAAAAAAAAAAGTGTCTGTTCTCCTTTTTTTTTTTTTCTTCTTTTTTTTTTTATCAGCAAGTTATTTTTACTGCCACTGATCCGATCTACTCTAGGGCGTCCTGATAATAGCTGACATGTGCCTGATGCACTTTACCATGAAAAACCACAAAGTCCCTTTTGTGAGAATTATTTGTGGTTAACTGAATACATTTGACGCGAGGGCGTCAAACTGATTCAATTCTGTTCCCTTTCACAGGTACTTTATGTGCGAGTCCGTCTTATCAGTTCTAATGGTTGCAGCTAGAAAACATCAGCTGTGAGAGGATTGAACCCCCTCACCATGACGGAGGTCCAGGTAAGAAAGGCCTCCAGCGTACGTGCTTCTCAGAACTCACACACACCATGACATGTCCGATGAGTTATCAGTGAGACGTTTGTTTGCTAATTAGTCATCTGCCCATGTTCCTGTAGACTACATGGCCACAAGGCACCGAGTGTGTGGCCAGGTACAACTTTAAAGGCACATCGGAGCAGGACCTGCCCTTCAATAAAGGAGATCTGTTGACAATTATTATTGTCACAAAGGTAAAGCCTCGTGGCCCAACTTGTGTTCCTATAAATATTTGCGAATGCTCTCATGTCTGTGTATATAAAAACACTAGTGAATCAATGGTTGCGCTTTAATTGATTCATTTTAAATGTCAATTCTGATGTTTTGGGTTTCAGGATCCAAACTGGTACAAAGCAAAAAATTCCGCCGGTCGCGAGGGAACAATTCCAGCCAACTATGTTCAGAAAAGAGAAGGAGTGAAAGGAGGGAGGCTGAGTCTGATGCCGTGAGTACACAGATTAACGCCGTTACTCAGTGGGGACGCTCAATACAATCCTTCATTTGAACTAAGAGCAGGATGTGGTTCAGGTATCGCCTGTAACTCAAAAGGTGCCACTACACCAGATTTGTGTGGCTTTGGTAGATACGGTTAAAATAGCTCACTGGAAGCAGAGGGGCTGCATGGCCTGGCAGTGACGAACCAGTTGTCTGAAGTGAGACCACACTCCGGTCGGCCTGTGTTGTAATTGCAGTGCACTTGTTTCTGCTTCCAGCGCCGCTTTGCTTCGCGTCGTTTCCTGTTGTTTCTTTTCAATCTCAGACTGAAGCTATCTAAAGAATCTCTCAGTTTCTCCACATGACTGATCTGTTTGCAATCGTGCGAGAATGTCTATGGATTGAATTCATGTATAGAGCCCTAAATTACACAATTTCTTTTGAGGACTTTGTCTAAACAAACGCTTAAGATACCTTCAACCTACTCTGAAAAAACTAGACAAAGAAAGGCGATAACAAGAATACAATGACAAAATAAAGACATTGGGAAGAAGACTTCCCTCCATTCACCCCAAATCATCACTTATGTGCATATATACTTTCAGACATACAGTACATTACATGTCATTTAGCAGACGCTTTTATCCAAAGCGACTTACATTACACTTTAAACCCATGGCTTTTTCACATTTTTGCCCGGGGAGCAATTAGGGGTCTTGCTCAGGTACACTTCAACATGGAACATGGGGCAGCCTGGAATCGAACCACTAACCTTGTGCTTCCCAGTACACCTTCTCTAACCCCTGCGCCACGACAACCCTTACGACATTATATTGTCTTAATTCTACATTTAAAAATACATACTAGTGTGGCTGTACAGCAACACCCTGTAGAAACAATACTAAATGTACAGACTTGAGTTGAGAAACACCAACTGATGATATGAAATGCTGTTGTTATTGTTGAATGTCAGCCGTTGTGGAGGTGAGAGTAAAATGGTAAAGAGAATCTAGGGGTATCTGAGTGGATCCAGCATTATATTAAAGGAATCTGAACTGCCTGTAATACACAAATAAAAAGGAAAACTCTTCTTCCTACAACTCTGAGGGAACAGACCATTTTTTCTATTTAAGGCTTAAAAAAAACCTCCCCATGGAGCCCAATGCATATTCATTTACTGTACATTCACCCTCTCAATAGAGTATATACTTGTATCGTGCAGTGCTACTGGACTCTGTCATACTGCCTGATGTTTCTAATGATTCATCTACCCACATCGATCCAATATAGACTGTACTTTATCAGTGCAAAGTGTTGTTACAAATAACAATTACAAATAAACCCCCCAATCTACACCGGGAAGTGATTTGACCCTTAATACGCTTTGTACTGATTGATGCAACCAGAAGAGAGTCTGCAGAAAGGATCCATGTACGTTTCAATCACTTGATCTCTAAAATGTAGACGTGATCATTCTCGTTGTTATCAGGATACTTGTGCCTCATTTTTATTGTGTTGTTGGTTCTGTTTTCCTGTGGTTGTTTCTTTTCTTTTGAATGCTCTGTTACCTCTCTGGTTCTCCTTCTCCCAGATGGTTTCATGGGAAGATAACGCGAGATCAGGCCGAGCTGTTGCTTTCCCCTCATGAAACGGGCCTGTATTTGGTTCGAGAGAGCACCAACTTCCCCGGCGACTACACCCTGTGTGTGAGCTGCGACGGCAAGGTGGAGCACTACCGCATCGTCTACTCCAACGGCAAGCTCACCATCGATGACGAGGGGTTCTTTGAAAACCTCATGCAGCTGGTTGAGGCAAGACATTTTTTCGAGAGTAGCATTCTGGTCTACTGCTTGCTTTATTTTCCTGTTTTACAGCCAGTTTCTGTGCGACCTCGTGGACCACATACAGTTCCTGGTACAAATAATGAACAGGAAGTCTCAAAGAGGAAGAGTGAACAGTGTGCCGTGGTGCAGAGCACTGACCTCAAAAAGACACCCCTAATCGTTTTCGCGATTACCATGCTTGTTTTAACCCGAAGCATATAGTGAAATAGAGCAGTGTGAGTAATCTAAATCTAAACAAAGTAACTCATTTGACAGTGCTCCACAATATACTGTATGTTGCCAATCTGTTCATACAGCCCTCTGTTGGTGTTATGAAACACTGCTCGCTGAGTCTTATCACTCATAAACTGTGGAGTTTCCTTTCTGTCGTATTAAGTTTTACTGAAGATTGTTTTAAAAAGTTATACAGTTCTATATTTAAATATTTCATTAAATAATCCCAGGATTCTCTTTTTTTTTGTAGCACTACACCAAAGATTCAGATGGCCTGTGCACCAAACTAATAAAGCCAAAGTTGGAGGAGGGGACAGTGGCAGCTCAGGATGAGTTTTCAAGGGGTAAGTTTCACTTCAACCACATCCTCTTAGCCTTTTTGTACATGCACAAATGCACGAGCCTGTTACGTTTCCCTGCATATTTTCTACTATTTAATTGACCAACAGGTGGCTGGTCGATGAGCAGGAAAGACCTCACGCTGCAGCAGGCTATCGGCAAGGGAGAGTTTGGAGGCAAGTAGCTTCAAGTGACCCAACTGTATTTAATCACTTACATGTGGTGGCGATCGGATCTGTGTTATGAGCATGCCACTAAAGATGGAAGCACGCATGTGATATTTCTCTGAATTCTCTGAATTTGTACAAAGGTTTAGATAAAAGTAATGTACAAATAAAATCAAGCTAACCTCATTTGTGATCATTCCAGATGTCATGGTGGGAGATTATAGAGGGACTAAAGTAGCTGTGAAGTGCATAAAGCATGATGCTACAGCGCAGGCCTTCATTGCAGAGGCTTCCGTCATGACGTAAGATTGTCATTTCTCTCTTCTTTTTTTTTAGAAACATGAATGAAGATAGTATAACATGTTAATCACATGTCTGCGTTCCTCTCCTTCCAAAGGCAACTACGGCACGATAACCTGGTGCAGCTGCTCGGAGTTATTGTAGAGGAGAACGGAAGTCTGTACATAGTTACTGAGTACATGGCCAAGGTAGGTAGTAGACCGTCTGAGGAACTGTTAACATTCTTAGTACTTTCATAAAGGTGTAACACGTCCGTTTGTCTGTTTTCAGGGCTGTTTGGTTGACTACTTGCGTTCAAGAGGCCGGACAGTACTTGGTGTAGACGCTCTCCTTAATTTTGCACTGTGCGTATGTTTTCTATCATATCTACAATTATACTGTGTTGAAGGCAGAGTTTTTGATCTGTGGAGCTGTTTTGAAGAGCGGATCCGTGAATTGTTTGCATTTGTGCTTTTCATTTCACACCACTGAATGTGTTTTTAAGACAAACTTGTCATTTACCTCCCCTTTCTGTCTCACATACACATGAACGTTGTCAAATAAAGGGAACAAAAGCATCTGTATTAAGTGTGACTATTCCATGCATTTTGACGCATTATTGATGGTTATCAATATAAAAGGTGTAAATGTGCCAGTAAAGGCAAATGTTTTACAAAGTTTGAGATACATGGAACATATTGTAGGGACAAAACAGTGAATGTAAACTGAGCGGCCATTATTTCTGTTTGGTTGGATTATTATGACATTTGTACTCCATGTATTTAATCACAGGATTGAGAGTGTAAAGAAAAAAAGGTCTTCAGGTTTTAAAGGTCTTTTGATTGGTTGATTGGTCTTGTACTTCCTCAGAGATGTGTGTGAAGCTATGGCGTACCTGGAAATCAATAACTTTGTCCACCGGGACTTAGCGGCCCGTAATGTTCTGGTGTCCGATGACAACATGGCCAAAGTCAGTGACTTCGGTCTGACCAAGGAGGCCTCTTCAACTCAGGACACCGCTAAGCTGCCTGTGAAGTGGACATCGCCGGAGGCCCTCAGAGAAAAGGTAAACTTGTTGACCAGGACTGTTGCCATAGTGTTTACTGTGCTTTGCCACGTGTAGGTCCCACTGACTGAATAAACTTATGTGCTTGTTTTCTTTCTCTTAACAGAAATTTTCCACCAAATCAGATGTTTGGAGCTACGGTATTTTACTTTGGGAGATTTACTCTTATGGCCGAGTGCCGTACCCAAGGATTGTAAGTATCAATACAATATATTTTAGTAAGGTGGCATACAAAACCTATTAGGGTGGATTGGGGCTTTCAATTTAGATGGAGATTAATCAGTAATGCATCTACAGTCTAGATTTGTTCCCTTTGCTAATAGTTCAGAGGGTAATATATTTTGTAAAGTATCGTAACTTTTACAAAACTTAACAATGCATAATATGTTTAAGAAGAGTAACAGGAAAAACATAATAAACTACATTCCTTTTAATGAAGAAAACTGTATTGTTTTATACTGTGTTCATTAATGTGTTGCTGTATTTGTAACCACGTCATTCGCCACACATCAACCCCAATGTGATGCATGTTTGCTCTCAACCCGTCTATTTACCAACAACCTTTTCCCTTCTGTAGCCATTAAAAGACGTCGTGCCTAGAGTGGAAAAGGGTTACAAAATGGACTGTCCAGATGGCTGTCCTGAAGTGGTGTACAACATCATGAAACAGTGCTGGAATTTGGATCCTGCTGCTCGACCAAGCTTCCAAATGTTGAAGGAGTGGGAACAACATATCAGCCAAGGGATGAGAAAAAAAGAATGAGATATCTCACTGAACAGACACGACAATTGCGTTTGCTCTTCTTTCATTTTGACCACTTGGACCAAAACTTAGGACGAAAGATTTCAAAAGACTGCCCTTCCAGAGTCTCTGACGAAGTTTCATTTGAAACATTCTCCATGAACTGTTAAGTAAAACTGTCAACATTATCTGTCTTTGCATCATCCCTCACCTCACGTTTTAAAGCTGAAGTAAGCTTGAGTGAGTCTTTCTGTGCTCTGTTATCAAGATGAATAATTAACTGTCATATCACCACGTCCTTCCTTATAACACCACCATGCCTCCAAGCCGCAGTGCCTTGACCCTTTTTATAGATCATTTTTATTTACTTGTGTTATATTTGTGGCATCATTACATTTCATGAAGATGATGATAGATAGAAGATGACTGTAACATAATTTAAAGTAAGTTTACCAATCCATGCTATCCGTTAAAAGAAGAGCTATTCTCAGTCAGAATACAGTTGCATTACATTGCTGTATTATTTTTACAGCTTCCAGGTACACTTTTTTTTTTTATAAATGTTGAACTATTTTTTTAAAAGGAGTAAGTTGCAGCTTATTTTTTTAATACTATATGATTGGAAATATGTTTGGATCCCTCTTTAAGTCAAAAAAGGAAGGAATTCCCGTGTACAGAATTGTCCCTACATCATCAGCAAATGTTTTTGTTATCAGCAAATTTTTCTGGAGTTTTTTTGTGTAATGAGAAACAGTTTTTACTTTTTATTTTTCAACGCTGCCATTTGTAACAATAAAACATTTGCAAATATATTTACCATCCGTTCTCATCAGTTAGTAAATTAGGTGAAGTACAGCTACTTAATATGAAAGTGATAAATAAAAGTCTATTATGTTCCTGTAGTACTTTACTTTTCTTAATGAAGGAGAGCGAAATTGTGGCTAGACAATGCTCCATCTCTTTCAATTAAACAGCAAAGTAAATTTGAACTTTTTGCAACACAAATGAAGGAAATTAATAAGGAAATTTGAGTCGTTGTATTTATCCTGTTGAAATTAAATCAAAAAAAACATTTTTGAACTTCCGAAGTAAGACTGCAAAGCAAAGTATCGAGACATGCAAAATTGTAAAGATCATAAAAACAAGCGTTTGATTATTCTTTAGTAAGAGCTGTTCATAAGTGCAAATATATCAATATCAATAATAAAATATGTTTTATTTTATTTTCCTGAAGGAAGTTGTGGAAGTACTTTCAAATTTACTATCACGACAAATTCACGACCCCTATTTTGTAAAGTATGATAAATGGCTGGCTCTATTGTTATTTTTATACTATCACTTGTACTCTGAATCTATATATATTTTTTATATGACCACTCACCGTTAATAAACCTTAGCGGAACCTTTACGAAGGAAATCCACTGCAAAAAATAGGGGGCTTATTTGGATGTTGCTCTCGTGGTGCAACAAGAAAATATACACTGAAAACAGGCGGCTTGACAAGAGGACGACTCCGAGCTCACGGATTAACCAAGGATTTGTTCTGAACATTCATGGAGAACGAAGCGGATGCATTTTATCGGGAGCTGCCAAAGGTGGTAAGTCCCAAATGTGTTGTTTCATCTCCGGACGAGAAGCGAGTCGCAGGGGTGTAAAGACGATTACATCTTAACGTTGTTTGAGCTGATCGTTCAGCTTAGCTACATGCTAACGTCAGCGGTTTTACCTGTCACCAGGAGCTTCACGCTCACCTCAACGGCTCCGTCAGCGTCAACACCATCGAGAAACTCATCAGCCGAAAACCACATCTCAACATCGAACACGGCATGACGGCCATCGGTAAAGGACAGCGGAGGACACTGGACGAGTGAGTCGAACTTAAAGTCAGAGTTGAGTTTCAGTGTTGTTGACGAACTCATCTGTTGTCTTGCTTGGTCGTTAAAGTACGTAATTTTCTTTCTGTATTTTTTTTTTAAAGTGATATTGATACGATGCAGTTTGCACTAGAGTAGCTGTTTTTCTTTGTACACAGTGGCAAACCGAGTGTGTTCATGCTGATGATAAAGTAAACTCACAATGTCAACGGTCTTTGTTAAACCGGTCAACATGGCGCGTGTTGTTCGCAGGTGTTTTCAGGTCTTCAAGGTCATTCATCAGCTGGTGGACTCGGAGGAGGACATCTTGATGGTGAGTTTTGACTGTTCTGAATCGAATCTGTCTGTCAGGCAAACGGGAGAAGAGGGTATTCTTTTGGGAGGGGGGGTGGCCCAGAATATCAGTGACCGGTGTTTTTCCTTCCTCTCAAGGTGGCAACAGATGTTATCAGGGAATTTGCAGCTGATGGTGTCAAATATTTAGAGCTGAGGAGTACACCACGGGAGGAGAAAAGGACCGGTGAAGATGTCAACATGGAGCCTCATATTTTGATCAAATGATTTCGCTTACATTTGTTGTTGATTTGTTTTTTGGATAGGATTGACGAAAAAGGGATATATCGAAAGTGTCATCAAAGCCATCAAAAACTGTAAAAGTGAGGGATTGGACATTGATGTCAGGTAGGCAAAACCTGTATTATTTCAATTCCATTATTGTTTTAAAAGAAGTCCAGTCATTTATCCCGGGTGTGTCCAATGTGGAAGTGTTTGACACACACAGACCTTCACTAGTGATGAAAACACCAAAATGCTGCATTAAGTTCTGACCACAGTATCGCACAATGTTGCATGTGCCAATTTTCTCTTGAAGGTTTTTGGTGGCAATTGACCGTAGGAATGGCACTGAAGTTGCCATGGAGACCGTGAAGCTTGCTGAGGAGTTCATGCAGTCTACTGATGGTTTGGTGTTGGGACTCGACCTCAGTGGAGATCCAACGGTCAGCCAATATTATGTAATATATGTACAATCAGAGACTATTGGTAAGCGCGAGGGCTTTTTGATAAGCCCTGCAGATTAAAATGAAAATGATGGTTTTACTCCATGTCATAGATAATGAGTTTAGTGCTAGTAATTGGTACTTCTTATAAAAGAATATATTAATTATGATCCGTTGAGGTTCGTTTTTCCTTACATAATGAAAATAAAACATCAAAAGTACAATGCTCCATACTAATTTGTCTATCCTTACTGCAGTTGAAATGTGAGGTTTTCTGGATATAGATGTGGCTCCTAGTATTTTTTGAATTTATTGTGAATGTCCCAAAAAACTATAGAACTTGGTGTTGACAGATCACATCAGGGTCGCTCTTGTGCCTTTTGAAAAGCTGCATGCAACTTTTTTCCACCCAGAAGGTTGAGCAACTGCGCCATAAATCTGTTATTTTCATTTTAAGGTCGGCCACGGCAAAGACCTTCTTCCCGCTCTGCTAAGGGCCAAGAACTGTGGACTGAAGTTGTCACTGCACCTCTCAGAAGTATGACCTCAATGTTATTCAGTATCTGTGGTCACATTATGTTTGAGATGACATTTCAACAAAACCTGCTGCAGGTCCCATCGCAGCAGGAGGAGTCAAATTTGCTGTTAAGTCTTCCTCCAGACAGGATCGGTCACGGCACCTTTTTGCATCCTGAAATGGGTGGATCTCAAAGTCTTGTTGACCAAGTGGTGACAAACAACATACCGCTGGGTAAGAGTGAGATGGCATTATACATTTGTGTGTGTGGTAAATTGAAATGGTATTTTTCTTTGTAGAGCTTTGCCTGACATCTAACGTTAAAGGACAAACTGTGCCGTGTTACTCCAAACATCATTTCCAGTACTGGTACCAGATGGGACACCCAAGTATAATTTGTGTAAGTTTCCTTACTTTGTATGAAACAATTCCATATTACCATGTTTTTTTTTTTTTTTTTACCAACTTATCAATGAGATTCTCTGAGACTTACTACACTATGGCTCTTTTGTAACATGTCCTTCAGACTCACTATACTGTGACGTTTTAAAGAATACAACAATTTCCTATGATATGCCATGACAATAACTTATTTTGAATGACAGATGACACTTAATTGTTAACATTAACCATGATGATGATTTATTCCATGTCACATTACAGACTGATGATAAGGGAGTCTTCAGTACAAACTTGTCTCAAGAATATCAGCTAACAGCCACAACGTTTGGTCTCAGTCATGAAGCCATATGGAAACTCTCCCAGCAGGCCATAGACTGGATCTTTGCACCTGACGCTGTGAAACAGCAGCTCAAACAGAAGTGGGAAGCTATGAAGCCTCAGGTGTTCAAGTGACCGTTTCATTGGAACCTACAGCCAATCACATACCTCAAATTTCAGTTGGAATTTTTCCCCCCATCACGTTTTTAAAAGACGTTCCTTAAAATACTTCAGAAAATGTTTGTAATAACTGAAATTAAATGACATCCATTTTATACCAGTGTGGTAATGTGTTATTTTCTGCACACATGAATCCAAAAACAAGTTGCCGTGACATACTGGAGACGGTGAGAACGTAAAAAATAAAATCGCTAGGAATAAAAACAAAACTATCTTAGACAGCCGGATTTTTGAGTGCTCTCCAAACAGTCACACTATCAGCGCAACTGTATTTACAGTCACACCATCTTCCCAAATTTGCCCCCCTTGCCCTTCTTGAATTTGCCGTATGGTTTTTCCTTTTGTTTTGCTTTCCCGTGCTGAGGAGCCCCATTACTTGCGTCGATGTTTTCCCCCTCCCACTTCCTCTTCTTGTCACTGTTGGGAGTAGAAGGCAGTTAAACAGGTTTTTACAACAACAAAAACACTTTTGCCAAATAAACGCTGTACCTTTTTATGCTGACAATGGCGGTGTTGCCTGCTTTCTTTAACACCTGGTCCCATTCTTCATCATCTCCACGGATCCTGTACCTGTGAATACAAAAGGAAATCATAAATGTACCAAATATTTCCCTGTACAGTTAAAATCCATAATTATTCACACAATTAACCCCATACTCACTCTTCCACGTCCATTTCCTTCACTTTCTCTAAGTCCTGCTTGTGTTTCTCCTCAAACTCCTTAGCGGCGTCATTCTGTAACAGGTTCATTCTCACATGAGAATCCGAAACCAGAATACGTTTGCTAGATGAAATGCTAGTCGGGTGGTTAATTCATTGATCGCGGCATACCAGATCATCTTGAAGACTTCCGACCGTCGGCTCCATGGAAATGTCTTTAGAGGTCGCCATCTGTGCCTCAATAGCTTGTTCTTGGACACGGGTGAAGACCTAGGACAGTCAATGCAGTAAACTTATTAATGCGGTCAGATTTTATGGGATTGTTTTTCAATTGGTGACTTTGTGAACTTACTTGCACAAATTTCCTGATCAGACGGTTGAAGAGTCCCATGATCTGCGAGCTTGGGAGTTCAATTTCCTTTTCTAACTGGTCTACCGATTTGTGCTGCAACCCGATACCCAGCAGTAACGCCTAGAGGGAAAAAAACAGGGGAAAAATCAACAACTATCACAAGAATACTATCCGTGACAAGCGTAACCAACGAGGAAACTCACACACTGTGCGGCTGAGAGAGAGATGTCACCCAGCTGCTTGAGGAAGAACATGCGAGCGACTGTTGGGATGAGATCCATGATGAGGTGGTAGTCCACCATGCTCCTTGAATACAATTCCAGCCGTTTGAGGTCGTAAGGACTGAAGTGGGACCCCAGCTCGGCGCGAGTCAGAACTGTGAAGGTCAAAGAGAAGTTGGATCAGGTCTGTGAGACTCGGGGAGGACAAATGATCCGGTTAGTTGGTAGAAGAGTCCCTACTGCTCGCGTCGTCCTTTGACTTCTTGTCCTGCAGGATGCTGAGTGACAGGCTCGGATGGAAGCGGCTGAACTGGTAGGAGAGAAGCGACAGGAAGCGCCGGCGGAAATCTAAGGAAAGCAAAAACTGACGTGAATACGTT